AGTTGCAGCTAGCTTGGCACTGGAATGCAAATGCCAGCCAAAATTACGTGGCACGCGCGCAATTGTTCAACCCCATGCGATGAGATGCAGGAAGTGAACAGCGATACTACGTGCAAACACCGCCAAGTACTTACCTAACAAAGACTCGGGGTTGTTGAAACGTGCTCCCACGTGTTTTGCTACGTACTATGCCACATGGTATTATTAGAATACTACACCAACTGTCGACCGACTAAAAGTGCCCAAAGCTTATTAGCAATGAGCATCAAGGCACCCTGCATGGATGCATGATCAGAGTCCCGGGTATCCATAAGTGATCTGCAACTCGAGTTGAGCCCAGACATGACTCGAGGCGTCGGAATTGCGCTAGTCGGCGTACCCCACCGCATAGACCACTGGCAGCCGATTGTACAGACCAATTATCATGATCAGCACATATACTTCATTGAACACCTTCCAGTACATACGGTAGTGGAAGAAAATCACTGGGGCTATCAACAAGGCAACCAGTTGTGTTACTTACGAACACGGGCACGAGGACACTCCAGATGGCCTCACAAACAAAATGAGCCCAGGTACAATCGGGCAACTTGTTGGAACTATTTGTTTTCTAGTCGCTCAAGAAGTGAACATCTCTCATTTACTATATCATTAATCCTTCCTGTATTTGTGGTATCATCCAAAGCATTCGCCAAATCCAGAACATCAGTAGCTCAGATATCAAGGTCTACGCGCGCTCGCTGTTAAGAACGGTGTGGTGGTTCGTATCTCCAAGATTCAGGAACCCATCTTCTTCCTCTTGCTGGGGCGTCTCTGTATGTCGCCCTCTCCGCCAACAAAGTGCTGTTTCTTGATTTGGTGCTGCCGCAAGTTGTCTGGGCGGTTGGTATACCGGCTCGTGCAGCCCGGAAAGGGGCACTGGTACACAACAGGCTCACTCTTCCCGTGCATCAACTTTTTATGCTTGGCCATGCTGCCCTGGAACCACTTTGGGTTCCCCTCCGGCCGATACCCACACTCTTCGCAGATGCTGTTGGACTCTGCCTTGCTGCTGATGGCCGGTGTGGGCTGCTGTGAAGGCGGAGACGTGGCAGCAGTCGAAACGTCGGGCCCGGAATCGGCAGGTGTGGCAGAAGCCGAAACATCTGTCCATATGTTGTCGAAGGGAGTGCTTCCAATACCAGTATTGTTCCCGGCGTCCACTTGTAGAACGTTCGTATTGCTTGGTCTCACACTCAGTTGGCAATCTTGGATGTTTGTGATTGTCGCAAAGAGATCACTGAAATCGGCATCGGCTATTTGAGGAACTGGATTAGTCGAGGGTTGTTCAGGTTGTAGTGATCCTCGTATCACTGTGTCAACCAGACGAATGCCGCAGTGCTGATACGTGATTCTCGAATGTGTATCGGGACACAACAGAGCCCAGAGGGAGTCGATACAATCTCGGACAGTACCGATGTAGTGGTCTAGAAACATCTCGGGAGGTAGGCATGTCTAGCAGTTGTTAGTAGAAGCCCATCTATCACCAGGAACCGATTTGACTTACTCGTCCGACGTGTATGAGCTCGAGCTCCAGCCTCCTCGCGGTTATGCTATTCCCTGAAATGACCTGGCGGCGCAGCTCGTGTATTTTGGCCAGGAAAGGTGGCACGTCCCCATAAGCAGCAACAAGGGTATCGACCAGGTAATCTAGGGGAATGCCCGACGGTAGCTCTGCGCCAAAGATTAAAAGTCCACTGCTGGTATGCTGCCTGCAAAGGTCCGAAGTCCGAAGCTGCGGCTTGTCGAGTTCCTGAACCGCGGCATACTCAAGCTCATCTAGGAAAATCTGCGCGAGGGAAACAAGGATATCTGATAGTGGCTCCCTGGGATCCTGACTCTTCTGCATCCCTTTCCTGCGTGATGCTGAGGATGTTTTCCGCATCAAGCCGACAACGTCGTCTTCGCTCATTCCATTTGGCTTCCAAAGAATGTCGACAATCGGGAAATAGGCCTGCCTATCCTCTTTCGAAAACTTTGATGCGTACGAAACCACCTGATGGAAGAGCCTGTCGCCTCTTGCCTGCGCGTCTTCCTTGTGCACGAGGAGAGACATGGAGTAGATGAGGTGTATAAAGCAGAGAAGGTCGACGGGGGACTGTTCGCTTGACTGCCCCAAGTTACTGTGTAACGTCCGTAGGCCGCAGCCAGTAACATCGGCAGCGGACATGCTGCACAGGTGTTTTACTAAGTGGTTATCCTGCAGGACCACGAGGCGTTTCTTGGTATTTTCCACATGGAGTTGCAACGCCTCCCACAGATCTTTGATCATGGATGTTGCTCCAACACGTACTTTAGTCTTTGGCGATGGACTGGGTTTCACAGTGGCCTCAGCTTGAGGTCCCGATGGTTGCTGGGTATCTTGAAGAGGTGCTGGCGGGTCGTTGGGACACAGCTGTAACGCCTGCTCGTCCAGCGGCACAGGGAAAGTGGTTGTTGGTTCCGGAGCGCCAAACTGCAAGTCTGCTTGAAACGTACAAAGTGACATGCCGCCCGTATCTGGTGGAGTAACGTCGACCACGGGGATGTCTGCTGCAACCATGGGAACGTCTGCAGGTAATTCGTTCAGGAAGGTGTTGGCCATTCCATCGAGCAGCTGGTCCTGAGGGAAGAATGTGAGCTCCGGTGCTCGTGTGCTCTGGGGGTCGACTTGTGTGGACAGACCCAGCAATGTGAAAGGGTTGGGATTGCACTCGTCAGCAGGGGTCGTCATTGTGGAATCCTGCTGGGGAGCCCAGCCGTGGGACCAGTTCGACATTGGCGATATACACTGGCTGGACGTACTGCATGTGCTGTTCGTACTGGCTGTTGATGCTGTCGAGCGAACCGATGAGCTGGGTGCGAGCATTGTGCTACGGCGTTTGGCCTCTCGCCTATACTGCGCTAGGTTGTTTGTCTGAATCTCCAGCCGAGGCCTCTCGGGGCCTGCTCTCGCATTTGGGTAGATTGGATTGAAGTCCACCGGGAGCATAGTCTCCTGCTGGTATGCCCACTGCGAATTTCGGGATTCGAGCTCGGCGAGGTGGACTGTCTGGGGCTGGTAAATGTCGGGCACGGGCATGGGGGGTGAGACGTGCTCCGTTGTCTTCGCTGTCTGCATAATGTCGTCCTCCACATCCTCCAGTATTGTCGGTAGCATGACCTCGTTCGAATCGATTTCGTGGATCTCGTTGGCTTGGAGCTCGACTTTGTGGCGAAACGAAGCACCCCACGCATCATCGACGCCGATATCATCTTCTGGCTCGGCCTCGGACAAGTCGTCACTGATAGTGGAAGGGCTGGCTTCGCTGTCACAGCAGCTTTCAAGATCGTAGTCCTTGAGACCAGCACCTGCCCTGCGACTCCCCAGCGAGCTGAAGAAGACCTTGGCCAAGCCCATAATCTTCTTTCTCTTGCTGACTGGGCATCTCTTGCACTTGGCACTTCCAGCGTGTTGGAAACGCTCGACACGCTCGTGGTCGTAGCACCAGTACTCGCCGGAAGAGAGCTTGTCACATACGTAGAGATGCCGTAACATTTCCTCGTGGGAAGCGAAGCGTTTCCGACAGCGAGAAAGTGGACATTGCAGTCGATCCTGAGCGGTCATGTTTGGCGAGGCATTCCGCTTGAACGCCGCCCACACGAGGAACCGATTCAGAGTGCAGTCGTCATGCGGAGTCTCTCGAATTCTGCGCGAGCGCACACATTAGCTTTGACATTGGGAAGGACGAGAGCCGCGAGGGCGAACGTACACGCAACTGTGGTCCTCGCGGTGGTCGTGAGACCTGAGTGATAAGATCGAGCTGGAACTCGAGCTGAAACTTGATTCTGAAGTCGAGGAAGGTCTTCGTAGAGCGAGGCGTGGCGTATGGGTCAAGCGACGGAGCGCCGAGGCCGTCTCGTCCAACGACGGTCGCCTTCGGTGTTCCATCACGAGAAGCGTTGGTTGCAGGCGATGCTAATCAGCTATAAGGGATGAGTTGTTCGTGAGGCGGTTGCACTATCTCAGTCACCAGTCCGGGGAGATTAGCAGTCGACAGCTCATCTACCACAATCCATAGGGGAAGCGGTATAGTAGGCCTCGAGAGCGAAGAGGGTACGAATAAGGCGTGGACAGTTCAATTCAGTGCAAGACCGAGCGGCGGCCGTGTCGTCTCATTGTCCCAACGTCAGACAGTACAAAGGCGAGCGAGTGACAGTGAGAGTGGGCCCAAGTATGAGGGGTGTAGGACTGAAGGACTTGGAGAACTCGTAAAGGTACCTTAGACGACAGTCGGGCGGGTGAACGCTTGGCGCTGCGGGCTTCATTCTGCCTTGCAGCACCAACAGCCGGATCTGTGAATGGGTCCAATGGGGCAACAGGGATGGATTTGGCCCCAGCTGAAATTGTGAACAAAGGGAAGATGCCGATGGGGTGCTGATTCTTTCTCAGGGCCATGCACCTTGTGATCGCCATCATGCAAAACTGGCTGGGCGTTTGTTTGGTCGCTTTGTGGCTGAGGCGCACCAGCCAGCCTGTGACAAGGGTCTGGTCACAAGGCGCACTGCCTCGAGGACTGGAGGTTGAGGGCTACCCTGCGCTAATTCGACGCAAGCATTTGGTCAAGTATTGAGATGCTGAATGATATGTGCACTAATTCCCCTAATCTCGGAGGACAGGTGAGGATCGTAGTCATGCTCTTGTCTGTCTGGTATCATAGCGCCCAGGCTTAAGTACTAGTAGTTGGTCTAGGTTGTTGGTTTACAAAGATGATGTAGGTAAAAATGCTCCGTGATGTGCGTTTAGGTAAACCAGGCCACGCCCAAACCAAGCGTCGTGAGAAATATACAAGCTCAGCCCGGGGCTGTTCGCCTGTTGCAACTACCATATATCAAAAAGTTAGCGGAAGTTTACAACACTAGTATAGGTAGACTGGAACATATATGCTTAAGCACCATCATGAGCTGCGAATCGCAGAGCTGCTGCCACGGCGTAATTAGTGGGCCCATGCGCCATTGCTTGTTCCCTACGGAGTAATTCAGGGTCCAAAACTCTAAATCCAGCACATCATCATCATCCCAGTGTGGGGCTTAACTACCTAACGTTAATGGCGGCATGGTCTGTAAGGCTGGCCGAATGCTTCACAGCTCATGCGTCAGTACTGCCGCAGATGGTGATCATTGTGTTTCCGTGAAAAAATGCGATGTGCTCCGGTTCAGACAGCAAAAAGAGCAGACAGAAACCATGCGCCGATGAGGCCGAGACCATGACAAATGGACGCCTTGTATATGATTGAACAATGAAGAAATGAAAATAAGTGCCGCCTGGCTGTGCTGCGCTGTTCTTGGATGTGCTGTTGACCTCCTCCCCCAACTCTCTGTTATTGCAACGCGCCTCCTGCTCGATCACACTCCGGTCCCCGCAGATGGACTGCCCTGTCCTTCGCGCGCCCGACCAAACTTCTCCATGGCTTCCTGCATCACCTTGAGCTTCTCCTCCGTGACACGTATGGCCTCCTCCACATTCCGCGTGTTGCTGCGCTCCGCCCGTAACTTCTCCTCCGCCGTTCGGGGCGACATGGCCTTCTTTCGTGTGCTGGGCCCGTCCGAGTTGAGACGATGCAGTCCCGTCCTTTCTTCTAGCCAGTCCCACAGTTCACTGTCTTCCCTCTGCCAGATTTCCTCGTAGGCCGCGATGCGATCTGGTGCATATGCCCCCGAGAGAGCACCGTATTTGGACGCTCCCTTTCGGGGGTTCAATCCGAGTCCGAGCCACGATGCCATCAGCAACCCCAAAATCAAGCCATAAACGAGATTGCCGCCCAGTAAAGGCTTGAAGAGGTCGGTGACTGGTTCCAACAGAGGTCGTATAGGTTCCAGCAAGCCCCAATCAGGCTTCGCTATAGTCTTTGTGGGCGTCTTCTCTGCGTCAGAGGGCTGGGATTGCTTGCCCTTCTTCCCCTTCCTCTTGATTTTGGCGCCATTAGCGCCTGCGCCTGGACCTGTACCAGCTCTGGGCCTGGTGGAGATGGCGGCTCGGAGGGATGCAAAGATCGCCCTGCAGTGATCGATTTGGCCCTCGTTTGCGCCCTTTTCAATCGGTCCTAGGTATGGTTAGCCTACGATGTCGCCCCGGGGTTCGGCTACTGACCTTTGATCCAACTCTTTCCTGACCACTCAATGCCACAGTTGACAAATACACGAGTCGAGTTGTTCTCCGCCCACGACAAGCAATATTTGGTTTTGATAACAAACATGTTGCCGTTGGGCACATCTGGTGTCTGTGTTTGGATAGTAACGTTGGCGGATTTCTCAAAATCGAGGCTGTCCAGGGACTCTGAGATTATACATTTCGTTTGCTTGGGGCCGATGGGCCCGTTCAGGGGCTTGATGTAGTTGTACGTGCGTGTTTTGTTGTCCGGTCCCATGCCACGCTTGTCCTCCATCTGGACGTCGAGACATTTTTGATCAACCGCCAGGAACTTTGTCATGAAAGCCGCAGAGTGTTGACCAAACATGAGGTCATATATCCTGCCTAGAGGAGCGGCGATGACATCGTCGCCAACCACCCTGTCGTAGTGACTGGCAGCATCACCGCAATCGGTAGGAGCATGGGTGGCTGGCCCAGGGAATTCGACTGCTCCATTCGGCACTGGTCCGTCCTTGTTTGCCGAAGTAGACACGCCATTGCTCGCCGTGACGCCCGAAGCCTTTCTGTTCGCGATTTTCTCGACCTCTCCTTCTGCCACGGGCATTCCATTGTCACCATCTACACCATCCTCACTGTCCCCCTCGTCGTAGAACTCGTCACCATCGTCATCCGATTCTTCATCGCTGTCGTCTGAGCACGCGACGGTCTCCGTGCCTGCAATGGACTGAGTACCATCAAGCTTCTCTGTCTTATCGCCTCCAGTTCCCTCAAGTCGCACGCCGTTCAGTGTGCTCGTGAGCGTTGGATGACCTAGTTTCCAGATATTGATGATAAGGTCGTACGTAGCATCACGGCTCGTGAAGCTTGCGAACACATGCTTGGCGTGTAGTGTGGAGATCATCAGACCATTTTTAAACACGAGGGCAGTGCTTCTCTTCTCAACCGAGACGATTTCGTCGAAACTAATCACCAAGGTGGTCGTCCAACCGAGGATGTTGCTGCTGAAGCACAAGTGACCTTCTGAGACGTAGAGGCGCCCGTGCGCTAGAATTTCTCTCTGTAGCGCACAACTGTAATCCTCAATCAGGTAGTCGTCGTCAGGAACGCTTTTGAAGATGGAGTGAAAGTCCCGGTTCCGCTTCTTGCTCGCAATAGCAAAGCCTGTCAGCTTGGGTGTGCTGAGATTCGCGGTCGGCTGAGAAACAGGGCTGACAAGATTGCCCAATGGGGCGCCCATGTTCGTACCAGTGTGCGCTGTGGTGACGGAGCTACCCCTTTTCCTGTGAGCTCGCCGCAAACTTCCCGCCCTGCTCATGCCCATCTTGTCATCTAGATCGAGCTGTGACTGAGGCGGCGTTGTCTCGCCCTCCTGGCCCTCGTTGAGCGACCTCGGACGGCTCGCGGCCTCCTCTGGCAAAAATTCGATGCCATTTTGGGAATCGGCTGGCGCTGACTCCGAGCGGGCCCTTGTGCTATCGATGTCCATGAAGCGATTGACCGAATGCGATGCAGTGGAGCTCACAGGCTCTTCTATACCGAAATGATCGAGGCTGAGACCACCTGCGCCAAGTGTCCGCACAGCAGAGTCTTTGTCTTTCTGGTCCATGAGGTTGTTCTGTTGCGCCTGAGCTTGTGCCGGTGCCTGTGCCTGCGTCGGTGGCTGGCTCGATTCCGTCTCTGTGTTGTCGGCCGGGCTTGATTCTTGGTCTCGTGGTTTCGTCGGCGGAGATTTACCTTTGTTCGTCGTCCCTAGGGCAAGACCCGAGTTCTGAATGTTGGAGCTGAGATTGTTGGCGGCGGACTGCGCAGCGGATATCATAGACGAGAAGAAGCCGGAATTCGGTTGGCCCAGTGTCGCCTCGAGCCCCTCGGGAGGGGGCGTCAGCGCCGTGACGCTGGACGAAAGTTTGCTAGGCCCGATCGTAGCAGAAGTCGACGAGCTTCTTTTGTGTTGGTTCGAGGTTCGACCTGTCGGTGATCCGGCTGCAGGCGAGAAATTCGGGAGTTTCCACGTAGCAGCTCTTTTCTCAAGCGAATCGGTTTCGGGCAACGGCTGCACTGGACTTGGAGGGGTGTTGACGATCGACGGAGCTTCGCGGCTTCTGTTGAGATACGTCGGTGTCAGAGGCGGTGCAACGTCCTGGTCGATGTCGCGGCCACTTCGGGATGATCCGCCAGGGAAAGCCAATTTGAGTTTTGGTAGATCCGCAGGGGTTTCGGCTGCGGTAGCCGTCGTGGGCAGCTGTGGACCGAGGCCAGAATCGATGGATGATGGCCTAACCGCTTGTTGCTGAGGCGATGCGGGTTGCGATTGAGGATCGATGTGCGCCGCCTGGACAACGGGCGACGCGGTCGTCAGATAGCCGATCAGCGAAGGATGCTGCGAAACTGCCCCTGGTCGCGTTGGGGATCTGTAGGTGAAGAGGGGCTCTGTCAGAATGGAACAAATAGGGAGTGGAGGCAAAGCAGAATTAAAGACAAGGTAGGAAAACTCGCAAAGGTCGAGCGAAACAACGTTCGAAAAGACAATTGCTCAGAGTAGGCTGTGTTGAAGAATCGAGAATGCTCGTGAGCCTGGTCTCTGGGAAGCAGGTTCCAACTTGGATGATGATGGTGGGCCCACCAGGAAACCTCCGAGTCGCGTAGCTGGGGTGCAATACGAGGCTTGAGCGAGAGCGAGGCCGAAGAGTCCGAGCGTTCACGTCGAGTCTGTCCGAATTGCCTCAATCATTGATTTCGAGCTGCCGACGGGCAGACCGGAACTTGAAATGCCGCCTTTTGTTCACCAGAAGGATGTCATGGGGGAGTGCGAGGGTACTTAGGCAACATGAAAGCAAGAAGATAGACTCGGGTACTCACTGAGACTGCGCCCTCGAGGGGTTCCTTGAGTTGTTTGAACTCTTGAAGGGTGCACGGCCTGTTGCAGTCGCGTTCTCTGGCTCAAGCCCCGACTCAAAGGAGCCGAAGCTGCGGTCGTCTCTGAGGCTTCGTTCATCGTCTTCATCCGCCAGGTTAGAGGCAGATGCTGAGCCGGTGCCGTCACTATCGCCACCAAAGCTCGAGGATGTTTTCGATGTGCGCAGGCTTCCCGTTGCTGCTGTGCGATTCTGTTTGCGTTGGCGCCGTTTCTCTGCAATGGCCTTGGGTAGTAGTTTGCCGAGCTTGTCGTCCTGGGCATTGTCCATGTCGGCGTGGAGGGTGTTTGTCAGGTGTCGTGGGGTTCAAAGCAAGGCCAGCTGGGCGCTTGCGGTTCACCAATAACGGTCGCTGACACGTTCATCCAGCCTGGATTTTATGGTCTCAGGCACCTGAGGTAGGAACAGACATCGAAGACGGGGCTGGGCAGGAGCGAATATGTGAGCGATACTGCTGTCCTCCACGTCCCAGTGCCCACGCGATGCTTGCTGATGACGATGTCAGATGACTCGTCTGTGCGTCGCGCTACACACAACTTTCGGCTTGAGAGCTACGGCAACACTATTGTGAGCAGGCGGGCCCGATAAACAGAGTGCGGGAATATGAGTGAGGCGATTTGCGTCTCTTTGTGTGAGTATTAATGTTTGGCAACGAGTGATGCGCGGTGCAACTTCACGAAAGCTGGTATCTGTGCCGCCTCGTGGCCAATCAGAGACCCATCGCCGATTGCCGTCGTCCCTAGCTGCGTCTCACATTTCTGTCCAGAACTCCAGGTCCGATCCAGCAGGTTTCTGGGTCATACCAAGCATCGTCATCACCATCATCATCGTCGCGGTTGCTTGTAGTAGACAGACCGGTCCTGGGTTAATCTGTAGTACGTCCAGTTGATTTCACAGCCAGCATTTGAACTACGTACAGTATTAGTGTCGATCATTGATTTCCAGTGACATGGAGCTCTCCGCGCTCGAAGCTTCCCCCACACTCTGATCATCGTGCCCCACCTTCTCTTTCTCAGCTGGCAGTCTGCCCAGGCTGGCACTGACTTTGGTCACTATTTGTTAGATCAAAAACAACAATCACAGCAGCTTGAACTTGTCACAAAGGCAGGCTTGATTTTTGGCGCAGCTTCGAGACGTGCACAGTTAGAAGGGATAAAAGGAGCTGTCTATTCTTATAGGCACGTAGATGACAGCAAGGTGGTTGACAAGGACTAACAAGTGACTGCGGACCTGTGGTTGGCTAGAATCCTCGGCCATATCCCGCCAGGTCACATTCAACGTTCCGCAGTCGGCGCCCGCCCACCTTATCGATTGCCAACCTGACTTCATACTTCCCCCAGCATGTTATCACGACGCCGCTGAAACAACCTTCAACAACATGGACATGTCGTCTCTCACACGGGCGCACGACCATGCTCGTGCTGCCGCCGTGGCCACGCGCTCCAACTCCGCGGACACAACAGTTGCCATCAACGAACACACTCAGGCTGCTGGCGAATTCGCAACCACAGCCACCTCGACCTCCAGCGTCGAGGCGCTGCGCATGCTGAAGCTTCTAGAGAACCACCATCGGAAACTGGCGACCCTCCTCAATCTGCCGGCACAACAGGCTGCGCAGCCAGCACACGATGCGGATGACATCAGCGAAAAGGGCCACGACAGGCGAGCCAAAAGCAAGAGCGAGACCGTGACTGTGACAGAGGCCAGGACGGTCACGTCTGCGCAGAAGTCAAATGCGCCACAGGAGAGAAGAAAACCACCCCGCGAAATGTCGTCTTCCATCGCCAGCAACCTTGCTTCGGCGCGGGGAATCCGCTCCAAGCATCAAGGGCAACCTCTGTCTCCCAGCATATCAAAAGATCAAGCACCCGGCAACGTCGACGGCCACCCACGGCGAGATGGCTCTCAGGCTAAAATGCAAAACATTATCGAGCACAAGCCCGGCAAACCAACCTGGGTACCGCCTCACGCACCGACTGATTCGATGACCAAGCAGAGAATACATGCAACTCCGCCGAGACCGAGCGATAACATTGACGACGGTGGCTATGGTCGATTTTACAATGCTTTTGGAGGCCTTTTTAGCAGAATATCAGCGCCTCTGGCCTTTGCTGGTTTGCCGCTTGTTCAAGAGGAGCCCGATGAGCCAGAGTCTGCAGCGCCCGAACCGACCATCAATAAGCGACGAACAGTCAAGTCTGCGCATGCGAACGATGACCCGGATCTTTCCAAAATCTACTCCCAAGCAACAATGCGCACTCTCAAGAATGCAGGACATGGTCCAACAGAATCATTCTACGTTGTCCCTATGAGTGGGGGCACAATGTCCTATGCGAATATCGTCCGACATGAGCAGCGAGAGAAGCGCCGCAATGATGCCTCCCAGTATAGTTTCTCCAGAGACGACGAGGACGACGATTTTGTAGATGCGAGCGAGACTCCCGTGCCACGGTCGCCTGATGCGCAACGCAACGTCAGTCGCAGCCGGGCAGACAAACAATATTTGAATACAATCGAAGAGCTGTCCACACAGAACAAGTCCTTAAAGGATATGCTCGACAAGCTCACCAAGCGTCTCCACGCCTTCGAAGCCAGCGCCCAAAATATGGCGATGAGCTATCGACCAATGCGTCCCGGTTCGCCCCTCTCCACTACGAGCAAGGCTCCAGTGGAAGCCAGTGGCAAGAAGCAGGTCGAATTGGAAGAGGAGATGCATGCAATGAGACAACATGCCGAGAAGCTGGAGAAAGACAACATCAAGATGCAGAAAACGCTGGAGAAGTACCGACAGAAGTGGGAGACACTCAAAGCAGGCGCCAAGGCGCGGAGGGAGGCACAAAGTGGTGGGGATAGTATCGAAGATGCAAGGAATATCTAGCCCTCTTCATCCAGATATCATTTAGCCTGCACAGTAACAAGGAGATTTGTTGCGTATGATCTTTCTTGATGTCAGCACGGAGGGGTGACGGTCGCGTTTGTGACCACCAGTGGACCCGAGCATCAATTCCACCAGAAACTCACGCTGAAGCTGATGCTCAAACTTCTCACATAGTGCCACCAGCCCATCGGTATGAGCAGAGTATCCCCCGGACCCAATATCCCTTCCCAATAGTCAACACCGGAGAGGTTCGCTTTAAGCTCTTCCAACTCATCTGGGCTGCCATCGTGGGGGTCCCAGCCTTCCAGTATCCCGACATCCACTTCACTCGTGTTGCTCATGTCGACGCCCTCCTCTGCTTTTCTCGGCCTCATCTTTTCTGTCGCGGAAGGCGGATACAGCCTGACATACTTGGTCCCCACAACCTGACAGAGCAAGTTGTGATAACCGTCCGTATGCAGAGGCGTGATCGTCTTGGCCGGTCCGAACCATGCGTTCATTGACGGCATGTCGAGTTTCTCCTGGTTCTTCGACACATCGGTAGGATGTCCTGGAACATCTGCCCAGCAAAAGTCCGGGATCTGGACGTCATTCCTCAAGGAGGGAATTTGAGTGAAGAGGTTATGCTGCGCGAGGTAACCCACCTGCCCCTCTGACGTGAGGATATACTTGGATAGAAATGTTTTGAAATTAATGAGCTCTTGCCCCCAGCCTTCATCCACATAAGACCTACCGACTTCAATCGGTACCAGTCGTCTGCCGCCTAGTGTGGCATTAAGGAGATGGTCGACACTTCTCCAGGGGCGGTCTGTCAAAGCAGTCCAAGAGTCGATCAGATCACTAAATATGATCGGTTGTGGCGGTTCCTCGGCAGAGTTCATGTAGTCCTCGAATTTCTCAAGAGTCCAATCTCTGTGCCGGGAGATGGTGCGCTCTGCTGTCAACACCGGGCGCCCATGGGGTTCCTCTGTGGAAAATAGCGACGGTTGAGTTTTGCGACGCTTGGGCAGCGGCTCCTCGGAAGACTTTGACAGTAAACCCGATAAGCTCTCCATTGTCCCGTCAAACCAGCTGCGTGGTATGCAATCGCTCTGCCCCCCGGTCGTAATGAGTGCTCTGTCCAGCTTCTCGACGACGATGTTCCACACATCGCTCCCGTCTTGCTGTTCGTCCACTTGCAACAGGTGGAAGAAGCTCATAAGAACCATTGTATTGGTATAGAGATACCTCCAACAATCCGGCACTCGATCGTACCGGTAGGAGTAGAACTTGGACATGGCGATTGAGGCCACATCCTCGAGTCGCTTGTGGAGGAGCTCTGTGTTGATCTCTTGCACTCCTTTCCCATGCCACCCCTTCAGAAGCTCTGCTTGCCTCGATAACAGCTGCTGGTATGGTTGCGTTGGTTTTGCAATCTCATCTTGGAGAAGAGTTATCGTGCCTGATGGTGAGGCTTCATTCTTCACAGCTGAGGCCGCATCAATATAGCGTTCCAGGAGCGCTGTCCTACAGCCCTGCATAATGAGCGTACATCAATGAAACCGACTGGAGGCAGTCGCAGGTGCTAAGCCCTCATGTTACATTTGATAATGTGGATGGAAAGAGGTTGACAGGTGAGCTTTCACATGTGAGCGTTGGTTGGTTAGAAATCCTATCCCACCTACCCTAGACCCAGACTGCAACCACCAAATGATTGTTCAAGTCGAGGTTGACGCGATATTAGGCTCTGTAACATACATGACATAAGTATGTTGATAGATGGATAGCCTAGACTGACTACGTGGAGAAAAACGGTTGGGAACCATTCGAACGGCCGATACCTTTATGTTACATGTACTTAGCAATCAAGGAAATGGCCACTTTTCACTTCACTGCAAAGACCACGGCCGAAGCACGTAGACTACTAGGTCATTTTTAGTGGATAATCGAAATCAGGGTTGTACACAGTTCGCAGTTGTCACATATTATATATCTAACAGGTCCAGACTCCTACAATGCCGTCTCTTCTACCCTCAACAAGGTATCCGTCCTTGACGCCAACGCGCTCAATGACAGACGGGCTCTTACCCTCTTCTGCCGCAGTCACGCCGGCGCCGCAGTCCCACTGTCTCCCTTCGACCTTGTCGTACACTTTGACCACGTCTTCGCCTGCCGCACTGACGATGCGGCGGGCGTCAAACTCCATGTCGGTGATGGGGTTGTCGTAAGCGTAGGCATCGTATATGGAGCCTGTGCGAAGGTCCCAGATCTGGCTTGTCAGTAAACTCCTTGAGAAGTAGGTCATTCAGACACTCACCCTGATGCTTCTGTCCACGCTGCCCGTGATGAGATGCACATCATCGAATTGCAAGCAAGTCACAGCGCCGGTGTGGCCGACGAGGCTCCTGTGCACCTGCCCACTGCGGAGATCCCACAAGCGAACCATGCCATCGGCAGTACCGCACGCCAAGGCAGATTCGAAAACTTGCAACGCTCCGACAAAGTCTGCATCTCTCCCAGAAGCTCGGCCCGTTGGCCTCCAGCCGTTATCACCGCTGCCGATGGTAGCTGACGCTTGCGCGGCCGCCCACATCACGTCCAGAGTCTGCACGGCGCGTCCCTTTTCGAGATCCCAATGGCGAATGGTCTTGTCTGCTGAGCCCGAGACCAGCACATCACCTCGAAAGTGAAGAGCCGTAATCTCGTCCACGTGGGCCTGCAGTGTGTAAAGCTCGCACTCATCCATACTGCCTTCTGGAGGCTCAAGGTGATCGTCAGCCGTTTCCCAGGCGATAGCATCCTCATCATCCTCGCCTTTGCCGTACTGCGCTCCGTGTGGGTCGTATCGAGTTTTGTTGAGGTCCCAGAGCTTGATGGTTGCGTCCATAGATCCGGTTGCTAGTATGTTATCCTCGACCTGGAGTGTCCTGACAGACGCTGTGTGTCCCTCCAGGTGCCCCATGCAACGGCCAGCGTTGAGATCCCAAACGCGCACAGTATCATCCAGAGCTGCCGTGACCAGCGTCCCGAATGGCGCATCAAAATCCAGTGCAGTGATGGTTTCCTTGTGCGCCCTGATCTCCCGAATGCTGGACCCAGGTTCAAAGTGCTCGTGCAGAATGGGCATTGATTTCTTGCGGTGGACTTTTTTCGATTTTCTCGAGGGAGTGGTTTGCGCCGATTCGGGTATCTTCTCGTACACAGACTGCGACATGAATTCGTGTATCTCGCCATCGCCAGCTAGGTCCTCCTCGTCCTTGGTTGCGGTGTTCTTCGCAATCTCTTCGGCTTCGTCGACCAGAAGTTGAGCCTCTTCCACACGGCCTTCGACGTCAATCACTGCCTCGTTAGCTTTTGAGTGCTGGCCCGTGACAGGGGCCACCTACGGTCGTGCTCTAGCACAGCTTCGTCCTGTTCAAACCCAGCGAGCCGTTCCAAAATAATCCGCCGCATCCCGTGCAGATTCGCAATCTTGTTATCGATCTCGCGGATCTCCGCGCTGGACATACTCTTTCGCACCCCCAAGAGATTGAGTTCGTGTATCATAGATGCCCTCTCCCTCTTGAGTTGCCCGAGTCGCTTCGGGTCGCTTGGCGAAGCTTTGCCGTCGTCGATCAGTTTTCGGCCCCTGGAAACGCGTCTGCGATGCTTCTTCCCATCATCCGTAAGCTCCGGAAAACTGGCCTGGAAGCCTTGGAATAGAGAGTACGAGTTTTCGTGTTCCGGTATGTTCGATAAGAGCTCGTCGGGTAGATGGGTCAATGCGCGATGCTGAATCTCCGAGGTCGATAACTTGGAGCGAACCATGTCTGTAGGCGTCGTTTTGGCCATGGAAAACATGCTGCGCTGGATTTTAGGCCTGCGCATTTGCTTGTTGACCTCAGCCATCGCTGTCTTGTAGTGGCCGCTGACATCTTCCGCGTTCGGGCCTATGAGATGGTTTGCTGTCGTCGTGACCTTGCGCCCAAAAGCTTCGAGTCCCCGGCTCTGCACAATCGCGATTTGTTAGTCCTTGATTCACAGGGGCGCTTTGTCGAGAACGCGCGGTGCCCATACCGAGATGATTGATCGCTCGTCGTCGCCAGCTCCATCGTCCGGAAAGCCATAGCCTTCAGGGTCAGCCATGGCAGCGCCCGGAGCTGGGATCGTTGCTGATTCGGTGATGGTAGTGTTGATAGCGGCGTGCCTCACGTATTGAGCATTCTATCATCGGTTGTTGAGGCGCAAGACAGATGGTGCGACAAAGCTTGATTGGAGCTTTGAGGGAGAATGACGCGCTGGAACGGGAATGTACGTGCCCAAAGAGCTGCGAGATAAGGTATCCACTTTTGTAAGAGCTTACCCGGTAGACAGTAGATCTGGCCAGGAGCTGTTGGTTCAGTCTGGGCCGCCCAGGAGACGCAGTGCTATTGTAATGAAACAAAACAGCAGCCAAGGGGAATTCAGTGATGAGCAGAAGTAAATAGTATAAGAAGAAAATGACTGACTATATCTCTTGGTAGGTACTCTGGCAAGCGAGAAGGTGGGCTCTATGAAGGGAAACCTTAGGCAAACGCTGGTTTATTTCGCGATCGAATAAGATATGATTATTTGAGTAAGGTAGAGATGTCTTCTTGATCAATGGAGTCCAGAAAATTACAACTCCACGCAAGATGGCTGACCTTGCATGTAGTTCTGTTGTGAGGTGACCAGCCGTTGCGATACTCCGTACTCCAACGTCTAAGCCAACGGGACCCTCCGGAGTCCGATGACCGGCGGGTCAGAAGAAAGCGTGCGCTTCTCTGACTTCGACCGCCAGAGCTAGCTCTCCTCACGCGAATTCGGCTCCAAAACATCGCAGGAGACTATCTCACTTATCATTCTCACAGCGGGCTCCTCTCTGTTCAAGTATTCATTCTCCAGGCTCAAGTAATGGACGCTGCCGTGGACATGGGCGATGCTTCCAAGGCGCTCGAGCTATCGAGGATCCGATTTCAACTCATGTAAGGACTACTGGCTCCCTGAAGCCAATGAAGATCAATGTTCGAACTCGAGTCTAATGCTTTGCAGTCGTCTGGAGGATACCATCACATTCCACCTCATTGAGCGCGTGCAGTTCGCGTTGAACCAGACTATCTACACGCCGGGTGCTCTCAGCATCCCGAACAGCGAACTGAGCCTTCTGGATTGGTACCTTCTCGAGCAGGAGAAGCTTCAGTCCTTGATCCGCCGTTTTGAGTCACCCGACGAGTACCCTTTCTTCCCGGATGCCGTTCAGAAGCCCATTCTCAAGCCTCTCAATTATCCCAAAATCCTGTACACCAACAGCGTCAACGTCAACGACAAAATCAAGAGCTTCTACATTGAGAAGTTCCTCCCAGCTGTCACGCCAGACTTTGGCCGGGAGGACCGGGGCGAGGCGGAGGAGAACTATGGCTCGACTGCCACCTGCGACATTGCTTGTCTACAAGCTCTGTCCCGCAGGATTCATTTCGGAAAATTTGTGGCCGAGTCCAAGTTCCGCTCAGATGAAGAAAAGTACACACGCCTGATCAAGGCCGAGGACCGCGAAGCGATTGGGGAGGCAATCACGAATACAGCTGTGGAGAAGACAGTGCTTGAGCGCCTGCGACTCAAGGCCCAGACCTACGGAACGGACCCGGGCAACCCCCAAGGCTCGAAGGGTGTATCCAAAATCAACGTGGACGCAGTGGTGTCAATGTACAAGGACTTTGTCATCCCATTGACGAAGGAAGTGGAGGTGGAATACTTGATGCAAAGACTTATCCCGGAAGCCTAAGGGCACGTTGCATTACTATCACGATGGCGGACTTAGATACTTCTTGACAGCTTCAACCGCCTCCGGGTATTTGCTTGCCTCGATCAGGATCATGTGCCCAAACGTTTTAATGCCCATCTCCTGGAACGCGCGCTTGCTGTCTGCCACAGCCTCGTCTTGCTTGGTGTATTCGAAGCTACCATACGCAGTAGCGTATCTCTGGAAGACCTCGTCCTCTGGGTGGAATGGGTATACCGAGGCTTGCTCCTTTGCCTTCTTCTTTTTGCGGTCTTCCACATCTAGCACTGACTCGACCTCTTGGTACGTCTTGGACAGGATGAGGTAGTGTGTGAACTCGTAAGGCTCCTTGTCCTCAACGGCAGCTCCCACCTCGTCGATGAGCATGGAGTGCAGCGGTGGCGCAATCTCGCCGGGGACGTTGATCAGACGTTCGGAAAACACGAGACCGACCTGCTTCTTGCCCTCGATCAGAGGTGGGATCGCTGACAGAGACTCATTGGTCCGAGCCTTTTGCGCGAGATATTTGGAGATGGCCTCGATGGGCTCTTTTTGCGCATGCTCGGCTAGGTTGAGGACTGTGCAAAGCGCGTATGCGTCGGTAGACTTTCCATCGACCTTGACCGTCGAGCCAATCGTGGGTTGCGAGAGGATGAGGTCCGTCAATGCAGACATGTTGAAGAGATTCGCGTCCACGTCGAATAATTGTCGCAACAGGCCCTTGGTGCCCTCGAAGTCGATGTCGTTGTCGAAGTTGAACCACTCAAAGTCCACGTTTACTACGTCAAAGTCCTGGAATTGTTAGTCTTACCAGGTGGCCGGGTGGTTTTTGAACATACCTCCTCGTCATCCTCATCCATCTTGTCGACGTTGGGATCCGCCTCGACGGGGTCCTTGCCGTCGAGTTCTCTGGATCGCTTCTTGCCCATGATGTATTGTGTATGGATGGGGGGTTACACTGCTTGAAAGTAAAGGAGATTGGATCACAGCAGAAAAATCGGAAAGATGAAGCAGCTGGTGATGCAACATGTGGCGCTGCGAGCTTCGGGGCCAGAAAATTGATGCCCCTCGCTAACCGCCTTGGGACTGATAAGCCCGATAAGGAGCGCTTAATCCACGCGGGAAGGCTACGGCAGATTGACCAATCCAGAGCAGCTGTAGAATGCGGAGACTGGGCTGGGCTGAGCTGCCCAAGAGCGACTGGACTTGCGTCAGCGACCTTCCATTACGACCGTGCCTGCTGCGAGCTAGCCAACAACTCCCAACACCAGATTCGCCCCGGCGAGCGCTCCACACGATCTGAATCGCCAGAGTCATGAATGTCGCTTGAGATACATCAGAGACTCTCCTCTTGCACGGTCCCGACATCGGTCTCTACACCCGTCCTTACCCTCCGCAGCTCGCACCATGGACTACAGCGCATCTATCCACGAAGTCGAGGATCCGACTGGAGCCTCGCCTTGGGGCAATTCGCCCACCGCATCGCCTCAGCATAATCGACCCGGGTTTGGGAATATCGATACCACCGGCGTCGAACCTCCCCCATTCCGCATCAACACACAGACCTCCAATGGGTTTTCGCAGGATCCGTCCTTAACCGAGGGGTTTCAACGCTCTGGCACGGAAACGAGCACCACCGGCACTGATGGTGACCGCGAGGAGTCGGAAACGCAGAGCGTCCCAGTGAGCGGTGAGGCGACCGAGCCGCAGTCCGAGCAGCCTTCGGGGCCTGGTGCGCCGGAGGTTGCAGGTCAGGGACAACAACACGAGCAGCCTGGGCAGACCGAGGAGTCGCGACGCCCCCCGAAGCCGCAATACAAACTACAGGCCAAAGTCACAGGTCTCGAGCGCACGGGAAAGAAGGACCCTATCCTGCGATTCGATATACACGTATGGACCCATGTGCCTCCTCGTTGGTCCGCTGCTAATTGCTCATACAGACTAACTTGCCGCGATTCCGAACGACTCAGTATCGCGATGTACGACGACTTCACTCCGAGTTTGTGAAGCTAGGAGAGCACCTTGTTGGGGCCAACCCTGAAGCTCTCGTGCCTGCTGTGCCTCCACCGGTCACGTCAGCTGGTGCAGGCACCGATGAGGACGAAACACGAGTCAAAGCCCTGATGCAGAGGTGGTTCAATTATGTCTGCAGCAGCGAGGTACTGATGAAGGATGATGAGATGATCCTTTTCGTGGAGAGCGACTTCGGCTACAGCCCGCTTGTGAAAATGAAGCAGCCAGCGACTGGCGTGCGTCGAAAGATCCTGAAGCAGTTTGCGCCCCCTCCCGATGATACCCCCGAACTCGCGGAAGCCCGACCGACGGTCAAGCTGTTCTACTTGGGGTCGATGGACGCCGGACACAAGGTGGATAAGATGGTCAAGGCGAGACGCGGTAAGTAGCACTAGCCAAACGGCTGAGCAGTGAAAGACTGACGTAGAATGCAGGGCTCGGCCTTACAGAATCGGAGTATGGTGTCAAGCTCGGGACCATGCATGTCCAAGAGCCGCACCCAGGACTGGCGAACGCGTACCGCAAACTCGGCAAGGTGGTCCAGACTATGGGCGACTATCACGCTGCACAGGCGACGGCCGAAGCTACAACCATCGGAGACCCCTTTCAGTATCACTCCCAGGATGCATTTATTGTGAAGGAGACGTTGACCAACCGTCAAATCTTGATGCGGGAGTTTATCCAAGCTCAGGAGGCCACCCGCAGCAAACTCAATGCTGCCGATCGACTCAAAGCCCAGTCCAGTGTACGCCGGGAAAAGGTCGACGAGGCTATCGCTGCTCTGGATGAGGCTCGCAACAACGAGACTTATCTGTACAACAAGACCCACAACGTCACGCAGAACCTCGTTCAAGAGCGCCGCAAGTGGTTCAGCCGCACCGCCACGGACTTGCGCATGAGCATTCGCGAGTATGTGCTCCGAGAGATTGAGGCTGAGCGCCGAACGCTTGCTCTCCTCGAGAGTGTCCGTCCCGACATTCGCGGCATCGATGCATCCGGTGGCCTCAGCCGTCTAGGGCGAGAGGCGCACCCTGCAATACGCCGCTCGAGCTTGGCTGCGAGCCAGGGACCAAAGGGTGACTCCTGGAGCGGTGTTCCCCGACGCTCTGATGCCAACAGTCGCACTGTCTCCAGCAGCTTCATGGGCCAGCTGCCTGAGGAAGGCGATGGCGAAGAAGGCGCCGAAGTCAGCTCCGGCCGCCTGGGCTCCAGTGGAGCTGTGGGACCCAAGGATGAGGACGACGACGATCGCGTGGATGCCAGGAACGCGGCTAGTCGGTTAGCCACGAGCACGTTCTGAGGAGTGCAAGGCATGCCGCTTTCTGGGGCGGGGGAGTAGTTGAGTACGTTGGTCCCGTGTACTGAATTTCCTATGATAGCCATACCAATTCACGACATTCTGTCTTGACTCATCTTGCGCCCGTTGTGGCCTTTCTGGGTCTGTACTCTGTAGTCTCTATCTGAGGCCGGAAGGTGTCCATTGTCGCCAAGAATACGCCTACTCTAATGCTACGCTTCGCAGCAAAACATCCGGGATCGAGAAGAGGATTGATATCTGCGCCGTTCCTACACTCAGGTAGTGGCCAAGACCTTGTCACACAGAAGCTTCGGGGTCGTTCTGGTGCGGATAAATCAAGCACGATGCATACATTGGTGGAAGTGCATTGTGGAACATGGCTATCATTCAAGATAGATAACTGTGCTTGTGAAGGCGGCCCACGTCTCCATTGTCCCACGCTGTCCTCTAATATCCGGGAGTATGTCCACGAACCTCACAAACCGTTGCTTTCGGCCTCGAGTGACCAGCTCTTCCTGATTGCACTCGAACGGAAGGCAAGCAAGTGGCTGAAGCTTCCACTTGAGCCACAGATATTGCCGAGCCACATTCAAAGCAACCCACCCACATGCAACTCGAGTTGATGATCTTTGACAAAAACATCAGCAGCAACAATAAGTATCCATACAAATGTCAATCGTACATTGCATCTTCTCCATTCCCTCCAATACCGGACCACCCTCCGTCAATGTTTGGTGCCACCAACGGCAGGCTCTGGACACCCTCAGGCCTCAATCAGTGCCTGGGGCAACCGCTCCGGTTGTTTCCCTCATTGGCATGTGAGAAGCTTATCACAAGTTCACCACACCATTTCTCCGTACAAGCACCGAGCAACGCGAGAGGCAAGCCATGATGGGGCTCCAGATTCGGTCCCCAAACCGGGCAGAACATGGCTGGGCCATTGGTGTGGTCCCCCCGCATGCCACGACGCGCGCATTCTGGAACCTGGACTAAACAAGGGCACCCCTGTCCAACCTTGAGCATGCTATGGCGCGAGCTGCGCGCCTTCGCGGCCGCACGGCTGCATCTGAATGGCAGCATGAGCATGTCTCTCTCTATTACGGATACACATACCTTACATGATTCACGGCAAGTCTAGCTGCAGTGCAGTGCATTGCAGTGCAGCATCGATTAGACTCTGGAGATAAGGACAGCCGTGCCGGCACTGTAGACGGCCACTTGCAGCCGACAATGAGCGGTCAGAGAATTGAACACTATCAATAATTATCAAGCAAGCAGCGCGCGCGTCAGACGGACGGACGCAAGTTGGTGCCCGCCAAAAGCGGACCGCCTGCTTTGGGACGCTATCATGCTCGTCACATTTTCTCCGCCCTGTCACTATGGATAGACTGACGATATAGGCAACGGGTGAATCAACCAGTCTTTTGCATGAGAGCTTCGACAGCTGTGCAACACCTCTCGTATACCAGTGTCAGGTGGCGCTTCCACCCATTGAGCGCCGGCGATGGCGGCACAAAGCACGCTATCCTGTCCCTGCCTCAGTTGCTGTTGTTGCTGTTGACCTCGCCGTATGTGTTCTTCGCGACATGATTTCACATGCAAGGATAGACCTCGCTCGTGCAGACCGCCATGCTTGCTGCGCCAGGCCGGCTGACGAGACGAGTATCCGTTCAGCCAGTGTCCTGGCCTGGCCTGCCTAGTCGAGACAGCACGCACGTCCTGGATTGTGCCAGCGGCCGAGCACGTTTTCGCATGGCTCGATATCGTTCTCGACGAGACCCCTACCAACAATTCGCGTCCACAAGGTAGCTCGCCTCCCACCCAATTTTGCCGGCGCGCGGTCTGCTGCATCATCCTCGTTCCCCGGGGTGCTTCTCCAACAAAGTACAGCCAATACTGGTGGAAAGGTGCTCTGAAACAGACTCCGATTCGGTCAATGGTGGCCACATCCTCCGTCGGCAGGGCTAAATGCATGCCCGGACAATGTCTATCGCAGTGCGCTGGATCGATGAAACTGCTGGTCGTAGCCCGTCCCCGAGATTGCGTTTTGTCATGGAAATGCAGAGACATGCTGCCAGTGGCCTTGGCCACGATAAGCGTGCGTTTCGTGACTGGGCCATGCTTGTGTTTGTGGCCTCGGTCCTCTCGCGAGATGCTTGCAGACCCCGGCGACGCTCTTTGCCTCCTTTGGAGCGGTTGTCTTCTCCTTTGTCGTCCCTCCTTGTGCCATGACGGCATTGCGCTCAGCAAGAGCCGGCGAGACAGACGGACCTCCGGCTCGCGTACTTAAGGGCGTGCGCGAGCGCTTTCTATCTCGCCCTCTTGCCAACAACCTGAAGACGGACGGACCAAACACCCTCGCGTTGGCCAGCAAGATCCAGAACGACTATATAGATACATTGCAAGCTTGCTCGCGCCCCCCAATTCAAGCCTCTATACGCGCACAGTCAGTCAGAAAGCACCACGCCCTGGCCAATCCCACTCACGACGCCCTCCCCAATAGGCAGTTAGTTGGCCAAGCATCCCACTCTCATCCCACGCTCTGCGCGTCATCCGCCAAACAATGGCCCCGGCAGCCACTGGCGAAGAAGACACGCCAATGCGGCTCTCATCGTATACCAGTTCGGCAAAGTCTTCTTCTATTTATGCATCCGTACTGCACGGGCCGCGCGATCTTAGGCTTGTACGTTAGCCTCTCAAGACTCAACACGACGAACCCCCACGTCGGGTCGCCCAACCCTTCATGCTAACCAACTCCTAGGAGACGAAGACCATCGAAGCCCCCGGGTCTGGCGAGCTCCAGATTGCAGTCAGAAAGACCGGCATTTGCGGATCCGATGTGTCCTACTATAAGAAATTCGCCAACGGCGACCTATGTGCTTGCCATCCCCTGTCTCTTGGGCATGAGTCTGCAGGCGAAGTCGTCGCCATTGGGCCTCAGGTCGATGGCTTTCGGATCGGAGATAGGGTGGCACTAGAGGTCGGTGTCGCCTGTGGGCAATGCGGCATCTGCCGCAAAGGACGTTACAACTTGTGCAAGAAGCTACGATTCAGGAGCAGCGCCAAGAGCTATCCCCATTACCAGGGAACTCTGCAGGAGAGAATCAACCACCCGGCTGTCTGGTGCCACAAGTGAGTCACGTTGCTTCAAAGCACTTTGGGTCTGGGACTGATCTGTCCAGACTACCTGACCACATCTCGTATGATGCTGCTGCCCTCCTGGAGCCTCTTTCGGTAGCTATTCACGCCATGAACCGTGCGCAGCCCGTCCCTGGTTCGACGGCTCTGGTCATTGGCGCTGGCACGGTGGGCTTATTGACAGCGGCCATGGCCCGTCAATCCGGCTGCACAGCAGTGACCATTACAGATATCGACGCTGGACGAGTCAACTACGCCATCGCAAAGGGCTTTGCCACTCATGGCTACGTAATCAATAGAAGTTTTGGCTCTGGCGCGTCGACGCCCGGGTCAGGCTCACTCACCCCGTCGAGCGTCTTTTCAACCGCGAGCCAGTTCGATGGCGCAAAGTCAGCCGCAGCCGAGATCTTTGCCGCCTCGCATCCCGCGGACGAGTTCATCCTCGACGAGGATGAGGATGGGTTCGACGTCACATTCGAATGCACCGGGAAGGAGGTGTCCATGCACACCAGTCTCTATGCCACGAAGCCGGGCGGCAAGGTGATCATGGTCGGCATGGGGACGCCGATCCAGACGCTGCCTCTTTCGGTGGCCCATCTCCGCGAAATCGACATTCTTGGCATCTTCCGGTACGCCAACACGTACGCGACTGGCATCCGTATGCTCTGCTCACAAAAGAGAGGCGCTGCTGGGTCGTTTCCTAATCTTGATGACATGGTCACCCACCGCTTCAAAGGGCTGGACAAGGCACAAGGTGCCTTCGAGCTCGCAAGCCGAACATCGGATGATGATGGAAACTTGGTGCTCAAGGTTGTCATCGAGGCATAATAAATGGCAAGAGTCGCCATAAATGGTAGACTCGCCGGTGTTCTGCGCGTGTTTCGGCGTTCGGGTCACGGTCTGGTTGGGCTTCATGATTGTAGTAGATTCCACACCGTTGCGAGGGCATGGTCTAGAAGACGGTGGTTATAATAATAATGCCGAGATGATGTTGCCTCCGCATCTAAGTTCGTAAAAGTGCCCTTCCAAACGCCCAGCTCATGTGGCAGCAAAACAAAAGTACCCATCATGATTTTCTCAAGTCAACATATCCATGACGGAACTCATCCCCGCCGAGGGGTCGTGTCCTTGCTGGTGGCTCCGTAGCTTGCCCTGCTGCACGATACCGAACGTCTTGCCCACCTCGCGCGCCTTTTCAGTGCTCTGCATGATGGTGTTGAGCAGTTGGACCAGCTGCACATCGTTTGTTTCTTGTAGAATCTCCTTGTCAAAGGCTTCCTTATCCGAGGGAATGATCAAGTCGAGCCGCGATACCAGAGCCTGGATCTGGCGCAGGACTGTGAGCGAGGGCACTGTGTTGTCTGAATCCATATCTGCGTCCTCGTCGCCTGGGTTGCTATTGCCGTTCTTGAAAGCGGGCGGCAGACGTTCCAGGTAGGCTGTCATTAGATCGATGCGCGACTGCAGCATCTTGATCGCGTTGGCCTTTGTTGTTAGTGCTGCCACCATCTCCTCCTCTTCCTTGCTCAGTGTGTCTTCTGCGGCTTGTTTCCCTTCCTCGGCCTGAGTCTCGGGTTCCTCACTCTCTACGAGACGACGTTTCCCCTTGCCATTGCTCTCAACCGACCGCGCGGGCTCTTTCTCTTTGCTTGTGACCGCCGCAGCATTTGCGCTCCCGGACGCGACATAGTTCATCCCAATCATCTCCGTCTCCTCCGTCTCGACCGAGTAGGGCAGTTCTCGGAACCGCAACTGCAGACCTGACTCCCCATCATCCATGCGCTTGTCCTCGTCATTGGTCGGCTTGCTGCCTTCGACTTCGAGATTGGATTCGTAGATTGTGAGGGGTAGCTTGCCGCCCGCAGAATGGTTGAGAACCTGATCAGGATGGAAGGCGAGGAGGATAGCGGATTCGTTGTAGTTGGCGAGGAAGAAGCGGTGGGCGGGGAGTATAGACTCGTCGGGGCCAGAAGAGGGCAGTAAGGTGAACCAGCCGACGAGGTCGAGCTGGCGGTCTTTGTGCACGAGCTTCACTATTGGAAAGGATCAGCGGCGCGCTTAAGACAGAATGTTTGGGAGTGTGAGGTCTTACTCTGCTCTAATCGTTTTGCGAACCACCCTACCGCTACCATGTTGTTCCCCTCCTCCATCTTTACCTCGAAGGCGTGCTCAATGGTAATCTCGCGGCCATTCTGCTGGCCGAGGACGCCACCGACTATAGGATGTGTCTTCCCCCGTAGTGTGTGTCGCGAGATGTAGTCGGAAATCGTAAGGAGGACGAGCGGGTGCAGGACAACCTGGAGCTCCGAGCTACCGGCCTGTGAGACGAGAGGGTTGGTTACCTGGCCAGGCACAGCGCCATGGGACGTCATCTTCGCTACTCCGTCGTGATTTCCTAGGTAGATATCATAAGTGGAGTGGCGGTATATCAAACATGAAGATGACAGCTATGTCAAGGAAGGCGATTTGTTCGTGCGTTGGAGATGGATGATGAACGTTTGGGGGCGCTCAGCTCAGGCTGCCCCGCGTGTGGAGTCTGCACCGTGACCGTGACGCCGGAGTAAGGAGTGGAGAAGACGCTAGAACCACATTCAGATGACTAATCAGTCAACAATGAGACGCCCCTTTTTCTGGTTGGGCGTTTGCTGAGCTCAATCTTAGGCATATCAAATTACTCCGACACATCATTTATCACACGCCTCAATCAATCGTGTTCTTCAGTGATTTAACACCCAGTCAATGACGTACTGGGGCCATGGGCGGTGAAGAGATACAATCTTATTGGTGTCGATGCCCCAAAACATCGGTCAATGCACTCTTCTCCAATCAATCGTGGTTTCGTTGCCTGTTGAGGACAACGCTTCTGGCAAACGCTCTGTTTCTACAGTGCTTGCATCATTCTAGAAGCACGCCGCACTTTGCTTCTTTGAAGCAGACATGCAAGCCCCGCTCGTTGAGCCGCATGTATAGGCCTGCCTTTGTCTGCTTCTGCTTGAACCTTGAAGCTTCAGGCGAGCTTCAGGTACAAAGACGAAAACAAAGAGAGATGGGTCTCTTTTCAATATGCTAGTGGTAATTGTCAATGTATCCGCAAAGTCGTGATTTCCCTTCCAATATGAAGCAAGTCCCGCCAACCCCCCTTCGCTCATCTTGTCAGAAATCCCTACCACTTCCCACATCGCTCCCTTCGGATGGAAGATAATCCAAGCACCCGAAGATCCTCATCTAAATCCTTTAATTCGCAAATAGCTCAGTCCTTCACGTCATGACTACTTTTGGCCTGGGTACTGAACGTAAACGACACATGAGCTCCGACTCTGACACCAGCCAGCCCGACAACTCCAAGAAGCACAAGATGTCTTGCGACCAGGACGTAGCTGATTATGTTTCCTCTTCATTCTATCAAAATGAAGGACCTTATGAGCAAGTCTGGCAACGACACAAAGGGGGCATCGCCTTCCGCGAGATCGGTTGGAACCGCCCGGCAGTGTGCATCATGTCTCCGCCTGTGTCGCCCAAGTCGTTCGAGGTCCCTTCAGAGATATCGCCTTTGGCGACGGGCACTGAGGAATTGGACTTCTGTCGGATGTTCCACACGCAAACGACAGATGCGGATTTGCTTCCACACGAGCCAGCATCTGATTCGCCGATGCCTGACGCCTTGGACCCGGCTTCATACTTTCGTCACAGCCATCCTTCATTTGCAGAGCCAGCTTTCCCTGAGGGGCGCCAGATGATTGCGCCAGAGCAGATCCGGACCGTGGACTACCCCAGGAAGTCTTCTACGACAATTCCGCCAATGTACCATTCATTACCCTATATGCGTCTGCCATGCAACTCTATGTCCGAAGCGTAAGTGTCACCATCTTGATATATGTTCTCTTGATCGCTGAACCCTGGGCTCAGATATCCCCTTTCGCAACCGCCCCGACTCGATGAACACCACAATGCATACATATGGCCGTTTCTGGGCGAGCATGGCAACCATCCACCCGCGCATGCGGCGGAAAACACCGCTGGACGACGAATTTCCATGCATATTGATAACTTGGACGAATGCTACGGCCCCAATTTTGACTACTAGGCGTCTTGGAGTGGTCTACAGGGTCGCAGAGTTGAGAAGAGACAATTTGAGGAAGGAAAAGGAAATACCTGGATTGGCGTTGCGATCTCATCCCTATGTCCCGCAAAATCCTCTGAAATATTATCTATCCGTAATTGAAACACTCTAGTGCTCACAGAAATTCCAGGACGAATGTGACAACTGCTCGTTAACACCTTCCTGCAGCACTGTTCGCTCATCCATCAACTCTTCCCGAATGACCTTGGCCTCCTCCAGGCCCACCGGCGTGGCCTCGGGGCTAAAGACCATATCGCGCACCTCCTGAGGTAGCCTAGCTATTTGCGTATCCTTGAGGTCAACCTGGCGCGCCCACCAGTCTCGTTGCTGTGGTGGCACATTGGCCGTAGAGATGATGGGGATCTGTGGGTCGACCAGGAATAAGGCGAGGATCTTTCTGTGGCCCGGTCTGGTCTTGTCGACAAGCTCAAAGGGAGAGACGTGATGCTGGTACAAGTTGGGGAAGAACAGTGCTCGGTCGGGGCGTGTGAGCACGGAGCCAATGTTTTGGAGTAAGTCGCCCCGAGCATCGATAGCAAAGGCGCGCTCGATGCTGTAGTGATCATCTTGCTCGTGGTCTAGTTCCATCATGAGATCTTCTTTATCGGCCATGGTACGGAAATCCAAGCGGCAATCGGTAATGTTGTCGCTGTCGTAGTAGAAGAGGGCTGTCGCGCAGATGTGCTCGTTCAGCTGGCCCTCTGTGTGCCACGTGCCTCCCGGATACGATGGCGAGTCAGGGGTCAAGTGGATGTTGGCGAGCTTGACAATGACTTGTATACGCGACGCGCCCTTCTCCCAAGTACCGTTGCGGCTGTCCTTCTCCTCATCGTCGTTGGAAAGGTCTGCAAAGAACTTGTCCTTGTTCACATCCTCAGAAGCCTTGAGATCGAAGGGAACTTTCTCCGGATCTGGTTCCGGCAACTCCAACGGGTGAGTGGTATTGTACCAGATCTTGTCTTTCCTCTCCTGTTCTGAACCCACATACCGCTCTTGCTCACGGGGGTTCTCTCCCTCCTCAAGCGGCCTATTGGAACGTTCGCATCCTTCACTGCAGAGTTCCTCCGTCGTACAATCTGCGACTGCGCTTGTGCAATCGATGCGCTTGTGCTCGTAGTGTTCAGGCCAGCGGTAACACAGATCCCATGCTGGAAGTGAATTTTCGATGAACTTTTCGATCACCGGGTACATGTCCGCGTGGTCGAACGGGTGTAGGTTGTTGATGTAGCTCACGATTTCGGCCCTGCCGTTCTCAAGCTTGACATCGCATGGCAACCACTGGTACTTGAACGAGAAGAATGGTGCCCAAACCGCCGAACGAGCCGGGATATCTTGAGCGGCAATGACTTCGCCCGCCCCGCAAAATTCCAATGCGTTCGCCAGATCAATGCGCTTGTCTTTCAAAACTCTTGTTTTGCCGTAGGCCAAGGGGTACAGCGACGGATGCACCAGGTCGAGCACCTTGTTGTCGCTTCGGGGATGCCAGTCCTTCTTGTCATCAGGAACATTTTCCAGTCGTGAAACAGCCGTTTTGAGGTCTTTCACCAAGTCCGGATCATCCTTGAGGATCTTGTCAGACTTGATCACGCAAAGAGAGTAGTCCAAGACTGGGACGAAGCCGGCTTCCTCGTAAAAGTCGGCCTTTCGCTGCAGCTCAACAATGACAGCGTCCGCCATGTTTTGCGTGAACCCTTCAGGAGCAAGCTTCAAAGTCCAGTCGCCACTCTGGCCCAGCGCAATGGCCTCCTTCTTCCATTTGTCTGCAATGGTAGGCTCGCGGACTTTGAGCCACCAGTCGGGCTTGTTGGTGAGCTCCTCCATAACCTGCAGCATGGCGATCTCGCGATGAGTCAGAGTATATGCTTTCCACGAATAGTCACGATCGTAACTCAAGACGGGAAACCTCGAATCAGAGCCAGGTAGGAAGTTTACCGGCAGACCTAAGCCTGGGATCTGTGAGGAAGTCAGCATAGACATAGATGTACTGAGAAAGGGGTGCTTTACCCTGGTCTGGTTATCAGAGGTAGACATGTTGTCCATGTTTGGTGTGACGGATTTCTTCAACTTTGATATCCAGCTCGTGAGGGCTATCATATGGTGGGAAATGGTTGTTTTTTAAAACCGGGTGCTGGGGGTTCATTTATAAGTGCAATGGAATAGATGCGCCTGAGCTGGAACTGGGAGGCCTGCCTTTATTAGGCAGCACCGACGATCGTTACTCCGACAAGAGGACCAACAGGACACTACTCTAACAGATTGTAGCCAAAGCGGGATCGTGAATATTGCTATGGTAAAATGTGTCTGAGCTGAACGACGGTGGTGAAGGAGAAGGGGGGAATCCACCTCCAGTTAATTAGGCTACAGCGGGTGGGGCAGCGAGCAGCTCTGTTAGCGATCATTATGTGAACTAGGCCAAAACGCTAACTCGATATCCTGCGTGCCAAGGCTCAACACCAAACCCAGGCTCCGCTTCCAAGATCTATTTCCGCTTCAATAAAATATGTGTAGGAACGATCTGTGATATGTTTCTATAGGGCCTGAAAATCTTATGAGCTGATTGCTCGCAAGTTGCGTCGCGCTACACTGTGAAGCAATCCTGTGACACCACTTATACTGCTCGCATTCCGTCAATTCCAAAGTACATCCATGCCGCCTCTTACTGGACTGATTTCAAAGTTGCGAGATCTCGTAACGACAACAAGGTTTTGTATCCTAGTCTCCAAGTCTTGCATCAAATTCACGTCCCCGTCCTTCTTTGCCTGCCGATAGCGTTCCATCAGGATGGCGTGCTTCGCCTCATACTCCTCCCTGAGGATCTTTCTGCGCACTTCTGGGTCACAGTCTGCGCAGGTATCATTAATGAGCCTGTTCTCCATTTTTGACTTGTCACAGTCATTGCGGTTTGGCAGGCGTTTGGTCCGATAGAACGTAGTGGCATGACCACAGGCCATCGTCGTCGTGACTCCTGTACACATCTTTCTTGGGTATAGATATACGACGTTTTCGGGCGAAATATTCTGATCTCAGTTCCGTTTGAAAGAATAGACCAAGGATTTTAAATTCCAGCTTTGAACACGCTGTTTTATGGTGAGAATAAGTCGTCCTCCTTTGTATTTTGACTCAGCATTGTCGGTATCAGTGAACAAACCAAACAAAGAACTCCCAAACTAACTCAATGAACGCACACGACGCTGTACTCATCAGAACTAGCGAGAAATGCCAATATAATATCAATCACGACGGAAACCGCCACACCAAGCGTCCACGCTCAAACAAAGGGCAACTCCTTTGGCATGGAGTAAAAGTCGCAAGGTGCAAACCGCCACCAATCCTTGCGGGTGTTCATAAACAACCACCGCACTGCCACATGGAGGACCCAAGGCATGGGTGGAAAGGTCTTGAACACGCCTTGCTCAAATTTCTTGTCGTGGAGCACCAAGGTCAGGGGGAAGATATCATTCTGTTTGTTCTCGTCAGCTCGCTCGTCCATCCGCGCCGGCAATGGACAACTCACTCTGAGAGTAGAATCGGAGAATACAGCCTTGATAATCCCAGCGCTAATGTTCTCGAACCACTTCTTCCAGTCATGTTTGTCTTCGTACTCTGCCAACCCCAGCAGGGTGTCGATCTCGTTGTCGAGGTGATCCCTGAGCACGGGCATGAAGGCGTCCACGAGCTCCCGCACCTTGACACCGTCCAGTTCCTCCGCCTCGCCTTTGACCTTGTCGAGGTACGCATTGAGCGCAGACAGGCCAGAATGGAACTGCTCATGTTCATGGACGTTGGCGGCCATCAGACCCGGAACCCCTGTCATCTGTTCGATCTGGGGGAAAAGCGTGGACTCCTCCATTCCGTGGTGCTCATGGATCATGTCACCCCACTGCGCTGTAAAGTTCACAAAATCAAGTTTGTCCTTCTTGGTGCCTTTGTTTGCCACGTTGACGGCCTGATTGTAGATGGCATTGACACCGCGCAGGATGCAATTGTGGACAATTGTCATCTCTGCAGCCATGAATTTGGCGGCGCTCTGCGTCCCATCGGGCTGCATGTTGCTTCAGTGCACTGAAAGGGAATGCGCTCTGGCCTCGTCAGCTTACCTCTGGGCGACTCTTGTCCGCAGTGATTAGCTGGTAGGGTCCGTCAGCCCAAACTTTGGGTGTGGTTTCGGTTGCCATGGTTGTCGAACACCGGCCGATTCGGGCGGGTTCTAACTTAGTTAGGAGAAAAGGGATATAGTTGAAGGCTGTGGTGATCTTGTCTTGGGGGGAGGGCTGCCTCTTTGTGTAAACTTGAGATCTTGAAATGGCCAAGCCCCCATCCTGCCCCCAAGTTGCCACCAGCCTATCTCTGTTAGAGATGTATGGAAATGCCGGTCATCCTTCTGCTTTGGTCTGCTAGTCCTGTGTCACTGCTTAAGTAGCGCTGACGTGAGAAACGAGCCGCTGCGGCGTAGGAAATAGATTCGTGAGATTGGTCTACATATCTTGGCTGGCTTGGATCCCTGTTAGAAGTGGTGCTAATCGATCAGTCGCTATTGGACTGCATGGATCCTCAAAGTCTGCGTTCTGCATAGTGCATAGGGCTATAGTAAGGTCTGTACCTTTGCATCTCCTAGAGTGTGGTAATGCCTCAGACCCACTCTAAACATCCGGGATTATCACCAATAGCAGTTGTTTAATTACGTAGTACATAAGCACACACCAGAATTAGCCGACGCTCGACGTACCGGTCTGTTTGTTACAGAACACTACACTAACTCACTAACGTACAATACTCCCGTATACCTGATAGCCAATACGTACCTCTTTAACCGTCCGGGGTGTGTGGAGCAGCGCCGATCTTGAGACATTACCACACTCTAGGAGATGGCATAGATGCATGACACTAAACCAGAGAAGGCTAAATTTTGGACATCAACAACATTAGCGACTTTGTCGAGAACTTGCGGTAGTTGGCGAGCAACAGAAGCCCAGGAAGCTGAGATGCAAAGTGGGTGATCAACACAGATGAACCACATCGTTGTTAGCCCACGTCGAAACAGTCGTCTCTATACATGATCTCGTTAAAATGCATCGTCTCACGTCTCGCGCCGCTCCTCACGCCCCATGTGTTCCAACACAGACGCCTAGATACCCTGCAAGCTTGCCACTTGCGCCGTGAAACGTCTGTCCTTTCCCGTTCCCTTTCCCTTATTCAATGACAGGCTTCCCGCTCAGACATTCAAGAAACCCCACAAGATCCTCTTTCCTTACTTCGACGACACAATTGTCAAAGCTGTCGATGCGTACTCGGGCACTCGTCTCTGCGACGACCTCTTGGAATGCTCGCCCAAAGTTGTTGCGACCAAATCCTTTCTTGTTTTCGTTCCCATCCTCCTCCAAGTCCGATTCATCTTCTGAATCCATGTCAGAAGCCTCCGATTCGGTCTCCAGGTCTTCATCATCGTTGTCCTCCCCGGCTTGCTTCTTGGCGGCACGCTTCTCCGCTTTGACTTTCTCCTTGGCTTGCCGTGCTTCCTCCTTGGCCTTGGCCTTTGCATCTCTTGCTTCCTTGCGCTTCTTCGACGCTTCTCGGTCCAGGAAGAGGTTATCAGGGCCACCACCGCCACCCGTTCCCACGACAACATATGTCCCTCGCTTCTCATCTAAGCTCGCAACAACGAGTGGGGTTCCCCGACCGCCGTGCGAGAGCTTCCCGTGAATTTCTCGTTCCTGCTCAGCCAATGCCTCACCAATCCAGAGCGACAATTTGGTCAAGGCTGCGGGATGGTTGAACAAAGACACATCCGGACCATCTTTTACCACGCACATGCGGAATGCTCTGAGGGGCTTGATCTGCTTCTTGTTGATGAGTGACGTGCCTGTACGGTAAATTGCACGGTGAAGGTGTTGAGCAGTGGGTAGGCCAGCCTTGAGCGCATCGATGCTGGGGGGTCGTTAGTGTCTGAGCATTCAGGGGTGCGGGATGACTTACTCCTCCAAGGCGTCGTAGGCTTCCCAGAACCGACTGATCCACTCGTCACCCTGCGAGGTGTAGTCAAAGCCCTCCTCGTTGTCCCGGTCCCTGTGGCTGGACGTTACGATAGCCTCTGTTCCAGTAGCATGTTTGCCAACTTCGAGTAATGCACCGATTACCACACCTACATCCTCAGCACTCAAGGTCGCACGCCAGCCCCAGCTTCTCACAAAGCCCCAGCCATCCTTGGCGCCTCCTCGGTCACTACCATCTGTGCCAACCGAGGGTACCATCTCATCGAGATTGTATAGGACGCCGTATTCAAGCAACTTAGCTCGTAGCTCCTTCTTCAGCACTAGGTCCATGTGTGTGTAGCTTTGCTTGCATTGAGCGAGACTGACGCCCATTTTAGCTAGAAGCTTGTGCAAGCGCTTGATGCCTTTTTCGCTCCATGTCTTCAGTCTGGAGAACAGATATGGGGAGTGTAGCATGCTGTCGTAAAGGCTCCAATGGCGAATAAGGAGAAATCGCGGCTCGGGTGATAGCCTGATGCTGGTGTCTTCTGGGCTCTTGGCAGTTGTGGGAATGACACCAGTGTTCTCGGAAGCCACACGTCCATTGGCGATCTCTGGGGGGTTGAGTCGCCTCACTTCGTCGCGCAGAAGCTGGCGGATCCGTGCCCCACGGACACCCATCCATCCGCTGGGTCTGTTCTTGTTCGTGACATGGACAGGTGCTGCCACTCCAGCTGAAGATCGACCATACAGCTCCATGGAAGTCACGCCAACAATGGCAAGCCATAAGAGGTCATTGTCCTCCCGTCCAAGCTCTGAGGCAAGGGAATAAAGCATCGACGACAGTGGCTCCGAGTACGACGAACCCGCCGAGTAGTATCGCGCGATAATCGCTTGGTTCTCTCGGCGCATACGTAACAAGCGTCGTCTTAGAGCCCCGGCTGAAGATGCAGGACCAGACTGCGCTCCTGATGGTGGTTCGACAGGATCACTAGATAGCCCAGTATTGGGTTCCCGCAATGACAATAGCCCTCTGTGTTGAGGACGTCGCGGTGAGCCTGCGATGGGGCTTGACTAGTGGCTGTTAGATCCTGTCTTTGTTTGCGGCGTGGCTGACATACCATATTACTCCTGCGTCTTTGTGTCGGCCTATCATCGTCATCATCGGACATGCCATCGTCGTGGCTATCTGACCAACTCTTCCGCTTTTGCCCAGCCCGGGTGGCTTCTTGCACCTCATCTTCTTCATCGCCGGCACCATCTTCAGTGTCGTCTTCGGAGTCAATGTCGTCGCCGTCGTCGTCGATATCAGGCATGTCCAGTAGTGCTTTGTACGCGTTGCGCTCGGCCTCGAGGTCGTCTTCAATGTCGCCATCGTCAAAGACGATTATCCCACCTCTGCCGGGCTTATAAGACCTTCCAATTTCGCCCCCATCCACCCCAGCAGGTATTCGGGACTGATATGAACTCGAGGGCTCAGCGGCAACCTCCAGCGGGAAGCCACCAAAGACGTTGCCCAAATTCCAAGGCCTTCGCGCGTCGATGACCCAAACCTCGACCCCGCTGTACGGACTGTCGTCGCCTTCATTCTCGAGACCAAGCACTTCCCCGAGATCGACCATTCCTCCCACCCCCAGGCAGACGACAAGGCCGCCGCTGCCGCCCTGGGACTCCATCATTGGGGCCACCAGGTCTTGTCCAGCTTGTGCCAACCCGCTGAGTCCCACCACCGGGTGAATCTTGTGCGGAATATAGTCATGTTTCAGGAGTCTCGTGAGGATTCGGCAGGCGCAGAGAGCGTCGGGGTCGAGCGTGACGAGTATGAGTACCGGCGGGGAGAGGGGATGGCGCGTTTTCTGGAGGTGGATGTAGAGCTTGGATATGAGAGAACGTGGGAGATACATGGCTAGAAGCCTCTGATCACGCGTGGTTCGAGCCTAGGCACCTGATGCATGAGCGGAGGACGAATGCAGTTTCGGAGGCTGTTGGAAAGCGATGTGGATGGGACGCGTGAGATCGCGTCGCAGGGTAGCAACTCGACGGGAGCTAAAGTCGTATTGCAACGGCAACGCTTAGATATGCGGAATAGTTATAGTGAAATGTCAATCCGAAAAGATGCAAGATGAAGCAGGCTGTGTTGAAAAAGCAGACTGACGACAAGGCGGACCGTGTAGGCAGTTTACGCGAGTTGGTAAGGTACCTATGGTAGGACCTGTCTTGTTAGGTCCGGTAGTGTCTCGAGAGTCGAGACGCGCCGCGGGTTGCTGCTCGACGCGCCTGCCCTGGACGGTTTCCCGATTAGGAAGGGGCACTTAATTGCTCCCACAACGTCATCCATTGGCGCAACTCAACTTTCAGGGCACTGGAAAATTATAAAGGCTTCAAGTTCTATTAGTATTCGAAATTTATCTGCGTGACGCATGCGCTGTGCTCAAGGAGCATCAAAGATCTACATCGGCTTTCTTGGGCAGAGAGCTTCATGTTGTAGCCACCACGCGAGCATGGCAAGTTGGCAACCCCCACCTGAGGACAAAAAAGCTGCTTTTCGACGATTGCAACGAGTCATGCATGCACTGCAGACAGTTACCTATTAAATGATTATTGCTGCAGCCGCTGAATGAGAAGGTACGCAAGGCATGGTACGTTCAAGCGTGAGTATTCAATGTGGCGATGGCTACCATCGCAACACTTTCGTCACCAACTACACCTCTTTGGCTGTCTGCTTAGCTTCCTCAAGCCGACTGTGGCTGGCTTTTCCGCCTGAAGTCTTCCGACCGTTGGTTGCATCGTAGCTTTCACCAAGACCCACTCGGATATCATCACGCCCGTACCCGAGTCCAATGATGGAGACCAGAAGACGTCGAAGACTCGAAGCTGAGGGTGATGTGCCCAGTCGCCTGGATCCCTCCATCTCCCCCCAAAGCATCTCCACCAGTAAACTCTAATTATTTCTACATCCATCCGTCTGCCGCCACAAGTTATACTTACGTCGAATTCTTGCACTTGAGTTGGGGTACGCCCGCGAGGCACAAATACGAGTCGACGACGATCACTCTCCTCGATAGGCTTTTGGCGTCTCGTCACATTCCCTGTGAAGAAGCATACAACATGCTCTTTGCATCTCAAAACTCACAACTACAGCCCAACTTCGAATCCCTGTAGGCCCTTTGTCGAAGTGGTTGCTGAAAGTCATGGCTTCACCGCCGGGCTCACTGGACGCAGATATGGCGAGTCCCATTCACACTTCAACCTCAGATTACGAAGAGGAGAATGAGCTTTCCCAATTCACCTCACTCACGTCCACAAAACAGTTCTTCAAATTTGAGCAGGGAAGGTCAGTACACAATAAGTCTTGTTGACTATTCCATGAGGCTTATCTTGAAAGAGGCGATATCAGGCGCTTCTGCATGATCGCTATGGACTACCAAATGATGACATGGAACAAATGCGCGAAGGCATAAAGCACCAGTTTCACATCGACTATATACTGCACGGCAACCTCCATGTTTCGCCCCTTGAAAACCCTCCTCAAAAAGTCGTCGACCTTGGCACAGGCGCCGGCTTCTGGGCTCAGGATGGTATGGTTTCCCCGACACACGCATCTGCGCGACTCTCCACCAACTCAGACTGAACATGATACAGTGGCCGAGAAGTATCCTAGTGCCCACGTAATAGGCGTCGATCTGGCTCCCACGCAGCCGCTTTGGACGCCGCCAAACCTCCAATTCTGCGTTGAGGATCTAGAAGACGAGCAGCGACAATGGGCGAACATACACAGAGACGCAGACCTATTCTTCATCAGATCTCTACTACAAACTGTCCGATGTCCCCAACTGATAGTATTCCGAGCATTCCAGTAGGGAGTCCCTGTCCATCACCCAAAGTCATCATCGTCTAACGAGCTTGCCAGAAATTTGCGACCAGGTGGTTGGATTGAGTGTCATGAAGTAATATCCGAAGCGTTCTCAAAGGATGACACCGTGGGACCAGACCATCCAATGAACAGATTTTTCGCCCTGTTCGCGGGATCTTTTGCAGATAGGTTTGGATGGAATCTCGACACGAGCCGCAACATTCCCCAGCTACTTAAGGATGCAGGGTTTGGCAACATTCAGCTTCGCCGAAGGGAAGTACCCTTTGGACGCTGGCCAAACGACAAGCGATTACGCGAGATGGGCATGTTCAACCAAATCATCGCCCAGGACATGGCCACCACGCTCCTCGACCGCCCTGCCATGCTGGGCATATCTGAAGAGAAAGCCACCGCCTTGGCCCAAGATTTGTCAGATGCGGCCAATGACCCAGCTATACATGCCTACATTGCGGGCGTTAGTGTGTGGGCGCAGAAGCCTAGCTGAGATGTAAGCCGCCTGCCTACCTTGATCGACGACGTCGGCCCCCTATTCCGGGAGCCATCAAGGCCGACTCAACCAAGGCGACGAATCTCGAAAGAGTACGCGTTTCATTCTGGATACAATGCACGTGTCGACCGAGAAAGGGGAGAAAAAAGCCACGATCTCGAACCGCAAGGTCCCGCGTGCAAGTCTTGCGTTGACAAAGGTGGGTGAACCGACGGTCTGGCTCCCCGAGTGGTCGTGTGCCACACCTCGAACATGGTAACAAGGGTACGACCAACGACCAGCGCCATGCTGCGGTATCTGCAATCCAGAGCACCGACATCAGGCGGTGGCACACAGTGACGGTGGTGACCCCGTCGTTGGTTCCAGGCACACATGGCACGTGCACAATCGCTGTTCCAAGTCGGATCTCTGGTGTCCAAATGCTCTGAGGAGGCGTTATTTCAAGGGCGTGCCAGCAGCGCTCGTCAACCATCAACGCCTATGCAGAGAGCGGTACCAGGAGGATAGCAATCGTTTCTACTACTGGCTACTACATCATAGACCCGATGCTCGCATACTCACGCCGCAAAGAATCAACAACCTGAAGGCGAAATGGACCATGATAATATATACAACTATATATGCAACAACACCCACGTATATCTTTAAAACATGGAACTCGAGATCCGACGTGTACTTGATCCGAGAACATCGCCGCTGCGACACATTGGAAGTCTTCCTCGCAGATTGGCAGGCAACACTGCTGGGTTCCGCACTTACGAGCAATACATGCGAGGACCACCTGGTCCTGGGGCTGCCCCCATATGTGGTGGTCCCATGCCAGGCATAGGGCCGCCTCCACCACCACCTAGGGGTGGACCAAAACCGCCAAACCCACCAAATTGGTTAAACTGTGGTGGCTGAGGATCTTGAAAGCCTTGCACCATGTGTGACCAGTCCATGTCACGGTCATCGTCTGGAGGGCCGGGCCTGCCCATGGGAGGCATAGGTCCTCCAACTCTTGGCATGCCTGGGGGAGTCATGGTCATCTTCTCAGAGCCAACGTTCGACGCTGGTCCGATTCCGGCCAGACTATTCCCAGGGGACTGGTCCACGGGAGATTGCTTGTCAGCCCGCTCCTGGCGACTTTGCTCGGCGCGCTCTTGCAGGACGACAATGAACCGAGGAACAGGCGCGTGCTTCCCTTGCGAGCTGAGTGCTGCGGCATGGGCATCCCAAGCTTTTATGAACGTGTTCTTGAATGCCATATGCATGGGGTTGTGGAAATTGTTCAAAAGGCCCCTGAGGTCGTAGTTGGCGGCGATGGCATCCCATGCTCGTTCCACCATTGGACCCAGCACCCGAGTGCGCAGCTCTTGTACAAGGAACATGTACGCGGGGAATGGGAAGTGGTGTCGCGAGTACCACTTGAAGGGAATGAGGCTGTCAGACGACTGTACGACATTGTCGTACTCGATCATTTGCGTAGCTTGCAGGAAGAGGTCCTCCCTCTCGACCCCCTTCAGTGGCATAGCTTCGGCGTTATGCATACGCACCAGAAAATTGACGACGCGCATCTTGCACAGAGCTTGCCGTGTCATTGTGATGGTGAAAAAGTGAAGGGGTATCTTTGAGTCACACTGCGAGAGATAAGTTCCCTCCATATGTGCGCAAAAGCCATCCAGGGTGTACGTCGGCGAGTCGGGAATTGCAAGACGTATGGTTGGGCCAGCACTTGGCTTGGGGTCCCCCTTGGCCGGGCTAGCCTTGGGCTCCGGGCTGTTGATCTTCTGACTGTCGCGGTTGCTGTTGCTCGCCACAGCCATGGACATTTCGATGCGAGCCAAGGCAAAGATCATCTCGGTTGGCCCCGTGTGCGGATTTGGCATGTCTTTCCCATCGACATGGAGATCGCTATCGTTGACGTTCAGTGGCATTTTGCAGTCACCGCCGCTCGACAGGGCAGTCACTGTTGAGCCAGTTATCTCTCCAATGCGTCTGTCGTAGCCAACGATGGTCCACCACAAGCGTCGTCTTTGCTCAACTTCAAAGGGTGGAAGTCCGTAACCTCCCGGGTCACGATGAAGTCCCATGCGTTGCGCCATACGGACAGCCATTCCAATCATACAGAAGATTTGCCGGGGGTCGACAAACCAGCGGACAGTGAACTATCCGTCATTAGCACCTTGCAACGCCAAGCACAAGTGATACACACCAAGTAGAGCACAAAGGCCTGTAAACAGAGCAAATCGTCGACGCGCATGAAGCTTGCGTTTACAAGTGCCTGTTGTGCTGTAGTCAAATACTTTTTGAGTACGTCCGGCTTTGGCTCGTTGAACATGTTCTGAACATCCCGCTCCTCCATGGACGTGATCGCCATGAGGTAGATTCCAAACATCAACGACTCGATGTTCTTGGGAGCAGTCTCGAGATTCGACGCCGCTTGGAGGATCTGTGGCTGTATTGTCGGTACATGGGTTATCTTGAGCAGTGAGTTGATATTATCAATGTAGATTTGCCACAGCTGGAAAATTTGGATAGGGTTAGGATGAGCTTTTGTGACGGATATAAAAGAGCCGCCAACAATAAAAGGGAACCCATCTTCGTTGCTAAAGAGCTTGTCAAAGGCTCGATGGATCGTTGAACCTTGGACTTCCTCGTCAGACGAGTCTTGTATCATTTTCTCGCTAGCCCGAAACTTTTGATACTTGTCAGCGTAGATTTCTGGTGGGCTAAGAGGATGTTTAGTACCTCTTTGTGTAGTGCGAAGATTGAACTTGATGGTCTGGGTGCTGCTGCGTCAGTCATGCCATCTAGTGCTAGGTCCTCTTGATGAATCTCACTTTTCCCCGGTGGATGCAGCTGACGGTGACATGCTTGGGTGTGGAGAGGCCTTGAGCTCGTGAAAGTCGCTCTCCAGATCCTCTACGTCGTCGCCTTGGGGTCCGTCGGAACGCAGGTCCTGGCCGATGGGTTCGAACCGCACCCCATGTTCACTTAACATCCCCTCGTACTTCTTGAGTCTGTCGATCAGATCCTTTTCCTGCAGCCGTTTCTTTCGACGCCGAGGCGGCTGTGGAGGCACCACTCGACACTCGACTTGTGCTTTGACGCAATTCGCACATGGCTTGTTCTTATCACAACGCACCTTGCGTTGTTGACACAACACACAGCTAGTGCCCCTGGTAAGTTTCATGGCTGCTGGGTCAAAAGGCTGCTGTGGGTTTGGCTGCTGCTGAGTTTGGCTTTGCTGGTGTTGAGGGTAATTTGAGTACTGGGCCTGCGTTTGCTGTTGATTGCCTGTATGCTGTAGATGCTGCTGGGGATGGTCTGGGGCCGAGCCTTGGGGCACCATGGGCCCGGGCCCGCCTTGAGGTATGCCGGGCATAGGCATGATTGCAAGGAGCTTGGATGGTTTGGCAATCTATAAAGAACCTATTAGTCAAATCGGATCAACCATAACGACAGAGCACCACCGGCTTGGCCAAAGGTCAAGGGGGGAGTGTGGAGACTAAGAGTGGCTGCATCAGCCGCAAAGGCTAGGTTACGCTACCTGAACGGCTCTAGAGCGAATGCCAGATAGGCGGTGTACTTGCAGAACAATGGGCGAATATCCTCATTCTCCTGGCCTGACGTATCAGGGGTGTCGGGGCTGGCAAGCTGTAGGGCTGACACTCAACGTGCTAGACCTCCACCACAGACCAACACACCACTCACGCCAAGGGGGCCAGATGCAAGTGACGTCGTGTAAGGCAAGCGATTGATGGTGGTTGTATCGCCTACATCCAGGACCGATATCTCAATATGCTATTGCCGGGCTGGTGAGCGGTTACGGTCGTATGTAGGTGAATGGCCGTAACCACGATGCTTCAAGCCGCAAGGGCGAGACAATAGTATCCTAAGAATGGACTACTGATGGTTGTCAATTGTATGGTGGCGTGAGCTGTTGGCAGCACTGCTGACGCGGTGCGCTGGGCACACTGGCACCTAGAGCCGTCCTCGACCAAGAAACAGAGACGCGCGCGCGACAACAACAGACGCCAGTGTCGCGATGATGGTAGCTTGGTTGGTAGGTTGGGAGACTCGGGACCGAAACTCACTCGAGTAGAACCAGTACTTATGATGGAGGGAGGGGCCCCGGCACCCACTGTCGGCATCCAATGTCGCCAAGCGTGCAAGTAATGACCGCTGGTGTCCATTGGAAGCTTCACCCCGCTCCAGCTCTTGCTGCTTTGTCGCACAGTACACTATGCACTGTGTGTGGGATGCTTGTCCCTGTAGCCAGCCCCAACGCCGCGCCAGTGCACAGTGCGAGGCTTCTTGCCAATTGGAGCAATGTGCTTGTCCTCATGTGCCCCCACAGTAGCTTAATTTGCATTGCAGGATCGATATCTCGGCAACGAACATTGACCTTCGGTGCCGTCTTTTGCTTCGCTACTAGTATAATGTATTTAAGCGAGCATATAGCCGAAATCGCGAACAGCAACAGCTCAATATTGGCGGCCAGCGTCACGTGGCTCTGCATGGGTGGCTAGCACTTCCTTTAAACTAGACGTCGTTATTAACAACATGAACTGAAGTCTGTCAGTCAATTCTAATGGCATCTGTCTAAAATCGGACGTCTGAACTTAACCGCTCATTTTGCAAATACTTGGTTTATTCTAGTTGATTAACTAGGCGTCTGGGCCTGTTTCTTGAGTCGATCACCATCATGCATGCGTGAACCGACAAGCACTTACGACTCGAAAGGGCCATAGCCTACTACATGAGGTACAAGTAGTACTTGAAAACGTTCAATCGACAAATGATACCAAATCGCCAGGTGGAACTAGGGGAGAAGGGCGTTGATACGTAAGTGCTCAGGGAACATACAATCGCAGGGCTCGGCATTCCAAGAATAATCCAAGGCGAACTATTAAATAATGACACTCAGCTTCTGGTTAACTATGAGCGAGGTTTGACGACTTCTTCAGTGGCCCTTCTCATCGTCTATCATCACTTTTCCAAGGTCTTATCTGCTTCGCAACATGCAGCGCGTTGACAGGCTCGTCTGTTCTTCACGGTGGTGGGAACCGTCGCCAGACTAGAACTAACCGGTGGTCAACTCGCTCATGGTCGTTCTGACTATCTTATACCTGTCAGTAGCGACAATGGTTGTGCCGGCTCTGCAGGTCTGCGCCTGTGTTGTGCCTCGAAAGCGCTTCGGAAAGCCCCCAGTACCGAGGGCTACAGGGTATGGTCCATGCGCTGAGACTGTGATGTACGATGAGATGTGGTGATTTCCGACACTGCCCTATCAAAGTTCGAGAAACGCGCATTGAGGCCATCTCAGATAGGCCAACTGCGTCAGAATCGCTGTCTAGGAGTCTGTAGGGCTGCACCGGACCTGTGCTGACTGCAGTAGCCTGCAAAGGTCGCATCGACGAGACCTTTTTTTACGTGTATCAATTCCATCTCCAGTGGGGAGGTGCAGCGCCCTTCCCCTCCACCTTAACAATTCTTCCCGTCAACGGCCGATTCATCGCTCCTCCTCACCACGAGTCGCTATTTCCCCTTCCTCCTTTTACGAAAAGGGCGAATTTGTACTTGACCTTCGAACTTCAATATCTCGACGCGGCACCTTTGTCGTCACCAACGGGCCCAAGCGAATCCGACCTGACGAACCCAGAGACACATCGTGTTCCAGCCAGACAACGTTCCACCCCCATCCACGAGCTTCTTGCTTACGAAGCGCGACAGACGTCCCAAGCTCCCAAGTCATTCGCTTGTTGGATATTCTCCTAGTGCGGCCAATTTCTTGACTCGACAATTCCATCGCCATCAAGCCACAGGTCTGCGCTGCGAGCCGTCATTATCATCCGAAACCTACCTCCTCATCCTCCTCGCCCCACGGACCCTGCGCTCCTCGCGACATCCCCCAGGACTGTCCGAAACCCCGCGTTATCGAGTCTTGAACGAGCATCGGGCGATATCTTCTCCCAGAGGACACAGGGAAGTCAATAAAGATGGGCAAATCGTAAGTGACAGTTTGCACGCATCGGGTTTGGTGCCAGGGGCGAATTGTGTCTTATCGCGCGGTATTGCCGTCGGGTTCGCATGCTGCCATTGCTAGCTGCCCTGGATCGACACCACGATCACCGGCGACGTCATAGGCACATTGGCAGCACCATCAACTTCTTCAACATCACGCCTTAATGACAGACCACGTGGCTAATATTTTACATCGCGTGCCAGACAGTCGAAGCTCTCGGCAGATCAGCTTGCTGAGCTACAGAAATCGACGCATTTCGACAAGAAGGAGCTCCAGCAATGGTATAAAGGTACCTACATCCACCCACCCTGTTACACGACAGCACTCACTCATCACCATAGGCTTCCTCAAAGATTGCCCCTCCGGCATGCTGAGCAAGGAGGAGTTTCAGAAGATCTATCGCCAATTCTTCCCATTCGGCGACCCGAGCTCCTTTGCCGACTACGTCTTCAATGTATTTGACAGTGATCGCTCTGGCAGCATCGACTTCAAAGAGTTCATTTGCGCCTTGAGCGTTACGAGTCGAGGCAAGACGGAGGACAAGCTTGACTGGGCGTTTCAACTGTACGATATAGACGGCGATGGGAAAATCAGCTACGATGAGATGCTCCAGATTGTGGAGGCGATCTACAAGATGGTAAGGGATTTGCCCCAGAGCGCTCCCAAACTCGCAGACACTGACGCGGAATCTAGGTCGGCTCCATGGTAAAGCTACCTGAGGACGAGGACACGCCCGAAAAGCGTGTGAGAAAGATATTCGCCATGATGGACAAGGACGAAAATGGCAGTCTGGATATAGAGGAGTTCAAAGAAGGCAGCAAGCGCGACGAGACGATTGTCTGCGCGCTGTCTCTCTATGATGGACTGGTCTGATGCCAAAAACTCGGTTCTGGCAAACTACGGCGCAGGGGAGCGATATGATTATATTTTTTACGAGCGGCAACTTGTGGCTTTACTACTGAAAGGAAGACTTCTCGGTTACGATATACGGAGGAATGAAGAGTCCATCACAACGACCCACGGCATAGGTGAAGGAAGACGTAAGGGAAGGCCATTGAAGGGACTACGAAGCCATGAAGGGCCGAGCTTAGCAGTGTTTGCACGTCGGTTAACCTGTACCATGACGCCGTGCGCAGCCAAGCTTGCTGAAGGCGCTTAAGCATAAGTGACAGCGTCGTCTCCAGTGTCAATTTGTTCCATTTCATAGTCTTCATGTCTGATCTCATCAGATTGAGGATTTATCGACTTGAATCGAGGCTGGGTGACATCTTATGGTGGGGCCGCGCCTTTCAATCTCTAAACTCTGTTACTCCTTGGCTCCGAGGTAATATTGAAATCTTCACGATAACACAAGATGGCACTTCAAACTTTTATTTCAAGTCTCAAAGACGAGATTGAAGATTCCGAAGAAGGTACATCTCATATGCCCCCAACGGCTGTTGAAGTGCCTTTGCTGACCGAGATGATTCAGAAACATTTCTCCTCTTCTCTCGCCCCATTCCCTCACATAATCTCGGCTTCATCGACCCAAAAGCCTCATCAATCGACGTCACAATCTCTAAACGAGATTATACCATTCATCAATCTCCAGGCCTCCTCTCATCGAGCCGAGCTGGTGGAACAACGGGCGCAGGCACGCTTCCCAATCTTCTCCCTTTTCCATGAAGCCCCGGACTAACATCTTCGTTCCAGTGTTGTGGAAGATCACACCATTGTTGGCGGATTGGCTCCCAAAATCCCCTCTAGCCTCTCTTCTCACAACCTCCTCGTCCGTCCTCGAGCTTGGCTGCGGCATCACGCCCCTCAACGCCCTGGCCCTCTCCCCCTTGGTAGGCTCATACGTCCTCTCGGACCAAGCCTACGTGCAGAAGATAGTCGTCAAGAACTTGGCAGAGAACCTCCCTCGCAAGGGCAAGGCCCACCAGGCCCATGTGGCATTTAGAGAGCTGGATTGGGAGACCGATCAAGTAGTAAAGGCCACCAGCCCGACGGGCACGTTCGACATGGTGCTTGCTTGCGACTGCATCTACAACGAATCGTTGGTGGCACCCCTGGTACAGACATCAGCCGACGCGTGTGCTCTGAAAAGAGAAGACGGGGACGAGCCGTGCCTTTGTGTAGTCGCGCAGCAGATGCGAAGCGATGACGTTTTTCAGGCATGGTTGACCGAGTTCCACAGGCGCTTTCGAGTCTGGAGACTGCCGGACGACATGGCACCGGAAGGCTTACGGCCAGACGATGGGTTCCTTATACATGTCGGCATACTGAGAAGTTGAGGGAACGTCACAAGAAGCCTGCGCATTGAACAGCCCTTCACATCATTGACGAGAGTGATCACGAGTATCATACGACATAACATCTGTAGCTATCCCCTCGACACAGTCTTGCTAAAGTATAAAAGCGGTCCGCCAAGAAGCACACCATTTACTAGGTTCACGCACGTTTAGAGGAGTGTCGCAAATTCAAAAGTCGACTCCTAAAGATACAGCTCCTCCTCCCACGAATGTCCAAGGCATTCTTTGACATATCGGCCGCCGATCTCCCATAGCCGCGTCACCTAGACGAGGACCATCAGGCCAAGATACAGACCAGGCAGGGAAAGGAGGAAGGCAAAGAAATCCAACAGGGTCCCCTCGTCATTCCTGCTCCGCGCCCAATAATCGGAAGAATAATCGAACACCGGTCTTGTCAGACTCCACCAGAGACGAATACAGTCCAGAAAGTGGCAGTAACGCTTCCATGTGACCTCCTGAAGTATAGGCCAAAAGTTATTCCGAATCGTGGAAAAATGACCTACGATGTCGTCGTCTGCGTCGTCCAGCTCCCATGGGTACATGTAACTTCCCGGCATTGCTTTCTCTGGAGTCCAGGAGGTCGTTTGCTTTTGGCAATTTGTCAACCCATTGTTTGAGTGAAACATCTGGTCGTGGCTCCCGGGACTCATTGTTTGCTGCGGCATGTTGTTTTCCAGAGCTCCCAACCCTGCCTTTGCACCGATTATTGGTACCTGTATCCTGGCTTTGGCTCGTGGAAGCTTCGGCTGGATATGGAAGTCGTGCGCGGCCGGCGACATGGGCTCCGGATCTCTTACAGTGAAGGCCCGTTGAGCAGCACCTAAGGCAGGGATAGAAATCGGTGATGTACTGTGTCGGCGATGCGTCTGACGCTGCACCGAACCCCTGACACGACGTAGGTCGGGGGCATTCGCCACACTTCGTCGCCTCACGAACCTCTTGCTCGGATACCTCTTTCCCGAGGCGAACACGGTATCGCTCCGAGTCATTGGTTTCTCCGGCGTTGAGCTCAGCGGCGAGTTCGATTTGTGGCTCGAGAGAACAGGCAAAGACTGCGCTACTGCAAAGCTTGCCGCCAGCGTTGCTGGTAGGCAAGTCGTGCCTTTCTCCTCCAGACCCTCTGTCACTCTGTTTAGCGAGCTTTTCTGAGAGATCCCATTCACTTTCCGTTCTGATCCAGTAGTGATGATGGTGGGTGTGGAAACTGGCATTCGCAGAACACTTTCCTCTTGACACTGGGGTTCTCTCATCGTGCCGTTCGTGATTCCGTGGTCCGAGTGGAGGGTCCAGATGTTCTCCTTCTCTCGCATCCAAGGCTGGCGTGAGCCCACCTCGGCTGGGAGGAGGCTGAGACTGCGTTTCGGTGTACCATGTGTCAACTGGAGCGTCTCGGCCATCGGCTGGTGTCGAGGTAGGAAGCCCGTGTCGCTGCTTTGGTGGATTTTGGATTTGCTCACGGGCCCTGTCCCTAAAAAAGAGTAACTCGCAGTGGGTTTCTCCATCTTCGCCTCCTCGTCAAAGTCTTCGATTCCGCCTCGGCCGGTATTGGCGGACAGATCGCCTCTGTAAACGCCAAAATCGGATACTAAGTCTTCAGGCTGATGAAAATCATCGTCGTTCTTGTAAAGCTCTCCCGCGTACAGGGTACGTCCACTGCTCCGACGCGGTCGATTGTGGATGAGAATGCTCGATGAATGAGAGCCGACCTCAGATGTTGGTTCCGGCTCTGTCGTGCATGGCATCATTTTCGTTTCAGTGGCTGAAGAAGGAGACCCCAGATCAAGCAGCGGAGGAGGAAGTTTGATTGGGGTATAATCTTGTTTCATGATGGGGAGTTGCGGCGAGGTCTGGGCGGTCTTGTCGATATCAAGTGACATCCTATCTGTAGCCAGTAAGTATACGAGCCGACCTTGGAAATGTTTTGGGTCTACTTACGAGAGTCGTTTGGGTCGCTACGAGGCGACTGGGTCACCGGGCTGACGCCTGGATCCTGTATAGACGACCATTCGTTTGTGTGTCGCCGCCATGTCACGCCCTTGTTTGGGCGGGAGGCAACATGCTTGGACTTTTGTTGAGCTTGTGCTTCCTTGCGGTTGTTCAGGATACTGCGCTTAGCCTGCCGGAAGGCATTCACCTTCTCGTTTGTGACGTCTCCGCTACCTTCGCTATTGGCAGTGCTTGAAGACGTCAACGAGTCCTCAGTGCCTGTCCTGGGGTTGAAGCCTTGAACACCGAGAAAGTCACTACTCTCCTTCAAGTTTTTGCGTTGGCGCCGCAGCTCCTTCTTGGCCTCGATGGCGCGGCGGGTCAGGGAAAGGCGACGGTCAGCGAGGTAACTGGCCTGCATCTTGCTCTCGTCGGTGGGCTCGCTCTCATGGGGCAGCTCTTGAAAAGCCACCTTCTTGTCAGGCCAAGTTTGCTTCCCAAGTGAAAGTTGCTCGGGCACTTGAGACTTGGGTGCGAAGCTAAACCTTCGCTCGTCCAGATCGGATGAATCCGCCACTCCGCGCGCTGACACTACACGCCGAGGTGGAGGTGGTGTATCCTTGGGCGGATCATGTATGACAGTTGGCACATTCCACTCCAGTATGTGGCCTGAGTCTGTCGTCCCACCTCTTCTCGTGCGATGACCTCCAGTGGCTTGGCGATGAAGGTGTGTTGGCGTAATCTCTGAGTCGTCCTGGAAGCTCGCTTCTCTGTAGGTACTACCTTTCTCGGGTCTACGGCTCGGTCGTAAACTCTTCCACCATTTTCCTAGTGAAGATGATCTGTGAGCTGCGTTCCGCTCGTTGTCAGATGCGCGGTTGGAGTCTGCTGAAGGGAGTTGAGGCAGAGGCTTAAGATCGAGAATGTCAGTTTTGGGTGGCGTCTCTGGTGACTTCGGGGGACCTTGCGAGGTTGGAGGGAGAAAGAACGCCATGACTGTATGCTTCGGCAAACGCGTTCATCGAGGGCTAAGACGAGTGGTCACGATAGATGATGCCCGGCGGTTTTCGCAACTGGACAGGAGGCTCCAAACACTTTCTCCTGCTAAGCGGCAATAGAACGAAGGATATCGATGAGGACTTGTAGAGATGGAGGATAAAGGGAATCAGACTCCGGTCATGGTTCGAGTAGGGTAAGCCCATGTGGCAGTGGACTGGAAAGGCAGCCATGCAATACCCGGCCCCAATTCGTCACAGGCGACTGGACTCAAATTATGCATAGGTAAGTAACAGTGGCAAGAGCGAACACCAAGAGGAAAGCAAATAGCTCACAGCAGCAGGCTCTAGCCACTCGGAACCGTAAGGTAGATGGAAAGTGCCATGATGAAGAGCAGACCTGAAGCCAGATAAGTGCCTGGATTTGATGGCAGGAAGGAGGACAAAGTTGAGCGGGCATAGAGGCAGCATGGACGAGTTGTCCAACGATCAACACAATGATATCCGTTCGGTGTATGCGACAAATAGCGTCCCTCCATGGAGACCATGATGGCTTCACACAAAACAGTGGCTGACATCTTATCCATACTATGTCCGGTGTTGATGCTACCGTATGCAGTGACGAAAGATCCAAGCCTTTACCACAGGGCGTCCGTATCAACTCCAACCAATGTGGAAACACAACCCCAAAACGCCGTGTATCTCAATCGTGCAAAATGGTCCATTAATAGTATGCTCCTCGCATCTTCGGGAACCTCTCCTTCGCTTCGGTGGTACGGGACGCCTCTGGCCGAGCCTGGCCAACAAAAGGATTGGGCCTAGAGTAGCCTGGAGTGCTTGAGATCCGCGCCGGACTGTTCTTGACAATCACGTTCTGCTTGCCCATCTCACTCCTCTCCGTCTCGTATGCGGCCATTTCGCGTGAATTGCGGGGCGACTCGACATTGTGGGAGCTGTTGAGCCTTCCCAGACTAGCAGAGTGCTTCAAAGGCGACCTTTCGTGTGAGTAGGCGCCCAGGTATCCACCCTTACTGCTGAGATTCGCCGTGGTCGAAGAAAGCGGGAGCGGTTGCACCGAGGTAGAGCTGCTGGAGTAATTCGCAGGCATGCTCTTGCGCGACGGTGAAGGCCGGGACTGTGTAGCAGACTGAGGCACGTCGGATTGCCGGCCGATGTTCTTTGGTGTGAACATCTGGGAGCCCAGAACATTTGTACGACTGGGTGTAAACTGATCTGGCGTGGCGCGAGTTTGGCTCCTGCTGTAGAAGCCGGCGTTGATAAATGTGGTCGGCGTCCCGACTTCGACGAATTCTCGAGCGTTGGGCGGCTGTTGCTCCGACACTTGTGTACCAACATCTCTCACGACGGGGTGCATGCGCGGGTGCACGTATTGCGAGTCGTATTCGTGGAACACCTCCTTTTGGATGATGGCATGGTCCTTAGCCTGCTGTGTGAACAACGATTTTCCAATCACGATCTGCGCCGAGAGTACAGCCTGAAGCAGAAGAGTCGTGAACACCGTCACGCTAGGCTGTGTGTCGAGCGATCCTATCGGAAGAAACAGCCAGTAGACCAGCACATGACCAGGGCTGAACACCGAGAATATGCATAGAGAGAAAGCTCGTGGGTCCCATATCGACAGCTCCCAGACATCCTCGTTCTTATCCGGGTGTGCTCGAGCATCGGCCGATTCAGGCGCAAGCATTTGGCCAAGGTAGCGTAGAGGAGAGGAGCCTGCAGGCGACGAATCCTTCTTTACGCGCTGGACAGAGGACGTAGCAGGCTTGACCTCGACGTTGGCGGAGAACAGTCGGTACTTGCGGGTCCGGGCCATCGTATCGAAGCCGTTCACGAGAGAGATCGCAACTAGAACCCATACTAGAGGATGAACCTAGTCCTAGATTAGATTTGATGCAGGATTCTCGTCGCTGAGTCACTTACAAGCCAGGAAAGCCATCCTGGACCAGTGCCATCCCCAAAGATATCGTCGTTCGATGTCGAAGGACCGGAATTTGCGCGAGCAAGTAGGAAGATGAAGTTGAGCGTTAGGCCGATGCCGTATCCCGAAGAGTCAGAATCCCAGTCGCTGGTCTCCATCTCCTCAGATGCCCAAAGCCACCAGTCCATCGGGTTGAGGTAGCCCTTCATGCGTTCGACGAACGGCTTGCGTCGGATTAGGCGCGGCATCGTCGCGTGTCGAATGGCGCGTTGCGATCTTACGAGCACATGTAAGCGATGAGAAAAGACCCCTAGCTGCGTAGCAACTGGTCAGTACACCCTCGATGAAGCCAGGTGGCGATGGTCGAACCGTCAGCGTGGAGTACGAGATGGCACACCTGGTTGTTGTGAAAGGGAGTGGCAGTCATTCAGATTTCTTTGTTCGCAGCTGGACCTGGAGCTCACCAGAAAGGGCTCCACTTTGCGGGGCGGATTGGCTGCACCCAAGGTGAGGTACGTACCGGGCAAGGTAACGCAACAGGACCTCCAGCATGTCAAGCTGCGACATAAGCGAACGAGCGATTCCCGCTCCTTAGCCTTTGATACCACAACCTCACCATACGATCATGGCTTCCTCCAACGCCGACTACAAAGACCGCCAATTTCTTGCCGTCATTGGCGACGAGGTATGTTCTGCTTGCTGACGCGCACGGCGGCCTCCTCCCTCACACATTCACTGACGTAGCCAAGGACTCTGTGACGGGATTGTTGCTCGCTGGCATCGGGGTAAGACAGACCAGCTCACCTGTCGTATAGTCGCTCACGCAGAGGCCAGCATGTGACCACGGGCGCCGAGGCTGAGAAGAACTTTCTCGTGGTGGACAACAAGACGGAGACTGCCGCTATCGAGTCGGCATTCGATCGCTTCACCGAAGAGAGGAAAGATATCGGCATCGTCCTGATCAACCAGCACGTCAGTCGCAGCACATCCGTATACGCATAACGTGTCACTAATGGAGGTAGATTGCCGACAAGATCCGACACCGCATCGATACGTACACCGCCGCCTTTCCCGCGCTCCTCGAAATCCCCAGCAAAGACCACCCCTACGATCCGGAGAAGGACAGTGTGTTGCGGCGCGTACGCCGTCTCTTTGGCGAGTAAGATATGGGTGTGTAGGATGGGGCGGGGTACATGGGGTTTGCGGCAAGCCTATTCTCTAGAGCGAATATATTTCAACGGGATACCGTACGTACGCGAGGCATTGCTCGAGCCAGCGTCACTTGCAATCATGCGGACAGGACGGAGCAACGGCTTCTATCATTGCGTCGTGGCAGTCGCTACATCAAATCAAAGTAGAACAACCCATGAATTGTGTATCCGTTTAGTGCAGAAATCCGAAATGCAGATCATCGAGATAAACGCAGAATATAAATGCCCAAGATTACCTCCGCCACGTAGACCCTGAGAGGTTGTAAACTCTTACAAGTCCTGGTTGAAGAATGAGCCACGGCTGAAGGCAACAGTCGCAGTCAGGCATGTGATCTGGACATCCTTGGCGGTGTAGACATCTGCCAAGACAGTGTACTTGCCCTGGGTCGTGTTAGCATAGCAAGCATGAGAGATCGAGCGATACATACAGGAGGAATCTCGGCAGGCAGGTCCACGCTCTTGGTGATCTCGAGATCCCCGGCCTCCAGCGGGCACTCGAGATCCACGTTGCCAATCTCCTTGCAGAAGTCCGCCTTGGTGGTGATCAAGCGGATGAGGCCGTACTTGACGGTCAGCAGAACATAAGCGCCCTCTTCGATTGTCTCCTTGATGGTGCCCTTGGCCTTGATGACCAGCTCATTGCCACTATCGCATGCATGTTAGTCTCTCTAAGCTCGGTGTATCGATGATGCGGGGTGCGACGTACGCCTTGGGTGGGTTGGGCGACAGGTCCACACTCTCAATCGTGACAAGGTCCTTGGAGTGGTCGCCGGGGCAGAACTCGAGAGGAGAATCTCCAGGTATCTTGTTATCGTCATTGGCGATGGCGTCGGGGGCGTTGCCGTTGAAGACGCTCAAGGCTGCGGCCGGGGCCAACAGGCAGGCAGCGACGGCTGTAAGTCTCATATCGACGTCGCGCAAACTGGTGCGAGAGAAGTGTATGCAGTGTGAAGTGCGTCGTGGGTCGTTGATGGTTGCAGAACGCTTGCGATGGCGGCCAAGTTGTTGATGTCTATCAGCGGCGGAGTGATGCAGGCTGGCTGGTCGGTCTGGTCTGGGGAAGTTTAGCAAAGGCGTCATGGGACGAAAGCGCGCACGCTAATTGGTAGACATCCTGCTCAACCAGGCGCCAGGCCACGCAGCGACTTTTCAGCCTTCCGTGGCTGCCTGTTCGACTGAATACTGGGAAGCATGTTTACCCAAGCAGGCAGTGTGGCATCATGATATTGACCATTGTATCGAGCTACGTATTGTCACCATTTTCAGTGGTTTTCCTTCGAACCCGCACCACATCTCGACCACATGCGCCTGTCCGGACCCCGTCGCAGGCTCATTTCCCAGCCGCGTCTAATCCCACCTTGGCCAACCTCCAAGTGGACCGCGCCGGTGCTAAGCTCAAGCCTCAGGCGCACCAATCCTCCTCCCAACGGGTATATAAAGCCCTCTTCCCTCGCCTAAAACTGAATCCACGGTATACTTACCTTATTCATTCCAAGGCAGCTCAAGATTTGCTTTGGGAAGTGAGGGTGGCCTGCATCGCACATCGCGGAGTCAACCCTCACTCTATTGCCCTTCGGGGTCATAGTGGGTACAATTTTTGATGGCATCACTTCACGTCTTTCATTGTGAGCCTGGCTTTAGCCAGGGCATGAAGAAGGGCCATTGTACGAATTGTATATGACTTTCTCCGTATACGAGAGACATTGTTCTGCCATTTGTACAGAGTTTGACCTGATCTCGGCTTGGGCCATGTCACACGCTGGGCGCAAAGGACTTGGAAAATCTGAAGCAATGAATATACCCCTTGTTTTGAATTACAAGTGCTGTTCGACTGTCCGCAAGCACTGCGTGATTAATACATGTAGCTTCGACCCAGCAACAGCAGTAATTATAACTGTGTCAACCAGCCATTTCAGCGATCGAGATCCAGGCCAATGAAAAGATGTAAACCTGGTGGGACCAAGCGTCTCGTACCCAACGAATCAGATGCCTCCCAGCCGTATCTACCTTTGGGGTATCGCCCGCTTCCGGGTCACTCTTTGATCGTAATCACCGATGCGCCAGAGGAACACCTGTTTTACGCACCCTGCGCGTCACCGATTTCTCGTCGAGATTCAACGCAACATGAGAGCCAATGTTCGGTCACTAATTACTCGCGCGGATACTCCCAGCTCGATAGGGGCACCGGTCCGTTTTAATGGTGTCTCCCAACGACCCAGATGATTGAGTGCAGGTAAGCCCTTGGAAGGACAAGATACAGCATTGCCTAGAAAGTTCATGTTGGGACAGGTTGGCAATGTGACTCATGGCCCAATCAGCGGCACTGACGGCTCCCAACTCCCAAACATCTGTTTGCGTCGCCGAAACTCAAAAAAGTCGGGCTGCCTTTCTCGAGCTGGAGGACACATGCACCCCTCCACATTTTGTCACTCGCGTGCACACCTCTGAGACTCCAGTCCTTATCAGCTATTTTCACTCATCATCGAGCTGGATATTTCCACTGCGAGACGGTGTCCGACTTTCACACACTGGTCTCCTCTGATTAGATGCCTTTCCACCTTGGTCCAGTGCTGACAGCAAGGTTGGCTTCAATAGACTCGGTGGTATCGGCAAACCCCAACTCAGTACAGAAAGCCCATCATTCACAATAGCAGGGCCGACCCGCATCTCGCAACAAAAGTCCGCGATCTTTGAGGTTTCCTATCCACCGTGTATGCTCGCTAACAAAACCCACGCCGCTGGAAAGGTCGTTTGGCGTAATAGATGAATGGCAAGACCAAACACTGCCATCCGACCTCGAAGATGCATCATCAATCTGCACAGCCTGCAGCCAGCGCGGAGCAAGACCATCAACAAGGATGGAATGCCTAAAGGCTAAGGCTAAAACTTGTCATGTTTCTCTGATACGCTAAGATTTCCACGGCCACCGCCAGTCCTTGTCCGGACTAGCGCATGCATCCTGGAAGCGGGGCCTGAAAATGCCCATCAGCAATGGCAGGGCGCTGTGGTCGAGAGGTGCCAGCCGCTTCCAGTAGTGGAGGGCGGCGCGCCCAGCAGGTCGAGGCCGCTACAGCAGCAAAAGTCTGGTGCGGTTTTCGGTGCGAGCCAGCCAGAGCGCAGGCATTCAACTTGGTCGCAGCAGCAGCTGAGTCGGACGGGTCGTGGACACACCAGCAGCAGCAGCGCAGGCTGCTTTTGCCAATCTCCTCCTCCAGTCCAGTCCTTCCTTCCCCCATCCATTCTCTCTCTTGCCCCCCGTCCTTCACTACGATTACTCGACCCTTTTTCTGATCAACACGTACTGGCGTGAACTCAGTTACTGCGCCGCTTCCTCTTCAACGATTCAAACTCTTCAATCATCGAAGCCTCACCATCCTCTCCCTCTCGTGAACCCATCGCGCACCGGCCCCTCCGTCCCTCGTTGAGCCACCCTCGAATCTCTTCGATCACGACGAAACTTGCGACGCAACGAACTTCTACACGCGCGCCTGATTTTAAAATTTCGACGCGCCATAGTCCAAGCGATCCACACCCGAGCAATCAACTCCCGTTACACGTTGAACCCCCCTTCCAAATCTGAACACTTGGTCTTCGTTCCTAGGTAACAGGGCTGGCGTCTCTTCGTGTCACGCTGCCCGTTGGCCTCGACAGTTTTACCGACTGTCGCCCTGGATTGCTTCTCGCTGCTCGCTCGTCGTGCATTCAATCGAGCTGGCGCGCTGACCTAGGCGTCGTCATGCCCTCAATAGCGCGTCGATAAGAAGCCACCGCCCCCCAATTTGAACGACAATCGTCCCGATATCGTGGCGACGATCCACCAGATGATGACTGACAGACCGGACACTCTCCCTCCGCCAGTCTCGATTCCTAGCCAAGTCGTCCCCATCCTCCCCCCCGGCCCAGTCGCTGAGGAGGACGAAACCACCCCAGTAGAGGTGGCTGAGGAAGAGCCGTACACTATCAAGTGTATTTGCAAATTCTCCGGCGATGATGGAAATACTATATACTGCGAGAAGTGCGACACGTGGCAGCACATTGAGTGCTTCTATCCCGAAAACCGAGCGGAGGCGATCCGCGAGGATTTTGCCCACGCTTGCGCAGACTGTCATCCTCGGCCGTTGGACCGCCAAAAGGCCTTCCTGCGTGCTACCCAATTGAAGAATGGCGTCGCTCCGTCGGCGCAGTCAGAGAAGAAGCCCAAACGCCCTCCTCCCAAATCTCAGAAGAAGAAGCTCAAGCCCGGGGATGGCTCGTCGAGTGACAGCAAGCGCAACGGCGGCATCAGCGATCATCAGCAGCAACCCGCGCCGAAGAAGCCGAAGACAGCGCATCGCTCGTCCCAATCTGTTGGATCACTGGCAGCTAAACGGAGCCCATCAATATCACAGGCGCGAGCGCAGCACGGACGACCGCCATCCCCCGCCAACAGCCCACCCAATCTACCCGAGGACTTCAGGATACATCACTATTCGCCGGCTTTCCAAGCTCTGTGGAAGACAGAGTTTGAAACAGTCCACGATAACACGTTCCAAGGCCTTGCGGTTCCTGGGGCATTGGCAAGATGGCTCCACGATGAACAGCTGATGCAATCCGAAGTTGGTCACAGCCGTGCTGAGGTGTTTCAAGACGCATCGTCCGAGTCGCTGAAGCGGAAGATGATGGATCATCAAGGGAAAATGCAAATCGCGTCGAAAGAACAGAATGTTGACGCAACAACCATGTTGCGCTGGCAATACATGACTACCCCAGTGGCCATTCAAAAAGAGGATCCTATTTTCGAACTCAACGGCGAGATTGGATTCCAGAAGGATTACTGTTCGGACCCGGAGAACCTGTGGAGTGATCTCTCATCACCTCTTCCCTATGTGTTCTTCCATCCGGTCTTGCCTCTTTTCATTGACACCCGGCACAAAGGATCGCAAGCTCGGTTCGTACGGCGGAGCTGTCGACCAAATGCTCAGCTGGACACTCTTCTCATTGACGGGTCTGAATACCAGTTCTGGCTTATCGCCGACCGGACAATTGCACCCAATGAACAGATCACACTTCCCTGGGATTTCCGACTGGACAAGAGTGTAGGCTCGCGATGGCTGCACCTCTTGGGGCTCAGCGACGACGACGCCTCTCGATCAGACGAGCCTGAGATGAGCGAGATTGAGTACAACGCGATATCAAACTGGATCGACCGCATCCTGTCGGAATATGGCGGTTGTGCGTGCGACCTGGAGAACAATTGTGCCTTTGCTAGATTTCATCGCCTCTATCTCTACAGCAAGAATCCGCCGAGGACCATGGGCAAGAAGAAGCAACGGAAGCATCGGACCCAAGCGATCTCCCCCACGAGCACTGGCCAGGCCAGCCGGGCCGCAAGCGAGGGCCACGGCGAAGACGACACGCGGTCCCAGACCGACATATCGCGCAGCAAACCATCGAGCCGAGACCCTACCCCTGCCCGACAAGGCTCTCTCGATCAGAACCGCATCCTCACCGAACCAACCGACCGAGACAAGCGCAAAGTGGCCATGGTGGAGGACTCATTCCGCCGCATGGAGCAACAGCAGCCCGCTCGGAAAAAGAAACGTGTTTCTGATGGGACTTCGACCTCATCCAAGTCGAACCGAAACGGCTCGACATCGAATTACAAGGATGCCGGGACGGGAGGGAGCAAGAACGGCTCACCAACTGCTGCCAACTCGCCTCAGCTCCCCAACGGCTCGAAAAGACGGACGTCATCACACCACCGTTCTCGGCAGGCATCAGATGCCCCTAGACCTGTCTACTGCAGCACTGGGACGCAGACTGACCCCGTCGAGGACGATTGGTTCAGCAAACCGCCGGCCCAGCCGCGCAAACGCGTCATTTCTTTGGCAAAGCGACTATTGCAGAATCGGAAATTGTGCAAGCTCGAGAATGAGAGACGACGCCGGGAGCCATTGACACCCCGGACGTCCTCAGGCTCTGCAATGGAGGTTGAGCTACCGAACGGCATCAAAGCGTCCACGGGCGCAGAGACCGCGTCATCAGCCACGTCACAATTCGAGGACACGCACATGAGCGACGCCCACGGCAATTCGAGTCCAGCCAGTGAGGACAGTTCGAAGAAGAAGACACCAGATCTTCGAGTGCAAATGCCACCCGTCCCGGCTTTCGACAATACCGGTCTCCGGCCCGTCAGCGATACGGCACCTGCCTCCGCCTCCAGCACGGCTCAATCTCCCCTCTCCGCATCTAGCCTTCCAACCCCCTTCCTCACAGGTGGTATGAATGGCTTCGTCCAACCGTCGCCTGCCAAGAAGAAGCTGAGCTTAAGCGACTACACGAGAAGGTCAAAAGCGGCAAGCAAAGTGACGGGGGACGCGATCACTGTCCGGTCGACGTTGTTGAGCCCGGCGGAGACAAAGGTGGAGATTGTCATGGACGATGTGATGAGCGAGGCAAAGCCTACCACAGACTCGACTCTGGTCCCAATCAAGGACCAATGAACGAATAGTGCGACGGCCTGTTGGTTTTGTCAGGAATGTGTTTGGTCGATTTACACGGAAAATCTTGGACGGCGGAGTTGGGGGCGTACAGGACAGAATTAAATGGACACGACTGGCACGTCGGGGATTCTTTTCATCGAAGACACGAGGGGTGTCCTGGCGTTCGGTACGATACAAAAAGCTGGAAGACGTCTTGTCGCACGAATCGATGTTTACTTGGCTTGGTCCCTCCTGTTTTGCTCAAATGCATGAGGTGTGCGGCGGCCATGGAGTCCAACTTTTCTTAATTTTTTTTTGGTTGCAAGGGAAAGAGAGAGATGCCCAGGGTCGGGCTTTTGCCTTTTTGTTCTCGAGGCGAGGCGATACCCCTGGCGTTGCGAGGGACAGTCCTCTTGCTGATGATTACCACTACTGCTACTACTTTACTCATGGAAACTTCTCATGTACTTATATAGTGGGCTCCGTGGGCAGCTAGCCACCAAGTCATCTTCATGTCTTATTGGGAAGACATGCAGTTATGATCAGACATTGTACAACTCTTCGCAAAGTGGCTCATTTCTGTTCTGCGCCTGTCTGCGCGCTAGATTCTCTATACTTAGTATATACATGTATAAGCGACCGTGCGCTCCTACTTGCTTGCTGTGGCGCCATCATTTGTCGACAGCGGTGCCCCAGTTGTCTTCCTTAAAGACGAGTAGGGCAAGCCTGTGCCTCACAAACAGGCCGAACAGGCCCACTGCGGCCTGGAACATGGTGACCTCCCAGGCCAGACGATCCTCCCGGAGCGGGCCCCTCCAGACGAGCCACAGGTTGAGGATGGTGAAGTTGGAGGTCTCGGTGAAGAGACCATCCTTGTCGTAGGTGATGGCGACCAGCTTGACCCGGGCCATGAGGCGCAGGCCCCGCGCGACGAGAGGATGCGGCTGGCGGTCGGGGGACCAGGGCGTGGTCGAGGGCTCGAGGAGGCCGGTCCGCGCGTTGAACCTGGGCAGGCGGTGGCGGGGGCAGGGGAGGAGCCCAAAGACCTGGGGGCAGGAGTATAGGAAGTTGAAGATCTGGGGGACGAGGAGGAGGCCGAGTGTCTTGGAGAAGTGGCCGAGGATGCCGACGACGGCAAAGACCATGCCGGAGAAGTAGCAGTAGGTGTCGCCGACGAAGACGCGGGCGGGATACCAGTTGTGGACGAGCAGCGCGGCGGAGACGCCGATCCAGGGGAGGAGGAGGTAGAGGGAGAAGAGGTGGGAGTCGGTGGCGGGGTGCGGGTAGGGGGTAAGGAGGTAGAGGGCGTCGTTGAAAGCGAGGAGGAGGGCGATGACGAGGCATTGGGAGACCTCGATGCCGTTGATGCCGGCGAGCATGTTGATGCTCTGGGGGCAGAACATGGCGACGCAGGCCATATAGAGGTAGTAGAGAGGCCCCAGGTCGAAGAGCTCGCCGAGGTAGGGCTGGAGCTGGATGGGCAGGACGATGGATGTGACGTCAAAGTCGACAAAGTAGACGACGAGGAGGGGAATGGAGGCGAGGCCGGGAATCCACCACTTGTGTCGCCAGCGAATGTCAAAGAGGTCGTCGCCGATGCCGAGGAGGGCGATGGTCTGGAGGGAGATGATGGCGCCGAGGTAGGAGGCGAGCTTGTTGTGGGGGAAGCGGTGGAGGAAGCGGCCCTGGTTGACGTGCTCGAGGTGGAGGACGACGTCCCTGTTGCCGCCGCCGCTGGTGGCAGCGACAATGTCCTTGTAGAAGGGGAAGGGGACGAAGACGATGACGGCGAGCAGGTAGACGACGGCGCAGATGGCGCCCATGCACTCGGGCAGCAGGGGCCGGCTGGTCTTGCCCATGTCGTGGCCGCTGAAGCCGGCCTGGATGAAGCGGGGGCCGAGCCAGCGGATCATGGCGTAGGCGAGGGCGAAGGCGAGGAGGGAGAGGGCGAGAGAGGCGATGAGGGGCTCGCCATCGCCTTGGAAGGTGTTGGCGATGATGAGGAGGGATGCGCCGGAGAGGGCGAGGAGGGAGAGGGTCTCGTTGCGGGAGAGCTCGTTGCGGATGGGGACGGCCATCTTGGCGGAGGTGCTTTGGCAATCGAAAGAAAGTGAATCGAATCGCGAAAGGAGGGGTGGTGGTCGAGTGAGGTCGTGGTTGAGTGTTTGGCGATGGAGGCGGGGGGTCTATCGGGTTGAGCGCATTGTGATTGTGGAGGGTCGCACAGCGCAATGAGCTCTGTTTGTGTGTCGCGGGAATGTGGTGGCACGACCTGCGCAATCGCGAGGTGAGGTGAAGCTGAGGAGGCTGGTCGATGTGGGTGGGCGTGGTGGTGAAGATGAAGTTGGTCGACACGTTGATGACACGTCTGCACGTGTTTGCAATTCAAGTGCCGGTCCGCAGATGCCATGTCACTGTCAGTGCCAGTGGTGGAGGTTTCAGGGGTCCAGCGACTCCAGTCCTGCCTGGTCCAAGCTCCCGCCCTCAGCCTCATCAGTCTCCTCGTCGCTCCATGTCGATGGTCACCTCACGCTCTCACCCGCGAGCCGGTCATTGAGAAGATCATAGCATGCTGCATTTTCGCATCAGTCATTCATCACTGCAGTCCCTTTATTCCATCCCGACGTCGATTAGGCGGCCAAAGATGATCCGGCCGCAACCCTCACCGGCTTTCGGGTCCCATGCTGGGCATGCACCATTGCACGTACAGAGACACGCCCACTTAATTATCTCCGGTTGTTTCCTCGCGAGTGTTCCAACGGACGGGTCAATTTACTCAAAGCGGCCTGCATGTGTACGACGTCTCGATGGGCGCCGACTGCTGCGCGTCTGACCTCCCATTCATCGAGTGACGGCAGCTCCAAATCACACTATGGACAGATCTATCCTCACCAGAGTGCGACGCCCTCTGACTACTACGGACTCATCAATGCTGCTGAAACCCGCCGAAGCGCAAAAACGAAGCGGCCATGGCGTGCATGAGGCCGACAGATCACCGGCTTCAGATATCCGGATCTCCATCCCCAACTGCTATCCGCAATGCCGCATGCAAGCGCCCCCCCCCATCCCCCATCCCATCCCCTACCTACGGTCCTACAGGTCAATGTCATTCTCGCCCTTTATTACGCCGTCTCCGGTCCTCGCTGCCGCTCAATTAATAATGCTCTGGCCCAGTAAACGATGCTCACTCTCTCATCCTCTCTCCCCGCAGAAAACGACCCCCAATCCTGAGCGGCTGCTGTACTTAATCCATCGACGCCCTGTACTCCTTGGCATTATGGTGCTGCATGCTCTACTTGTGCCTATCCTGCCATCGACTTCACCATGACCCCTCGTGAATCCGACGAAAAGCCCGTGGACGAGGCCGCTGCCACTCAGCACACCGACACCTACGACGACAAAGGCATGGGCTCAGCGTCGATATCTGTAGACGCCATGGACGACAGCCACGGCAAGGAAGCTGTGGAGGACCCCAGCCAACATGACTATGACATGGAAGCACAAGACCATGTTGACGTTGAACGTGTCGAGAGCCACACACATCGAAGTGTCCTCTCGCGCCTGTCACGCACGACCAGTGCACCAAGAGCACCAGTGGCTCCCACCGTCCTCCCCCTGATGGACCTGGACAAGGGCATCGTCGGCTGGGAGTCGCAGGATGACCCGGCCATGCCACTCAACTGGGCCCAGAGCCGCAAGTGGTCCGTCACCATCATGCTGGCCTGCATCACCTTCATGACCCCCTTTGCCTCGTCCATCCTGGCACCCGCGATCCAGTTCCTCGCTGAAGACTACAACGTGTCCAGCCTCACCAAGGCGTCCATGCCCGTCAGCATCTTCCTGCTCGGGTACGCTGTTGGACCGCTCTTCCTCTCCCCTCTCTCCGAGATATACGGTCGCCACATTGTGCTCACATCGGCGAGTGCCTACTTTTGCGTCTGGCTCATTGGCTGCGCACTCGCGCCGAGTATTGACACGCTCAGCTTCTTTCGCTTCATGTGCGGTGTCGGCGGCTCGGCGTGCCAGACCATCGGCGGCGCCGTGATCGCCGACGTCTTCCCCGTCCATCAGCGCGGCCGCGCCATGACCATATGGATGATGGGACCCATGGTTGGCCCGACGATTGGGCCCGTCATCGGCGGGTTTACCGCCCAGACCATAGGCTGGCGCTGGGGTAGCTGGATCACCTTCATCCCGGCTACGATTGTGGTCGTCGTCATGGCCATCTTCAACAGCGAGACGAATCACCAGGTGCTGATCAAACGCAAGACACTGAAGCTGCGAAAAGAGCTGAATCGTCCGGAGCTGCGGAGCTGCTACGTGGACCCAGACGCGCCCGTCATCACTAATGGACGTATCCTCCTGAACGGCCTGGTGCGGCCCATCAAGATGCTCTTCACCAGCGTCATCATCTTCGCTGTCAGCTTGTACATTGCCTTTGTGTACGGCTGTCTGTACCTGCTCTTCAACACAATTCCCATGGTCTTTCAGGGCGCCTACGGGTGGTCCATTGGCGTGACCAGTCTGGTCTACTTCAGCCTGCTCATCGGCTACGCCATCAGTCTCTCCATTTTTTCGGTTCTCTCCGACAAAACCGTCGTGCGCATGACGACCGCTAACAACGGGGTCTACCAGCCCGAGTTCCGACTACGAGATTGCATCTATTTCGCCCTCATCCTGCCTGTGACCTTTTTCTGGTACGGCTGGAGCGCGGCCGAGAAGACGCACTGGATTGTGCCGACGCTGGGCATCATCCCCTTTGGCATCGGCTGCATCGGCGTGTGGATGCCCATCCAGGCCTACATTGTCGATGCGTATCCGCAGTTTGCCGCCAGTGGGCTGGCTGCCTTCTCCGTGCTACGCTGTACCGTCGCGGCCTTTCTGCCCTTGGCTGGCCCGGCCATGTATGAGGAGCTGGGCGTCGCGTGGGGGTCCTCGCTCCTGGGGTTCATCGCCGTGGCTATGATACCGATCCCCACGGTCATTTTTAAGTATGGCAAGACGCTCAGGGAGAGATATCCTCTGGACTTGTGATGCGGTGGGGACGTGGTCGAGGCTGGAGCGTGAATGTCATCCGATGTGGTCACAGAGCTCACATTGCTGTCACCTCTGGAAGATTCGATTCACTTCCGCTCACTCTTTGTTTTTCTCTCATCCGTGTGCGCCTCTTCTACCCCTTCCTCTCCTCTTTCCTCTTCTCAGGCTTCCCTCCTTCTCACCACAACATTTCGACCCGCCAGGCCTCTCCCGAGCGTGAATCCGCCTGGAGCCAAACTTCGAACTTATTTGGGGGGTTCTATGCTATTGGCACTCGTGCCATTGTGCTACGATACAAGACTTGGTTTCCAATCTCAACTGCAGCCTCGCGCAAGGTCATCCTGAAGGTATGGCAGCAAGTCATGGATAGTCTGCTCTACTTTGCTAACAGCACGAAGGCGGCTGAGAATCTTTCGCCATGCCTCCCCCAACACTAGCTCCGCCCACGGATGATGACTGGCGAGAATGCCTTTTTATACGTGCACTTTGGGCTCTTCGGGTTGTGGAACGCGACGACGCTGTGACCGGAACGATAATCGTCGACTTGGACGAAGACTTTGTGATTCCTGCTGGGAAGCACAGCATCGTCGCCATCGCTGAGCGACGTGACCATTCAATCCATCCTATATCAGCAATCGCGGACGAAGTGCGTCCGTGTCACCGATTCGAAGCACATTGCTTTTTCCCGGTATTCCCTCTTGACTGGGCCTCGGTTGCCGTCATGCATGTCGACTTGGACAACGACGTTGTCCTCCCTGCCGGAAAGCACACCATTCTTGCCGTTACCCGCGGCGGTGACTATGCCACCAATGCCGCGTCAAATCTCGCTGAGACCGATGCGAATGATGGTAGTGTGTCTGAGGAAACAGTCACTGATGGTCAGAATCCGATCTACACCCCTGGCTCCAACATGAGCTGTGCCAGCGATGCAGTAGCAGCGGCTAGTGCACCAGCTAATCCTCAGAATCACGTCCCGATTGCGGATATCGCTGCTCTTGTCGAATCGCTCAACGCTTCTGAATGCCTTCCCCTCTGCTGGAAAATGCTCATTGGCAAATTGACCTTTCGCCTGGAAGGTACACGTGATTCCAATGGGAGATCCGACTACACCCACGCCGAGCTTTTTACAGTCATTGCCCAGGCCGCAACTGAAGCACACACTGGATGGACATGGCTCTACCCGATTATCCACCGCACAACCCGAACTCCGATGTGGTCGGCTGATGATTCGACCTTTGCAGATGATCTTCATGGTGCACAGGAGATGCTGCAAAAGTTCAAGACATGTTTGCTCCATTTTCGTGGCATAGAAGTCTCTATTGACACGTTCGAGCGTTACGGCCTCTGGTCAATTGATTTTCTTGCGTCGGGGAGCGGCAAATCTGCATTTGCCGTAAGCCTGCTAGGTTTTTGGCCGCATCTGAAGCCGTCCATGTTTCTCCGAGACGATAAGGGTTCGTCTCGGCCGGTCCATGATTCTGTATCGAAGGGATTGGGTCGGTTCATGGAAGTTTTTACCCATGCAGTCAGAGAAGTGTTGCCACTTGTGCAGAAAACAGTCATTGCAGGTATCATACACGATGAGGAACAAATGACCGAGGCCGTCTTGGCGGCTGGGCATGTATTCGCGGAGCTCATGGATCTGGCATACGTCCGTAACCGGATGCACAAGGATAGGTAGGCTCCACGAAATCTTTTCGTATCTTTCACCCAGAAGAGCAGTTGGAGATCATGAACAAACGTGGCTTGGTCGCAGAACACGGGTATTTGATGCCATACATAGCACATGACAAAACAATCGCAAGGGTCCTCAGAAAAGAATTCTGCTCTGAACCAAAAGTCTCCACTAATGCTCTCTGTCCTACTCTTGCGACGCCCACTCACGCAGGTCCTTCTTCTTGATCTTGCCCGTGCTCGTCTTGGGCAGCTCCTTGACGACGACGACCTCCCTGGGTACCATGAAGCGACTGATCCGACTCGAGTTCTTGGCCCATGCAATAATGTCCTCGCCCTTGACGCTCTTCCCCTCCTTGACCGTGATGAACGCTTTCGGCCGCTCGCCCCATTGCTCGTCCGGGACGGAGACGACACCTGCCTCGAGAACATCTTCGTGCTCCACGAGCATACTTTCCAGCGCCACGCTGGAGATGTTCTCCCCGCCGGAAATGATGATGTCCTTGGCCCGGTCAAAGATTTGGGCGCTGCCGTCGGGGTGCCACACGGCGAGATCCCCGGAATGGAGCCAGCCACCGTCAAACAGCTTCTTGGTCGCCTCTTCGTCCTTGTAGTAGCCCTTTGCACAGATGTTGCCGGAGAAGATAATCTCACCCACTTCAGCACCGTTCTTGGCGACGTCAATAAGCACGCCGGGTGGCTGCTCGGGCTTGATGACGCGGATGGGCAGGGAGACGATGAAGCCGTGACCTTGACGAGCCATCTTGGCATACTTCTCCTGGGCCGAGAGGTCATCCCACGAAGGCATGGGATATGACTTTGTGATGGGGCCGTAGGTTTCTACCACCGGTCAGTTAAATGACTTGCTTTGGGGAGCTTGTTCGTCTTACCCGTCAAGCCATACACGTGCACTGGTTTCAGATTCAGATTTGACTGCGCTGGTCAGTATATGTCGTTGCAGCAGAGGGAGACTGGGGCTACCATTTGCTCAAACAGATGCCCGCTAGGGGGGCTTGCTGCTACCGTCACCCGGACTTCCTGCTCGAGCCTCTCGGCTTCCTTGGCGGCCACAAGCAAAGTGTTGACTGTCGGTGCGGCGTTGAAGTGCGTAATCTTTTGCTCCTTTAGGAGTTTCCATATGAGTGGATAGTCGATTTTCCTCAGGCAGACGTTGAGTCCTCTCACAGAGACGACGGCCCAGGGGAATGTCCACCCGATGGCGTGAAACATGGGCAAAGTCCATAGATATCGACAGCGCCCGGCGCTGAGGTTTGACTCAATGACGTTGCCGAGTGCAGCGAGGTAGGCTCCTCGGTGGGTGTACATGACTCCCTTGGGACGGCTGGTGGTCCCGGATGTGAAGGGGATGGCGAGCATCGAGTCCTCATCCGTGGCGTGGCATTGCAGGCCGGTCCAGCCATGGAGGTTCGCAGTGCGAGCATGCTCGAGGCCCTGTTGGAGGGCCTGGTCATATGGTCCAGTGTCGGCATCCGTATCCTAAACAGTCAGTTTCATCTTCCCGGCGCCATGTCCATGGGCCACCCACCGTGTCTACCAAGAATGGCACTTTTTGGTTGCTTTTCCGAAAGTAGTCCAAGAGATGCACAAACTCCTGATCGACAATGATGCAATCAACCTCTGCAAACTCAAAGATGTATGCGATGTCTTCCTCCTTCAGACGATAATTGGCCGGAACGATGACACCTCCCGCGGCAACGATGCCATAGATAGCCTCGAGGAACGCTGGCGTGTTGGGTGCCAATACTCCCACGCGTCTGTAGCCGTGACTCTGGAGATAGTACGCCAGCCCCCGCGTGCGCTCGGAGAATTCAGCATACGTCCGGCTTAGCGGGACGTTGTTAGCCGTGACATGATAGATGGCTTGAGCATCAGGTTCGATGGCCGCTGCGCGCTCCAGGAAAAATGTGGGCGAGAGGTGGTGGAGGTGTGGCGCATCGGAGGGTGTCGTCTTTGAACTTGTGAGATGGCCCAAGATGGACTTGAGGCGTGAGGGCGCGCCGGACATTATGGCGATGAGTCGTACCTGAAAGAGTACCTCGGCGGGCGAGAGCAAGAGCAAGACATGACGACGGCCAGGGCGCGCTTGGGGTTTTATGGAGTCATGAACACAGGGGTCGGCTGAGTGAGTGTGGAGGAGGACTCAAGAGGAGAGAGAAGACTGGGGACCGAGCAACAACCGGCGCGGATCCGTTACCCCGACTTGTGTCTACGTACCCCGCAGGGTGCAGGGAGCCGATTCTGGGGAACGATTGTCACGAGAAATTGGCTTGGGTTCTTAGCGGAGGATGGGAGTGTGTCCTCAAGTCAAGAATGCTGGGAGAATGCTAGCTTGCACGTACTTGTTCGACTTGAGGCGATTGAGGTTGATAACTTGGCGTTGTGGTGGGCCTACTAGTCAGTCGTAGTATACTGGGCGGCTTCATGAAGAACATCTTTAAGTGAACAGACAGACAAGGTTGCATGTGAAAGCCTGTGCTTCGGATCCGATCCGACAGGACGGCAGCACCGATGCTACCCATCAAGTTGCCTGAGAAGCTTCATCATAATGAATTGTTTGCAGAGGAATCCTCATGGTGCATTCACACCTAGAAGAAGGCAGCGCTACGCCCTGCACGGGGTTGACAGGTGACATTATGATGTTTCTGCATCTGGCGCTGCTTATTACGATGGCAGTCGCCCATCTCGACCTCGATTCATCCAGTAGTGCGTCGGAAGAGCTCTAGAGCTTGAATGCCTTAAATACCTTGTGCTCCCAACAAAGGCTGTGGCTTGTTGCAATGGCAGTGAGAGCCTCTGTTCCTAGCCACAATCAGAAGGCTTGAACCCCCCGTCGTCATGAAGACTGGACACACAATGGCCGATGGATAATAGTAAGGTAAGCAGTAGCTCGCTGGGTCAAGAGTGAGTGTCTTCAACTTTTCAATAGTACCTCATCTAAGCACCTAAGTTAAGTACCCCCTTTCCTGGACTGTGAGAAGGAGGATGAACTTGTGTCGAGACTGAAGAAAAAAGGCCCGGCCCTGCCAAGAGCTCCACCCACTTTCCGTCATTCTGCGTCCCGCAGCAGACGCGACATGGATGCCAATTGCTCTCGCTCGCAGGCAGCCAGCAGCCAGTCTCGCTCTTCAACCTAATACATCATCATCAGCTGCAGTCATTTTGCTCGACCATCGCTCATCAGACGCCCTTGTATCCCTGTTTCTTTCCCGAGTCACCTGGACGTCTGCAACGGCAACGTCAAACTAGCGCTGCGGCAGAGCCGCGTCCGCCGTGTCTCAACTACTTGTACTTACGCATACGTTACGCATGCCACGTCTTCGCGACGACGCGGCATACTAGTCGAGGGTTAGACTCCAGCCCAGAGCAAGTCCCCGGATACGAGACGCAATCGACACCACTTCACTTGCAGGTACGCTCTCTTGTTCTCTAACAACCCCTTCCCCGTCCTCAAAACCGGTCTCGTCGCTCACCATGCAAGTCTTCCACCCCGCCCACCGACACATGGCCTCGCCTAGCTCAGACAAGGCCGTGGGCGCCGAGCCTCGCCCTACGGCCCCCCGAATATCATCCTTCTCGAGTCATCGGCGCGACGATGGCGGCGATACCTTGAAGCCTCCCAGGCGCGTCCAGACCATCCAAACGAGCTCCCCGCTAGACCGACCACAGTCAAATGACCGGAGCCCAAGCGCCTTTGAGGGCGCCGACGACAGCGATCCCGAGGATGGCATAGAGATCACGAGGGCTTCGATTGAGCTGGATGTGCTTCCCATTGAGCTGGTCTCTATGACCGACAGGTACATATCCCTTTGAACGTTGCGCGCTGCGCCCATATTGACGAGACAGTTTCATCGAGTCGCTGGGCGCAAAGGTCCACTCGCAACCACCAAACATCGACAAGCTTTCCCAGCTGTTCCAAGACTTCTATGCCCAGGCTTCGTCGCACATCAACACCCACATCAATACCCTAGCGACGATGCGCAGTCGCGAAGCCTCACCATCGCCATCTGCAACATCCCTATCATCCGCCGCTAGCCGACTGCGGAGCAAAGCGTCGGCATTGAACGTCAAAGAGAAGCCGCGGTCCGAAGCAGAGCAGCAAATGATCACCGCCGAAGAACTGGCCAGCAAGAAGAAGGCCCGCAAAGCTTTAGAAGTGAAACGGCGCATGCTAGAGGAAGCTGTGGAGAGGAGACTGTGTGAGGGCATATACGCCCGGATATACCGACATAAAAGCACGCAAGACGAGGCGCAAGACGACAAACTCCGGTCGAAAACGGCGGCGTTGGCGCTGGTAGGAATAGGGCCGGCAGATCTGGGCATCGACCTAGGGCACGACAAGGCTGAATCGCTTGAGGCGCCAGAGAAACAGACTGGCGAGATTCGCGCAAAGTTGGAGCAGGCGAGGAAAGACATTGCGCGGATGCATAAGTCTCGATACCCCCTGGGCAAGCTCAACAGCCTCAAGGCAGCCCATCGGAGCATCGTCGATACCATTGCCCACTTTCACCCTTCAGCGTCGGCCGACGAGATCATGCCGATGCTGATCTTCACGCTGATTACCATGCCCCCGGAAGACCTGCACGTCATCAGCGATGCGCGCTTCATACAAAACTTTCGCTGGGAGCCCAGGCTTGCTGGCGAGGATGCGTACTGTATCACCAACCTGGAGGCGGCGATAAGCTTCTTACAGAATGTCGACTTGGCGACGCTCCGCTCAGACGAATTGCCTTCTGGCCCGCCCAAGGGGCAGCCCGGGACACCCAAAACCGAGACGTTCCCACCAGCGTACCAACAGGGGCAAGTGCCCGGCGTCGAATCTTCCAAGGACGATGCTATACAATCCAAGAACGCCGCTGGGCTCAAGTCAGCAAGCAATCCCCGGAGCAGACGGCTGAGTGACCTCGTCAACACGCCAGCACAGGCCTTTGGCGCCGCGAGCGATGCGGTCTTTGCCACGGCAGATCAAGGTCTCAAGACCGTCTCCTCAAGCCTCGACAACAGCTTCAAGTTTCTGCTCGGCAAGATTCGTGAGCAGCAAGACAGCCCGCGCGAATCAATCGTGGTCCCTCGCACCCTGGACGATGCGCGGAAGCTTGTCAGTACACCCCCGCCCGAAGACGAGCCCATCATCAGCGGCGCCAGCTCGGCCGTCGATGCGGAGGAACTCAAGCAGCCGCGCGAGGATCGTGTGCTGAGCATGCTGGGCGGACGCCGAGATCGTAGCACCGATAGCGCCGTCAGTGGTCGCAGCGCCGGCTCAGCTAAGCCGTCGACACAGCAGGGCGCCCAACCGCCTCCCGTGTTGGACCAGATGCGGAACCATATTTCCAACTCGTTCAACCCCATGGCGCGCTTCTCAAATCAACTTGGCATGATACGCTCGTTTGGGAGGAATGTATCGACACCCCCAGCGATGAGCCAGAACGAGGCCACCAAGGTCGCTGACGGGGGTGACCTGGGGACTGTATGTTGACCCTCGAAACCCGTTTGCTACCAATACTAACTTGCCTTGCTAGGCATTCCCTGACATTGCCGCTGCGCTGCCGCCAAAACCATCCTTGCCCAAGCTCTCGCCGCCGAACAAGCGATTTATGGAGTTGCAGAATCCCGGGGACCTCAAGATTGGCGAGGTGCTAGAACTGTTGAGAGACTATCGTCGGCTCGCTGGTGCACTTAATAAGATGGGTGCCTTTGAAGAGAAATGATACTAATTTTACAGACCTCCCTTGTACATAGACTATTGGACAACAACAGCAAAGGCAGTCGATGGGTAGATGAATATGAATCGTAGCCATGTTCACTATCAATGGCAAAGAACAATTATGTGCATGCCGACGCTATCGTCCTTTGACAAGAGATCCCGACTCTTTGTAACTAGATCTTGCTCGATGCCGCTACCTTTCCATGATCTGCCTCTAACGCCGTACTTCGACGTGAACGCAGACTGTCCCGCCCAGATGTATGTCCGTCCGTCTATATAAAACGCCCCTCCGTATGCTCTCAACAGTAAATACCCAGGAAATATTCAGATAGTGCTCTACCAAGCCGAATTGCTCGGCATGGTCACCGGCAGCGTATCAGCGCGCCGGGGCGGTGCCGCGCGGTTCGACTCTGTGCTGCGCAGGGGCGCGAGGTTATCGCGCTCTTCGTCCGTGTCCTCATCCACCGCGGTATGAAACGACTGCGGTCTTCTAGACCCGTTTGTGAACGCGTGGGAGAGGGCCTCGGAGCCACTGGACGTGGTCCGCCGATGCGAGTGCACCACGTTGGGGGGCACCACGGGGCCCGGGTGCAGCATCTTGGTGATGATGCGGCTGTTCCTGTCCCGACTCATACTCCTGCCCCGGCCGTGGGTGCTGCCCGCGCGGCTGGCGCCGGTGTTGGTCCGCGGGAAGTCTGTCGTTGACTGTGCCTCGCTGTCGGCCATGTCCTTGAAGCGAGACTCGCTCGGGAGGATGACGGCACGATCGAGGCCATACGGCAGGCCACGATGGCGACCGCGAATCTCCATGGCGATGATGATGAGCTTGCCGAGGGTGCTGAATTGCGAGCAGAGCGAGGTGTTGACGCCCTTGGCGCCCATGCTGAGCCCGACGGTGCCGTAGGCACTGACAAGCTCGAACAAAATGTCAAACATGGAGAAGTCGTTCCGCTTGAGCTTGCCGCCCTCGGTGATAGCGAGGAGGAAGAAGCCCAGGAAGACGTACCACAGGTCAAAGGACAGCTGGCGGCGCAAATGGGTGCTCACGTACGAGACGGTGTTTTTCTCCTCGCTGGCTGCGCCCGCCTCGTCGTCGTTCTTGTTGTGGTGGTACACGCCGAGGGACTTTTCCTCGTAGACGTTGGTCTTGCGGATGGAGATGGCAATGGGGAAGACACCAATGTACATCATGAGCATGTACAGGACGGGCATGGCCGGGTGCAGCGCTGACAAGGACAAGGAGGCGTAGCCCGCGGTACGGGTGGACGCCGCTTGGAACAGGCCATTGACGACGCGTGTATGGACCGGCAGAGCCTCCACGACGGTGGAGTTGAGCTGTATCGCGGGTCAGTGAAGAACATGGGAGCAAAGGAAAGAAATGACTCACATCGAGGATGATGAAGAAGACCAGGTCCACGACGTTGAGAATGACGAGGATCCCAAACAGCCACCAGTTGGCGGCCGAGGGGAAGAGGAGGGTGAAGCATCGACGAGGGTGGTCCAGGAGGAAACGCAGCTCCTCCCACAGCCCGGAGCCCTTGGGCACGACCTTGGCAAAGGCCCAGATGAGGAAGCGCAGCATGACGGGGAAGCCCGTGTTGCCGATGATGATGAAGAACCACATGATCATGAGCACGTAGTCCGAGGTGGAAAAGGAGGCCATGCTGTCGGGCGTGAGGGCGAAGCCAAGGTCCATAAAGGCGCCGCTGGCCGTGAAGAAGCCCCACCAGGTGCGGGAGACGCCGGCGGCGCTCACCACGTCGCCGTACTCTGGCTTGTGGAGAATGTACGGCAGCAAAAAGGTCACGGCCAAGACCTGGAAGCCCCAGAAGTAGATGAGCAGGATGAACATGAGCGTGCGCAGGGAGCGGTACTCGATGCCGCCCAGCTCCTCGCGCTGCTCGAGCGTCAGGCCGACAAAGTTGGAGTTGCGGCCCATGGTGGGTGTGTAGCTGAGGTACGGCATGTCGTCCATCTTGTCGCGGGTGAGGGCGGACTTGATGGTGTCAAACGTCCTGGTCCGGACGGCGCGTGTGGCCGACCGGCCACGACGCTCGTCGCCATCCTCGTGCGTCTTGTGCTGGCCCGAGTTATTGAGGGCGCGTGGTTTGCGCATCCGCAGAGCGTCCATCGTGCCGGTCGCAGCCGCCGCGTTCTCCTCGGCGCGCTCGAGCTTGGGGTGGTGCGGCTCCTCAATGGTGATGGTGGGGTTGCGGGGGATGTGGCGCGAGTTGAGGGTCGAGCTCCGCAGCCTGGAATCGCGCGTCCGGATGTTGCTCAGAGGATTGCTCTCCTCATTGTCCTCCCCGTCGTCGAGCCTCCGGGGGCAGATGCCCCTCTCCGCGTCGCGGGGGCCAGGGATGCGCAGGACCTCGTTGTCCTGAGCGCGTTGGCGTTCCAGGATGGCAATGTGTTCCGTGTTGTCAAACGGATGGGTTCGCAAGTAGTTGATTGGGTCGTCCTCGACTCCGTCGCTCCTCTTGACAGTGTCGGCAAAGGTGACGGCCTGTTGCAGACCGGTCCCTTCGTTGGTCGTCTCCGGCTCTGTGGCCACGGCCGGCGCCGGCAGGCCTTCAACGTGCTGCCCGTGGCCGTCCGATACGTTGGTAGAGTCGCTGCCGTCCGAGCTGTGGACCGCCTTGGGCAGGTGAGGGTCGTCTTCGAGGAGAATCCCGTCATTCGTCACCCGTGGTGACCTATCGCCTTCTCGAGGGACAACAGTAATGTCCCTTCCGTTGACCCCTTCCTCCAAATCAGGTGCGTCTTCGCCACGGGCCTTGGACCGTGACTTGGTCAATGTGGTCCTCCGCTTCATGGCATCCTTGACCACGGTTCGGAAGCGCTTCTCAAACCAGTATAGTCGAAGCACCACAACCGACCCGTGGAGTGTAATGGGGTTGGTCAGCATGGGAATGATGTACATGACGATCTGCTGGAACGTGTTGAGCTTGTTGAGGTCCACAGGGTTGAGGCCAGCTTGTGTATTCGCACCACTGGCAAACAGGAGAGCATCAATGTACACGACATCGGCTCCTCTAGAAGCGTACATGAGAATCGATCCCAATATGACACCGCTGATGATAACAATGTCTATTTGACTTTGGTCAGCACTGTCCGTGGACGCAGAGGTGGAGGGGAGTTCATACAATGGGATGTGATGAAGTCAAAGTGCGGCTTCCTCTGGCTCAGCCGCGCCACTGCGCCGTGCCACACTCTTTTCAGAGATGCCATGGCCTTCATGGTCGTTGAGAGGAATGTGCAAGACTGTGAGCTCTGTGATCCTCGGTTTTGATAATCCGGTTTCCTGTGCTTTGTCGTCAGGTCTTCCGGGGCTTTGGCTGGTGTATGTAACTATCACAACCCTTGACTCTTGTCAGCCAAGGGTCCAGAAGATGGACGTGGTGCGATGATGAAGAGCAAGGTTCATGATGTTGAGCTGGATACTGAGTGTGTTGTCGGGTGAGCTCTCTGTGAGCTTTGATGACAGACCAGTGACTCTTATGCTGTTACCTGGGTAAGGTAGTATTGAAAAAATTCAAGACAAGCGCGATAAGCAAGTTTGCTCGCGTGTGACGGTTGTTCCAAAATTAACGTTATCAGCGGTCAGCGACTCGGTGAGGCGGCTGGTTCCGGCTCGTGTGTTCCGGGACGGGAAGACCCAGGCGATTCCAAGGGTCCCTGCAGCAAGAGACAAAAGCAAACCTCCCGTAGCCAGAGCGATGACAAGCGTGTGGGCGTCTGATAGGTGAAAAGCCAGTCGAGCAATGCAGACCCTGCGACGGAGGGTGGTCGAATCAGAAGCCAGCGATATCAGCACGTTGTCGATACCTGGTGTCTCTGTTGCCTCCTAATGAGTACAAGGGCTCGGTTCAGATCAACGGTCCACCCGATAATTATATTAAACACCCGGAATGCCTGCCTGGCGAATTGTCGACTCGACTGCGAGTAGTGGAGCCCTTGGCGGGCGCGCGCGAGAGCGAGACAGGGAGAGAGAGAGAAAGTCGCGCGAAAAAAGAAAAGTAAAAGAAAAGAGATTGAAGAAATGCTCTTATAATGTCGGCGGTAATTATTAAGAAGACGCTGTGGAGGAGATGAGCGTGCGACAAGTTCGATTGCTGAGACCGTCCGTCGTTGTCGTCGTCGGTTTGTCGTCTGTCGCTGAGCGGCCTCCAAAGGGTCGGTCCCCCAAGGTTCCTCTGACTGCAACCAGCAACGAGGAGTCGAGTCGCGTTCGACGACCCCGGGCAATTGAAGCCAGCAACGGTGTTCGAGGTCGAGAGGGGGGCGAGCGTCCGCCTGCTGTACTGCGTTACGGATCAGAGATGCTGCTGCTGTTCATCAAAGGAGAAAGGCCAACAGAAGCCTGAAGAGGTTCGACTCCGTTTATGTCATGTTAGCGCGGCATGAACTTTGCCATCATCAAAACCATCGCCCGCCACACACGGCGACTGGACTGCACTAACAGGTCTACAGCCATCATCCATGCATGGGCAGCATGTGCCGTGGATGCCGACTCGGGCGCAGCCCACCGCAATGGGCACCGCCGCCTTGCCAATACACCCTCATTGGGCGGCCCCCGACGGCAATGTGCGTGCCCAGAGAAAAGGCCTCGACCTCGCGTGCTTGGTTCACGACTGATCCAATGAGGAGGGAATGCCGGTCAGATTTCGATGCACGCGCCAAACATGCACAGACGCTCGGACCCGCATGCGAACTTGGATGTCTGATGTCACCGCTGCTAACCGTCCCGCTAGCAGGTGACTTGGCTGCCTGCCTGTCTCACCACCACGCGCCCGTGTAGATCTGCATCTTGCCAGCTCGTGCCTCTAAACAGCCGCATTCATTTAATTGTCCAGACTCCGATCCGATGGGCAGCAGAGCCGCCCGCAGGCCTCACGGCGGCATGCAACCCAAGATCCGAGGCTGATGGCTGCAGTGCTGCAGTGCTGCATCTGCCTGCGTCCTGCACCTCATCGTCAGAGCCAGAGGGCACCAATCCTCTTCCTCAACGACGCTCTCTACAGGCCTCCAACGTTTGGGTTACCTCGGATGGAGACCGACGACATGATAAGCTGACCTCTGTCACATAATATATCATATTGACAAAAGGGGAATCTTTGTGGACATTCTCTCAAGTAACATGCGGTGCGCTAATATCCAGTGTATCAATCCAACTCCCAAAGACCGGCGGTGCTACCAGGCCTCTCAAATCAAATGCAAGAAACGCCGAGCCTTCTCCGCTTGGTGTCCTTCATGTTTTATATGCGTGTATGTGTACAGGTGCCGCAGGCTCTTCTGCCTATTGTGCGGCCCGCCTCGCGTTTTCGCGTCCGATTTTCTTGAAGAAGGAATGGCTCTCCTGCTTCCCCTTGCCCTTCTTCAGAGCCTGGTTCACCTTCTTGTTGCGCTCAATGTAGGCCATGTCTTGCCCACCGCTGAGCTCACCCAGGGTGCCGGCCGTGCGACGTGTTCCCTTCTTCTTCCCCTTTTTGCCCTTGTGGAAGAGATCATCGTCAATCTCGTCATCCTCGGCCGTTTCGTTGTCGACGAGCACCGTCTGTAAAAGTTCCCGGCGCTCCGCTGGCGTGCTGAACGCAAGGTCTGGCGTGTTCTCCATGTTGGCCAGCTGCGTAATGACCTTGAAGGCGTATCCTTGGTCGACGAGGAAGGCCTGGCGCTTGGACGAAAAGTACACCTCTTGCGTGTCCTTGGAGACAAGAGAGTAGAAAAAGGCATTGAAACCTTCGTCGTTCCTCCTCTTTGCCCTCAGAATGCGTCCCAGTCGTTGCGCTTCTTGACGGCGCGAACCGTAATGCGAAGAAATTTGAATGAGGCACGTGGCTTCCGGTAGATCAAGCGACGTGTCACCGATCTTGGACAGGAACAAGGTGTTCAGCTCCGGGTTCTTCTGGAAGTTGTCCAACACCTTGAGGCGTTCGGCCTGGGGCGTGCCCCCGTAGATGAACGCCCGGCCCAGCTTGAAGGCGTACTTCTTCAGAGCATACACATTGTCGGCAAAGACAATGATCTTGTCGCCGCGAGCCTCGTGGTAGTTGATGAGGTACTGGCACGCCTGGAATTTGCGCGGGTTCATAATGTACAGCAGCTGCTTCTTACGCGCGGGCGCCTTGAGGTATTCGTCGTAGAATTCTGTCGGCATGGGGCACCAGACTTCGGCGCACTGAACCCTGGCAATGTGGCCTTGCTTAGAGAGCTCCATCCAGTTCGCCTCAAACAGCTTGGGTCCGATGAGGAAGTTCAGGTCCGAAATCTTGTCGTCTTCACGCAGCAACGTGGCCGTCAGTCCCAGCTTTGAGTGGGACTTGATCGAAGACGTGACTCTTCGGAAAATGTTGGCCGGCACGACGTGCACCTCGTCGAGCAGCATCAGACCCCATTCGCGGTTCGTCAAGAACTTCATCATCTTGTCGGCGTCATACGAGCGCTGGCCAGCCTGGGTCAACATGGAGTATGTGGTGACGACAATGCCCGTGCTACCCGTGAACATGCTGCCCTTGTTGTCCGAAGTGAAGGCAACAATGTCTTCTGGGTTGATGTTGGACCACTTCAGGAACTCGAGTCGCCACTGCACCACGGACATGGAACTTGTGCAGAGCACAATGACGCCCTTCTTGATGGTACAGGCCGCCGTGATGCCGACCAGAGTCTTTCCTGCGCCGCAGGGCAAGACGATGAGTCCGCTCTTCGCGCGGCCGTTGCCAAACATTTTGCTCAAACTCTTCTCCTGATACGGACGGATTTGGGTTCCGGGCCGAAGGTCGATTTCCAGATTGGCATTGACCTCGTCCCGACGGAAATCGTACTCCTCGAGGACGGGATAGTTGAGGAGCAGACACTGCTTCTGCACAGTCTCGACGTCCTTGTCGGCAATCTCAAAAGCGTGCGTAACGTCTTGCTCGTCGTCATCATCCTCGTTGAGTGTCGCGAACACATCCTTCTCCTTGGGAGCCTCGCCGTGGTCGCCAAGCTGCTGCTCGCTGGTCTGCGTCACGCCCTTTGCCGCACCTGTGCCCGGGATGACCAACGCTCCAAGCTTGGGGGCTGCTTCTGTGGTGAGCTCCTGGTCTCCGTGCTGGACACGAAGCGGCCCGATGATCGGGTCCTTGAGGAGGAGTTGCAGCACGTCTGGATCGGGACTCTCCACAAAGTACTTTGTGTTCTTGAGCACGAGCTTCACCTTGCCGTAACTCTGCGTGCAGTTCGTGATGAAGTTTCGAATCTCCTCGGGCAGCGGGGTCTTGAGGAATCGATCGAGGGTGCTGATGATATCGGACGGGGACAAGCCCACCGACACGGCGGCGTAGAGGCTGTGCGTGGTCAAGGCATATTCGTGCATAAACGTCGGTCGAGACAGAGGTTCCGCGATCGTGACCAGGAAGTCTTGCGCTTGCTCGGCGAGTGGGTTGAAGCTCTCGAGAATGATCCTCCCTTTCTGGGGATCGATCCAGAGGGGGCGGTTCTGGTGGTCCTTTTTGAGGTCGAGGTACGAATAATCATTATTACCAAATATGTGCGGCAGCGGCTCGCGGACCGTGTGTTTCTTCTTGTATTTGTCCACCGAGAAGATATCTATGTTTTTATCCAGCTCACGCTGCAGCTCCTCATCGCCTACGACGGGCTCGTCCTCAGCATCGTCGCCCGTGTCGTCGAGGCTACGAGGTGTCGCGGCGCCGGGCGTCGACATGCGTGACGTTCTACCAGCTTTCGCCTCGCCCTTGGCGGCGCTGGGCGCAGCCTTTCTTTTCGGAGGCATCTCGATAGAGGACCGTGACGATGCGCGGTTCTCGATGGTGAGGTGCCGGCGAGGAAGGTTGAACAAGAGTTGGATGACCGTGCACGGAATAAAGATGACGATGGCAAATAGGCGGCTGACTAATGTGGGTCTTGAGATACGTACGTACACCGCCGCTGCAGTACCACCAGCTCGTGCGGCCAGTGCCTTGGGTGCTTACAAAAAGGAATGCGTAACAGCCTCAAATCGAGGGCTTGATTACGTTTATAACTGCTATTATTTCACAAAAGACACCTTTATTAATAGACTACTTTGCATGCAATACATGGTGGATTACGGATAGTACAAGTACATACACCCATCGGCTTAATAAATCACCCACCCCACCTGCAAGCGCGCCACCCCGCCAAAAGTTCAGGGACATTTATATTAGGCGGACTACGTATCTTCTGGTGAAAGTCAATAGAAGAGTGTACTGACTCTACGCGGACAAAGCTTGTCGACGAATTTACACATCGCAACCGATAGCCCTTCGCCATGTGGCAAGTCCCCTATTCCCAGGCATCGCAACGGACCGAGGATCTAACATCACTCAGCAAACACATTCTCAACGCCCAGGTCGCGATCCGCTCGCCATGCTGTACGTCGTCCTCCTCCAGCCGCCAAAGCCCCTGATCCCGACCGACCGACTGCGAGTCCGCTCAGCCAAGCTCACAAGATCAAACAGGCAAGAAATGGTTCGACTGTGCCGACTGCCACCACGAGCAGGAGTCGCATCCGCTCCAGCAGACGCTCGAGATGGTGTTTGCGTGCAAAAAGTGCCGAAAGTGCTTCCGCAAGGACGCACAAGAGTTTGAGGAGAGCGACGAGTACTGCCCGCACTGCGACAACCACTTTGTCATCGACGCCAAGACCCCAAAAGCGGCCTTGTCGGTAGAAAGCGAGGATACGCGCATGGACAACAGAATGCTCAAGGACGAGCGTGTCAAGGACGACAAGCAGAGGACGATATTCGATCCCTCTGAGGAAGCAGACAGGCTTGGTTGAGCTGGTTTATATACGGGGTGGCGAGAGCGTATGAAATGCAGCTTGTGGCGTTTGGGAATCTTGAGCAAGGGGACAATGGCATGGTCATGAACGTCTTGATACATTGGCATAGCGCATAGCGCGTGAGGGATAGAGCACTTTGTCTATCATGACTTTTCGTCTATTGCCCTATTACGCGGCCGCGTCGTCCTGCCCGCGCGTGGGCAGCGCTGCGCTGCCAGCTCCCGCCCGGCCGGTCTTCTTCTTGGCAGCCTCTTCCTGCTTCTCTTGCTCAATCTCCTTGACGTACTCCTCGATTTCGTCCGTTGGCAACATTTCAATCTCCTCTCCGGGTAGCATGAGCGCAATCTCAATGTTCTTGGCGCCCGTCTGGACCACCTCTAGTAGCGACTTGATGGCGAGGCGGATCGTAGCCTCGGTCTCCATGTCGTCCTTGTAGTTGCGCTCCAGGAACTCGCGGACAGTCTTGCTGGAACGGCCGATAGCGTTGGCTTTCCTACACATGGTCAGATATCATCGTCCCCAAGACCTGGGGTCCTCAACTCACCATGCCGAGTAGATGCCCGACGGCTCCGTCTGGTACAGTCTGGGGATTTTGCTGTTCTTGTCGAAGCCAACAACTAGTGTGCTGATGCCGAAGGGCCGGACACCGCCAGCCTGCGTATATCGTTGCTGCACTCCAGCAACGTACTTTGTGATGTAATCGATCGTAACGGGGTCTTCCACCGAGAGACGGTGTGACTGGGCCTCTAAGCGGGCCTTGTCGACGAGGATTCGGGCATCAGCGTTCAGGCCCGCAAAGGCGAGCGCGACGTGGTTGTCGAGAAGTTGGATCTTGGAAGGTGTGATGCGGGTGTCTTGGAGCTTCATGGCCGAGCGCTTCTCGCAGCCGAGGACGACGGCATCCTTTCCCTTGACGCCGACGGCGCACGTTCCTGGGCATCCAGTTAGTTGGCGATCCCGCATGTACAGCACATGCCAAACGTACCCCTCTTCACGGCTTCGCCAGCATACTCGACTTGAAAGACGTGACCGTCGGGACTGCAAACTGTTAGAGACCCTCTCGGAGCGCGGCTAAACGTCGACAAACCTGAAGACTGTCCAATGTTAGCAAAAGCTGTCTAGAGCAACCGTGATGAAGCAACTCACCCGACAGAGCTCTGTCGTATCCGGAGGCCATGATGGGCGATTCTAGTGGTCGTTTCGTTGATTTCGACCGGTGATGTCAAGTTCTGCTTGTGTCACGCTGATATCGTGGTGCAGTATTGACGATGAATGTAGGAAGTTGAATGTCGGGAGGTCGATTGCTGCGAGGACGAGCTGAGGCAGTGGAGCTTCGTCAGAACGCCTGCCTACGATGATGCGGGCGGGAGCTCGAATTGTGGCGCTAAGATGTGTGGCGTATGTTTGCTGGCGGGCTGTGGCTGGGTGGACATCCTTAACTTCAGGTTCAGAGTTCAATTGTTGGCAATTCTCAAATATTACATCGCGACCTTAATACACAGCAATAGGAATGCCTTCATTGGAGATACCAGCTCCTCTAATTGCTCGCCTCGTTTCAGCTGGCCTGCAGCGCACCGCGACGACTTTGCCCTCAAAACCTGGCTAGTTCTACCCAACTGCTTCTTTCCAACATGGAAGCCAGATACTGCCCTTTATCCGCCAAGCGAGACTTGAAAGCCTCCAACCAGAAGATCTCAAGGATGCCGTCATGCGCATTAGTATTGTCGTCTCTGAACAGATTCAGCGCAGTTGTCATTGGGGCTAGGAGTAGCTCGGGCTGCGCAGCGTATCCGAGAGCTGAGTCGAGCCCGCGACAAATGCTCGTTGCGAGTTCGTGGGTCTGTTGATAGCGACCAAGGTCATCCAGCTCAAGATTGGGGAGCAGTTCTGGCCACGCGGGCGGGAACATGTCGATGACTGGTTCGAAAATGATTGTGTACAGACGTTCGATGCATCGATGGAAAGAGATCTGCGACATCCAGAAATACAGAAACATGAGGGCGGTAGAACCGTCTCTGAACATGAGTAGACCGGCGAAAGGGGCTGCCTCCAGCGCGCTAGCCGTCTCTTCTACCCAGTAGCACTGCTGCTGCTGCTCGGCTGTCTCCTCATGGGCCGATGTCAGCCACTGGTCGAAACGACTTTCCAAAGCTTTGCAATTCCCGAGCAGCGTCTGGGCTTGTTGACGGCGAGGAGTCGTAGCCGCTGCTGCCGATATGGCGTCGAGCTGCTGCAAAAGAGGAGGAACAAAAGATATGAGATCAAGTAACTGATCCAAGAGCGTTTTCGGATGGTTGGCCCAAGGCACCGTGAGCCAATCTGTGTCTTTCAAAAACGTCTCTATCCGACTGAGCAGCGAGGAACCAAGCTGATTGCTATAAGTATTGGCTCGATACCCGTGAGAATACATGGTCAACCTACAATCAAAGGCCGAAAGACTCGGGCGAAGAAGTGGTGGTTCGGGAACGATACGAAATTATGCGGACCCAGCTGCTGGACAGGGCTTTCCATCGTCGTCTTCTGGGATTCGGTATCTATTGGTGTCGCTCGTGTGCTCTGCACATCCTATCTCAGCATTGCAATTGGCGATATCCCACCTGGACGCTTACCTCTAGCAAGAAGGCTATCGAAGCCGGGGCTTTCTCTTTGTCACTGGTGAGGTCGGACAAGTGGGCCATACACCTTCCTTTCAGCCGGAGCGTGCCATCAATCGACATGGACAACACGTCTGGGAGGATGTATGGCGCTGAAGCGATCTTCCAGCTCTGCAGCTCGGCTTGGTTCTGCCTCGCCTGACAAACGATGCTCTGCGGCGGTATATGCAGAGACGTGAGGAAGGCATAATCCAGCGCACCTTGAACATCGAGTGCGATATGGTCCTCCCACGCTGGTGCGAATGGGGCAGCTGCCGTCACGGGCGGACGCCTATCGACGTAGCGCAGCTCGGCGGAAACCTGGCGCCCGCGACCTGTGTCTCGCTCAGGGGTGATCTCTGGCGTTGACCTGGCTTCGGAATCCAGATGTCTCCGCCTCGAAGACGATGCCGATGATGTAGGTTGCCTGGGATGCGATGCGACTCGTCCGCGGTGCTCCGGCGTTCCGGTGATGAAGACTCGCTCGCGCTCGTAGCCTTCGCATTGCCTTCCGCTGTTGGCACACTTCTGGCAAAACGGTCGCTCGTTGCTACACTGGAGAGAGATTGTTAGCCTGTGCACTTGAGGTTACCATGGCCGACAAGGTTTCGCAAACACACCTTCACCCGCCGTCTACGGCACGTTTCACAGCCCTGATACTTCCCAGGAACACCGACCATGATACAGACAAGAAGAGTAACCTGCTCTGATCTCACTCGTTACAAGCAGCGCGAACGTGTGGTTATTTATGATGAAAGGTCGACAAGGCTTTATAATCAAGTCGGATGGGAGTATGCGAATAAGCAACGCAGAATCTCCCAGAACACAGGTCCATGACGAATCACAGTATACAGCACTCGAAACTTTCAAGATAGTCAACATCCAGTACGTCTAGTTCGATGGACATACTGTACTCCCTACCTCGGATCCATGGCGCGCCGGCTGGGTGGTAGGCGATACGGGGCAAGGCTCCGTCATGAGTGAGATGCGCTCGTCCAATGTGCGCTCGATGGTTGGTTTCTCGGGATTGTTCCGTCAGCACTCATCTCCATGTCCAGACTACTACGCCGGAGAGAATCATGTCCCTGGGTCGTTGGGCTTGGCATGTGGTGACCATTGGGCGAATAGGATACTTCAGAGAGGTCCCCGGAGCAAGTGTCATGTTCAGCCCTGCGGAGCCAGGAACGCCATGCGACGGCACGACGCTGACACTTGCAGAAGAATGATTCACCTGGTGAGGGACGGGACTGTAATGCTCGTAAGGGGGTCTGCCGCCGATGGACGCACCTCTCGCGGCAGCCTCATGAACGATGCAGGAAGGCTTATCCTGTACTTTGAGCAGCATGGCTCATGCTGTCTCAGTCTACGGTAGCACAACGAATAGGCGTTCATGACAGGCTACGGCAAGAGTAGAGTTCGATTTCCTGCCATCGCTGAAGATGAATGGGGATTTCGTCCGTCTTCGCGATCGCCGCGAGTGGCCTGCCACAGCTCTCCCGATTCCGTGGCCGATCTGTTTCGAGGACAAGGTTATTTTAGGGCAGATATCCTTGTCGCTATGATTCCATGACAGAATTTAGGTGGTCTGACAAGACTGGCGAGGCATTCATTACGTGTGTAGGGCCATCTAGGGCTGACCAGAGAGATATCTTTGCGAGGACTAGCTGCGATTGGCTGCGTCGAGACCAGGTCGTCGTCGTCTTGCATTTGGATGCTGGAACCCGCTCGTTTGGGTCGAACCTAGCCTCAGTACGATTGCGCATTGGGAGTACGGGAAATTGACCTGAGAAACTAATGGCGCGCCTCGCCAGCATCACGGCGTGCGAGTGGCCGGGTCTCATGGTGATGCCGTCTTCCTTCGTCCGTCTTGCTCACCGTCACGGCGTGCCCGAGCTCGGCATGCATAATCATGCGCAAGCTTACCCATTGGGGATCTCGCGACTCCTACTGGATGCGCCACAATGACATGCATCCGCTCCCGCCGATGCTTATGAAGTCTCCTCGGCAGATAGATTTGTTAGTCAGTGTCTGGCTTGCTCGTGAGTGTGGACTGTGATCCTGGTGTTGCTTTACCACAGCCCAATGTCGCGGAGATAAGAAGAATATATCGGACATCAGGAGCTGCGCACTGACTCCCTCTTGACTAGCCCAGCTGCCACCTAACTATGTGTGTCAGAGCGGTAGCTGATCCTTGCCACCGGACTTTGCCCTCGCCAATGGTACTATTTTCAAGGGGCACAAGCAGAAGATCATCATCATCAGCTTAGATCAGAGCTGCTCTATGGCACAAAAGATCGTAATCACCCATCGACTTGGTGAGGACAACACAAATCCCAGGGAGTGAAGACATGACATAGATGTAATGCATGGCAAATTCTTTCAAATCGACGTCGCTGCATGCGCGACTGGTATTTCGGGTATATACACTGATCAAACATATTTATAAGGGTTCATGATGCCGTTCTGTGAATTTTGTTAGCGGAATCGATGATGGACATGGGTTGCACCCAGCACTACGACAGAAAGGGGAAAATGGCAATATCGAAAGTGGAAAAAGGCCAGTGGGTAGCGAGGTGCTCACGTACCGGATCATAGAGGTTCTTAATCTGCTTCATCAAGCCAATCGTCGTCTCGTCTCGGCTGTACCCGATATAGTTCTTCTTGGCAATGCCCAGCCCATGCTCGGCGCTGATGCTGCCCTTCTTGTCCGCGATCCACTCGTAGACGTAGGGCTCGAGAATCTTCTCGACCGCCGTGTCGTAGCGGCGCACCGCAACATTAAGGTGCAGGTTGGAGTCGCCCATGTGGCCATACCCCACGACGCCCACGACGGGGTACTCGTCCGTCTCGCCGATGAGACCGGCCTCCTCCATCTTGGCCGAGATGTCGTCCACAATGGCGTACATGTCCTTGATGGGGATCGACACGTCGTACTTGTAGGTACCGCCCCAGTGGCCGAGACACTCTGGTATCCCCTCGCGCCAGCTCCAGAGCGACTTGAGCTGCGTCGCATCCTGCGCGACAACACCGTCCGTGATGATCTCCTTGGTCATCACGTCCTCGAGGAAAGACTCGAGCTTGGCGTAGTCGTGCTCGCCGTTGGAACCGCTCGTCTCGATGAGACAATAGAAGGGATGCTCGTCCTCGAGGGGCTTCTTGCTGTCCGGGCGCACCTTGTGCACCATGCTCTGGCTCTTGCCATCCATCAGCTCGAAAGCCGACAGGATCTCGGAGAGCTGGCCCTTGGCCTCACGGAACGCTTGCTGCACTTTTTCAAACGACTCGAGTCCGAAAAAGGCAACATTGATCGCCGATGACCGCTGGGGACACTGAATTGACACCTTGGTGATGATGCCAATGGTACCCTCCGCGCCAATGTGCAGCTGCTTCAGGTCGTAGCCCGTGTTGTTCTTCCTCAGCGTGCAGAGGTCGTTCATGATCGTGCCGTCGGGCAGCACGACCTCCAGTCCGAGTACACTTCCGTGGAGACTGCCGTAGCGCAGAAGCCTCAGCCCGCCAGCATTCGTAGCCACGTTGCCACCAATATGGCACGAGCCCTTGGCGCCCAGGTCGAGCGGGAAGATGGCGCCCCTTTCCGCGAGGTACTGGTCCGTCGTCTCGAGGATGCAGCCCGCGTCCGCGACAAGAGAGCCGCTGACCTCGTCGAAAGAGTGGATCTTGTTCATGCGCGCCATGTTGATGACAATCTCGTCAAACACGGGCACGGATCCGCCGACCAACCCAGTATTTCCGCCCTGAGGCACCACAGCCAGCTTCTGCTCGTTGCAATACTTCAGAATTGCACTGACATCCTCTGTTGAGCCAGGCTTCAGTACAAGACGGCACTGTCCTTTGTACTTGTGCAGCCAGTCCTCGTTGAAGGGTTCAATGTCCGCAGCGGCATCCTGGTGCAGTCCGTCAATGATCGCCGAGTCCGAGCCAAGTAATTCTTTAAAGTAGGCCACGTCGTCGCTGCTCATTTGCTTGAACCGCTCGTCGCGCTTGATGCCGGGATACATCTCCGTGGTGAGCTTCGTGGCCCGTCGTGGCGAAGAGGCGCTCAGCAGTCTTGGTGCCGACGTCGCAATGCATCGCATCGCCACACGCGACGACGCAGCTGTTGGCGCGGAGGCCGTGGCTCGCGCCAACGGTCGAAGAACCTGGGCGACGCGAGTCCGTGGTGCCATGACGAATGTGGTGGTGCGAGTTCATCAAAGATGGAAAGGAACTATGTCGCAACGAGGCGACCAAGTGCAACAAATAATTGAATCGGAGCCGGTTTTCGGAGACCCTGGTCCGAGTCCGGCTGTCAGAAGTGTCTGTGGCTACCCTATACCAGCTCGCCTAGCTTTCATGAAAACCACTGGGTCCTGGTGTTCGCAATAATCAGGCTATGCTCTTATTGAGTGAGAGTAATTGCTTATGGCTCCTGAGCTACTGAATTGTTAAGATCAGTCGTTTATTATAAAGCCGCTAACACCTTTTGCTGCAATGATGTTTTCTTCATGGACGTGTGTACCTACTCGGTCAACAAAAAGGCAGAAATGATTATGTCTTTTGAAAGGATATACTTGCTCGCACTGGTATATAAGCTTGTGATATCCGGCTCTCCCAACCCGTGTAACCCGAACACCGCAATGATGCAATTACAAAATACCAGGAATAAGGACTGTACGAAGGCTATAGAACCGCTCTACCACGCCAGCAATGACAGAAACAAAAACAGACAGTGAGGAGACAGGTACCATGTCTGCTCTCCATATATTTAAATACCATTAAGGGCTCCTCCCTTTCGCGGACTGAGGCTGCGGTCCGTCCTGTCCTGCAGGCCCTTCGAGGCAGCGCCATCATGCCCTCGCTCCTCGTCAATCATCTTCTCCATGAATGATATGTAATCGTACTGTGGGAGCCCACGATCCTCTGCTGTGTTAGGACCCTTGTGTTCAGGCATGATCCCCACCAAGTGGTCAATGACCTCGTCAGGCACAAGACTGTGTCGCAGGTCCATCTCGGTGACATATGGCTTGCCGTCGGCGACCTCGCGGAAGGACTGGAAGACCTGCTCCGCCGTGTTCTGATCCTCCGTCACGTTCACCATGAACCGGATGAACTGCTCAAACGTGACGTAGTCGCGACCTGCTGACGTTTCGATGAAATAATCGTGCATCTCTTCCTCTGAGAAGACAAGTCCCAGGGACGCCAAGGCCGCTCCGAACTCGAGCTCCTGCAACGAGTTGCTCTCGTCCCTGTCAAAGTGGCGAAAGACGCTCTCGAATTCCTCAAGTTGGATAGGCGTGAGGTTTGTCATGCTCCTGGCCACCATTTGATTCTCCAGGAAAGCAAGCTTCTTCTGGACAGAGGATTTGACCAGCCCGAGCTCGTAGGAAAGCTCGTCGTAAGTGTATGTGGTGAAGTCGTTTTCTTCAATGTTGGCCTCTTCGCATTTCTCGTCCACGGCTGCAATGGTCTCCAGGTACCGGTCCATGGGTGCTAGATTGTCGCTAAGCTTTCGCACGTGGTGCAATTGGTCCTCGACATCACCATCGAGTCCCGATATCGCCAGCTGCATGGTGTTGAGGGCCATGGCGAAATCGTTGGCCTTGTCAGCGAAAGATTTGCGCAGGGCATTTTTGATGCTACAGCGGTCAGTATCAAGGAGCTGGAACATGACCGTGCGAATTTTGGACTCACTCTCGGATGGTCTCGTTGATGAGCTGCGCCCGGTTCATCTCAGTTTGCGACAAACTGCTCCATACTTGCTCAGATGTCTCCAGTGTGAGATCGGCTGGCGGCTCCCAAGGTCGGAGACGATAGGTGCCCAATTTGGTCTTGATATTTCCCAGCAATGTCGCCAGGTCACTTTTCTCGGCCACCCACTTACGCTTCTGGCCCCTTTTGTATGTGTTGAACTCGCTCGCTTGCCGCTTCGCGTCGGCGTAGGTCCCCTCAAACTCCGCGTTCTGCCACGAATCGACCTGCTCCTGGATTGCTTTGAGAAGCGCTCTCATTCGCTTCTCGTAGGCGCTCTGCATTTCCCAGGCACCTTGCATGTTGTTCACAAACTTCTCGACGCGACGCCCGGCGTTTTCGACCTTTTCCATCTGCGAGAATGCATGGAACCAGTAGGCGATGTATGTCATCAAACTGCGCTCGTCTGGTTTGGGCACATCGCAAACGTCCTCCACATCGAGCAGCTTGGGGATGCCAATCTCCTCGTGGGCAATGTCGAACGCACGCTGCATGTTGCCTCGATGGTCGGACTTATCCAGGGTGTCAAAGTCGATGAGGTCGGGACGGTGAATATCGAGCAGAGCGCAAAATGCCAGACCGTCGTTCCAGCTGGCACTAAAGTCCCGTACCTCCACATCATCGTAGCAGGCTGTTTTGCGCTGACACCAAAGTAGAAGACCCTCTTTGGCTGACATGCCCTCTTCATTGATATCGCTGATGGTGAAGCGCAGAATCAAGGTCCATATCAAGCCAAGGACAATCTTCTGGTTTCCATTGACAACATCCTCGGCGCCCACGTTGACCATCTGGATCCCTTTCGATTTGACAAAGTCCAAGGCCGTGTTCGCATTTTCGAATCGTTGAACACGTAGCTTGGGCTTGGACGCATATCGACCGAGGGATTCGTTGGAGAGACATTCGAGAAGATGGATTAACACAACCTGCCAATGTCAGTCTGCCGGCCAGGCACAAACAGCAAATCCACATACACCATCGCTGAGGTCCGCGATCAGGTCCTTGACCACAATGTTGCGCGCCTCAACCTTTGTGTTCAGCCATTTTGTGAATGTCTTTTGCTGGACAGTGATCCACCGCTGCTGCTCCGCATACGCCATTCTCGCGAGACCCTGATCATGCGGCGGCTCGACGGCGACAAGGGCGTCAGCAGTGCTGCTGGCTTGACAGGGGAGAGAGAACCTCTTGGGCGTGACGAGTCGTCCAGGGGCGGCGCTCGAGAAGCGTAGGAAATGCGTCGATAATTACTATTAGAGAGCTGCAAATGCTGCTTGACCGCCGCGTTCGAGCAGTCTGCAGAGCTGCCTGGTTCCGCCTGGAGCGTGGGGCAGGGGAGGGGGACGATGCAGCCGTGATGGATGCGGAGACAACGTTCCAGGGGTCGTGCTCCAGGAGGTCGATGATTTCCTGTGATAGGTGCGACCTTTGGTTTTGTGAATTAGGTTGCCGTCAAAGTCGACAGACGAGTAGAGTGATAGTTGATGGACTGGGACGCTCGATACACTGGATGCTGTGGACGAGGGTGCTGCAGACCGCGTGGGCGACGAGACGCAGCTACATGTATTTGGAGAATGGGCAGGAGAAGGCGCTCCAGTCCAGTCCAGTCCTCGAGGGGCCCGGGGTTCGGCTGGGCCTGATCCCGGTGTAAACAAAATTCCGGAAACTGCCCGGCGGGGTACGTACGAGGACAGGCCCAGTCGTTGCCGGGCTCCGACAGCTATCAGCCTGAGTGCCTATCAGTGGGCATGAACTGCTTGCCAGCGCTGTTAGTGGATGACCTGGCGCTTACTGGTCTAAAGTCAGGGGCTGTGTCTGCTGTAGATACGAATACATCCGTGTCAAATCAAGTTGACAGTTGAGATAACTTGAAGAGTTGCAATAGCTGATTGTATAAGTGATTTGACAATCTTTGGACGCTGGATCGATGTCAGCCTGAGTGACTGCGATTCACTAACCAGCTCCAGCCTGTCTTAGTTGGCTTACAGTACGTGTCCGTATAAATGTTGTCCCCGGCTCTCCAACCATGGTCTGGCCTGTGCTTGATATGATTCGAGTGGTTGCCTCAGTCCATCTATCATATGATCATGTCGTCGACCAGCATGAAAGCCTCGGAAAGAGTATTGTTCTCGCCTTGGGTCAGGAGGCATGATTTGCTCGATCCCAAGGCTCGGAAGTATCTGAAGAAGATCCTTTGAGCAGTCACCTCCGGTCTGACGGCAGTCTGCTCGGGAAAGTATACCATTCTCCGTCGTCGTTGGCCGGCGCGCAACCACAATCCATCCTGCTGAGAGTAGCCATCTCATATAGGCCGATGAGACTTCAACAAGGTGAGACGCCAGAACGCTCAGCGTGGCCCGATCCATTCGCACAAAACAGTACATGCCATTGTACAATTCTAAATATACCACATATCATACAAGCCGACACGGAGCCAGCCAGAGCTCTTTATTTCTTCCCCTGCGGCCCCTTGGGATTCGCCTTTGAGCGCAGCGCATACCTCTCCTTTCTCCACGCGAACACCAGGTTGTCGACGTTGCCCATGTCGTGCTTCGCCTTGCGCAGGTACGTCAATCTGGCCCTCCTGGCCCGCTTGGGCCTACGCCAGATGATGTCAATGGCTGTGGTCGTCGGCGCGTAGATCTTGAACCACATCTCCACGCTGACCTTCATCAGCTGCCCACGCAGCTGGATCGCCGTGTCCACGCCCTGCCGTCGGATCTGCATGAACACGCCCGAGAAGGGCTCGCCTGACTTGGTCGTCACCATGAGCACGTCGCCTGGCTTGGCGCTGTCGAGGTGCTTCTTGGAGAACATGCGTGTCCGGGCGCCGGTCGGGTCGAGCTGGCTGATTTGGTGTTGGTGGATGGCGGGCATCGGGTTCGGGTAGTCATTGCGGATCGTGGGGATCTGTGGCCACACTTTGAAGCGCTTGACCTTTGACAAATCCTGGCCTAGGTGATATTAGCGAGAATTCGTTTTTGATTCGGTGCTGGCAAACGTACGTTGTCTCGCGCTGAAAGCAGTCCGAGTAGGTACCGATGGCGTTGTCCCTGACGTGGTCGATAATGATCGGCGAGCCTCCTTTTGAAACCTCGCTTGACGCAGCGCCGACTTGAGGGCGCCTAGAGGCCGCCCTACGCTCGCGACGTTCATCGTGTGATTGTTGTGTCGTGTCGACTTGACTGTGATGATGGCCCAGTTCTCCTCGTCCGCGAAATTCTTGGGTGTTTGGAGGTTGCAACGGGATCGCGACGTGTGATTGGCCCGGTCCATCTTTTCACCGGGGCTCTCTCTGTGCCAGGCCAGGGTCGCGCATCGCGACCTCTGCGTCTCAACTTTTTTTTGATGCGACGACATTCTCCGTGCACCAAAACCAGAACCAGAGCCAGCATGTACCAAAGAACGGCCAAAGCCGCTCTGCGTGGGCTCAACGGTCCTGTCTCGTCGGTAGGCAACTCGTGCATCAAGCAATTCAGCACAACATCGAGGCAAAGTAAGCTCAGTCCCAGTTGTATCCCACGCACAGCTCTAACATACTCCAGACCTCAGGGCTCTGCCTACACAGACCGAGAACGCCAAGCTCAACGAGATTCTGAATGTCATCCAGGACAAGATTATTCTTCCCGCCTATCTTCCCCAGAAACAGCGACGTATCGTCTTCAACCCGAAGAAAAAGGGGTACCTCTCCCAGAACCCCATCGACATCGAAGTCGAAGGCCATGAGCACCGCTTCCAGACTCTCAACTGCCACAAAGATATACCCGATGCTCGGAAGAAGCTGTATGATGCGATCGACACGATGGAGTCCAAGGAGGACTGGGCCAACGTTGGGACGATTCTGTGGGGATACCGAAAAGCTGGTGTGAGGCTGAACCAGAGGGCATACGACAAAATCATTCGCTTGGCTTGCGATTCTGGCAATGTTGGTATGGTCATTGGGTGCCTCAAACAGGCGCATCTGACGGGCATGTGGATCACCGAGCGCGAGCAAGTCATCCGCATCGTCAACGCCATCAACGCCAGGTGGGACGGGTCGCTGGAGCAGGCCAAGCAGTCCAGCAGCTGGGTCCGCACGCTCGTGGACATTATCCAAAGGCCAGAAAATGCCGAACAAGTCAGCAAGGCCATCGAGAAGCGCCAACTGGCCGATTCAGGGTTGGGCATGAGCCCCCATTTCTCAGTCCTTGGCCGCACCGCCATGCTCCAGACCCGGGCGGTGACGATCCAGGCCAAGACCCAGGCGGAGGAATCCGTGGAAGACGACCTGGTTGCCCTCAAGGACGATCTTGCTACCGTGCAGACGCTTTGGGCACCTCAGTTGAAGGAGGGCAAGGCGCTGGCTGAGAACGCCGAGTTGGCACAGGCGAGGCCTCAGAGACAAGCATCCTTCTCACTGAACGGGTCAGAGTATGTCAAGTCTCTGGCTTGGTCGATAAGGGGCATCCGGACATCTCAACAGGTCGCCGAAGAGGCGGCGGCGCCGTTGCTGCCATTGGTGGACAGCCTGGAGCAATATGCTAGGGAGTTCATCGAGAGCGAGGCGGGCAACGAGGCTCGCGCGGAGCAATGGACAAAGTGCTTTGAGGAGGCGTTGGATCTGAAGTCATCCTCATGATTGGGGGCACCACCGTACAAATAGAACAGCATGGGACGGTATGGGATGTTGTACAATATGTATTCAAGAGCGCGGGGCCCCAGTCTATCTATGGCAGCACAATGTACTTTTCTAGGTGTTTGGGAATCGCACCCAGCAGCTTCTTGTCGGTCAGCCACTTGCGCGAAAAGAGCCTGTCTGCATATCTATACGCGCCATCGCACAGCATGGTGACAACCGTGTGCCCCTTGCCCAGCTTCTCGGCGACCTCCTTGGCGGCCACCACGTTCAACGACGAGCTGGCGCCGAGGTAGAGACCCTCCTCGTCCAGGCAGCGGTACACCATTTCGATGCTCTTCTCGTCTGCGATGTGCAGCGAGTCGTCCACCAGCTCCAGGTCGGGCGCCAGGTTATCAGTGATGCGACCTTGACCAATGCCCTCCGTGATGCTGGAACCTGTACGCTCAACCAGTTTGCCTCCAGACTGTATGTAGGAGTGCAGCACGGAGCCAGGCGGGTCGGCGAGGAACGCCTTCACCTTGCCGCCCGAAATGTCCTTGAGGTACCTCGTGACGCCAGCCAGCGTGCCCGCGGTACCAGTCGCACAGGTAAAGGCGTCAACCTTGCCGTTCGTCTGGGCCCAGATCTCGGGGCCTGTCGTCTCGATATGCGCCCGTCGGTTGGCCGTGTTGTCAAACTGGTTCGTCCAGACTGCATTGTCCAGCCTCTCCGCATGCCTCTTGGCCTGGTGGTTGTAGTTGTCCGGGTTGTCAAAGGCCACCGCCGGCACGGGGTAGACCTCGGCGCCCAGGAGGCGCAGCAGGTCAATCTTGCCCTGGGACTGCGTGTTGGGCATGTAGATGACCAGCTTGTACCCTCGTGACCGACACACGTGCGCGAGACCTATGCCGGTGTTTCCCGCAGTGCCCTCGACGACGGTGCCGCCCGGTCGGAGAAGGCCTTGTTCTTCGGCGTCTTTGACGACGTAGAGAGCTGCGCGGTCCTTGACAGAGCCACCAGGGTTCATGAATTCGGCCTTGCCGAGGACTTCGCAGCCGGTGGCATCGGAAATGTGGTTCAGGCGGATCAAAGGAGTGTTTCCAATCGCTGCGTCCTGTCAGTGCCAGCCAATTCGTAGCGTCTCTGTGTACATACCTCCCGTCAAGCCCTTGGCCACGCCTTGCGCCTTGGAGACGTTCAGGGTGTGGATGGCTGGTTCAGCAGCCACTTTGGCCGTAGCCGCAAGGCGATAGGCGCTGCGACGAAACATGTCGATGACGCTCGAAATATCGAAGCACTTGAAAGAGTGGTGGAGTGTTCAACAAGTGGCACGTTGGAGACGAGATTCACTTCCGACGTCAAGTCGCGATGTGGCGGGTAAGCTTCTACAGTACGCATCAGTGGGGCCGAGCGCCGGAGATCACGTCAATTGTCGACCGGCATTCGGCTGATTCACGACCTCATTCTGGATAATAAAACCAAGCCAATAGGGTTGCTCTTTTTGGTCTGTAGTTTTGACGTCTTCATAGATCATGCTCGCTATATGTGATATATCATGTCTTCATATAATTTCCCAGCCTTCTCCCACTCCTTCAAAGTTCAGGCTGGACATACTTGGCTGGGAACAAGCCTTTGGCACCCATATAAGTCCCATGTGCCCATTCGTGATTCATAAACTCAATCTCCCTGACCTCAGCGCCTCGTGGAAACAGGAGCTCGTCATCGACCTCGGGCCTGGGATACCAAGCCCATTTGGCAGTTCCACGCGGCCCATTGCCTCCATCCGGAGGAAACGCTTGGCTCATGACCACGCCACCGTCTGTAGTGGGCGCGGTGGCCTTGACGTCCTGCGTCACGAGCCTCTCCAGTTTCTGCTCCCCTTCTGCCCATGACCACTTCTGGAGACCCCTGCCCCGATGCTCCTCGCCTTCGTACGGCTCTGCGCGGAGGGCGCGACCTCCCACAATGTCCCTGTCGACGTAACGCCACAGGCCGACGTTTCCCTCTGTGAAGCATATAATGGCCATCCTATGTCCATTGAGGCATCTTCTCCAACCAGAGTGCCCGTTCTCATAGCTGATCTCACCATGCACGACCAGGTTGTTGTAGCAAGAGAAGCAAATGTCGTAATCGCCAGCAATGGCATCGGCAATGAGGTTGCTGATGCAGCTGAAGCAATGATACCTGGGCTGGGTTGGCGATATGGGGTCCTGGCAGACGTCACACCTTGTCGTAAACGTCAAAGGCTTGAAAGGGCCAATGTTCGATGTGGATGGCCCTGTGAGGACAGTTGCGGCGGGAGGCCTGCCCGGGGATCGAGGTGTCGTCGGGCGGTCACCACTCGACCGCGTTGTCTCATGCGTGAGTGGGAGAAGCATGTGCGAGCACGACTTGCCTTGGTTCACACAATTGTTGCAGAACCCCCAGTCACCCTCGTTGCACACATCGCAGCGCCAGTAGCACTGGTTCGTCCATACAAAGCACCTGGCGCAAAATGTACCACTCTCGAGCCGTTTCTTTGGGTCGTCTGTGGTCAATGTCTTCCTGCCCTCCGCCCCGCCAGGAGTAGTGGCTGGCGGAGTGTAACGACTCGCTGTTAGCATATGAGGCATGGGGAGGTCCTCCTTTGTCTGCTTCCTGGCCTTCTCCCACTTTGACCAAGCCCCGTAACCAAAGCCAAACCAGTACAGGCAACCTTGACCGGTGCGGTAGCAGTCGAGGCAGATGTTCCATTGCCCGCCCGAGCAGATGTGACAATTGTAGTGTAACTCGTACTCGATATGTTTTTTGCGACATCTCGAACATGATATAGAAGGCTCTGGATAGAGCTGCGACCGTTTTCTTTGATGCCCCGGAGACTGGCCGTGGTTGCCAAGGGGGTGACTGATGGCCGAGTGCACCACCGCCAGCTCAGCCGGGCGATGTGCGCGGACAGCATCGGCGACAGGAACCTCAGGCGGAGTCGCTGATCGCTGCGAAGGTGATACGTCGCGACTCAGTGCTGGGTTCGCCGCGCGAGCCGCGAAGGACTGCAAGTTATTGGCACCATCGGCCGGCAGCTCTGCAGCGGGCGGCTGTGAAGCGCCCACGTTAGGGGTGCTGACACTGCGGGTATCGCCCAGACCTGGCCGGAGTCCATCTAGCTCTGCTGAAGTATTGCGAAGAGTCAGGTCGGTTTGGGACCTGGCAGCCGGACGGGTATCACCCGAAGGAGGCGTTGCCAGTAATGGTGTCGTAGTGCTTCGACTGCTACTGCCTGTTCTCCTCCTCGGACGCACTGCCTGACCACGGACGTCCAAATTCGCGGAAGATGATTGAGGTGGTCTGCTTCTATCACTGTTGTAACGAGACTCGCTCGCAGACCGACCCTGTCGTTGCTGTCGGCTGCTAGAATGACTGCTAGTAGCGGTAGCGGAAGGCCTTGGATCTCTCTGCTCGCTGGGTCGACGTGAGCCACCTTGCCCATTTGTTCCTCTTCTTCTGGATCGGTCATCTCTGGGCCTCGAGTTCTGTTTCCGCCTGTAAGCCTCCGTGATCCTGCGACTAAGTTCGTCATCTCGCGTGAGGTCAATGTTGTCGAGATCCAGACCGTCAAGAAGACCCTCTTCTTGAATCTGACGCGCAAACTCCTCAATCTCTCTCTCGATATCCCTCTCGCTCATGTCGGCAGAGCTGATGAGTGAGCGCAGAGACGACTGATGTTCGACTTGCCGTTGCCTCGAGCCACTCCGCCTTCCCCGCCGAGTCTCACCTTCCGGAGTCAACTGATCAGCACTTCTCCTCGCGGGTTGATCGTTTCGCGACCTCGACGCTCCATCGGGTGTGCCGTGCGGTCGCCCGCCCGTACGAGCCTCACTGACAGATCTCGACCGGCTTTCTCTCGTTCTTCGCTGTCTTGGCGGCAGAGCGGGAGCGGCCCCCGCATCCCTAAGGCTGATTTGCCTGACTTCCGCTAGGATTCTCTCATCCTCTTCCTGCGCGCGCCTCTCGTCCACCGTCCGTTCTCTGGCATTGATCTTGGGCAGCACCTGTTCGCCGGGCTTGTACTTCTTGCCCATGTCCTCCCTGTCAGCTTCGGAACGGGCCTTCTCCGGGTGCGCTGTGATGATCATGTCCAGCAGTGTGACCACCGTGGCATTGTGCCGCGTGTCGCGCACTGGGTCGCGGCATGATGGGCAGGTGAATAGCACAGTATCGGGCGTTGGGGGGGTCGGCGCGCGTTCGATCTTGGCTGCTTCGAAGGAGAACCATTCTTTGATGCAAGAGCCGCAGAATGTGTGTAGACAGTCGAGTAGTGTCAGCGGCTGGTAGAGGAGTTCAGTGCATATCTGTCGTTTGTGATGTCAGTGCCTGACTCGGATCGTGTATGGTGGGTAGGGAAGGTGAGGGAAGGAAGGTACGCACAGAGCACGTCAGCTCCTTCTCCAGGTCAATACCGCCTTTTGGTGACTCCATTCAAGCCATTACCTGGTGATGTACCTTTGAAACAAGTTTCAGCAGCAAGGAAGGCGATCAAAGCTCAGTAGTGGACATCGTAAAGAGGCGGTTATGCTGAAGGTGCCTGGTCGTATTCGACTTTGGCGGGGCTACGTTCGCCAAGGACGCCATGCAGACAGGCCGAACAGGTTCACAGACGCATGCGCATCTTATTTTAGAAGTTGCATAACCAAAGCATGGCAAACATACAGACAAGCACATTCTATGATGACTACTGTGTCAACGACTTGATTCAGCACCTAGGTGGTTCGTATAACGTTACATACATACGCCCAGCTTCCCGCTGGTAGCACCGAGCCGTTGACATGCGCCTTGTCTCGTCTATGAGTGCGTCCACTCAGCCTTCTTCTTCTCAGCAAAGGCCTTCATCCCAATCTTCTGATCCTGGCTACCGAAGAGGCTGTGGAACACACGGCGCTCAAACTCGACGCCGTCGCGCAGAGGCAGATCCTGGCTCTTGTTGACCACCTCCTTGCAGGCCTGCACCGCAACCTTGGAGTACCCAGCAATGGTCTCGGCCGTTTTGAGCGTCTCCTCCATCAGAGCCTCGTACGTGGGGAACGTCCTTGCCGCGATACCCCACCTCTCCGCCTCTACGCCCGAGAAGGACTTTCCGGTGAGGATGAGCTCCATAGCCTTCGCCTTCCCAATGGCAGCAGTCAAGCGCTGGCTGCCACCAGCTCCGGGAATAGTACCCAGCTTGACCTCCGGCTGGCCAAAGTTGGCGTTCTCAGTGCAGTAGATGAGGTCACACATCATCGCCAACTCGCATCCTCCACCCAAAGCGTGGCCAGACACGGCAGCAATGATTGGCTTCTTCACTTGCGTGGTGAGCGATGACCAGGACTCAATGAAGGACTTTGTGTACGCCTCGGAGAAGGTAAGAGGCGCCATCTCCTTAATGTCGGCTCCGGCGGCGAAAGCCTTCTGCGAGCCAGTGACCACGATCACATGGGCTTCATCGGAGCCATTGAGCTCAGCCAGAGCATCGTTGAGTTCGTTGATGAGAGGTGTGCAAAGCGCATTGAGGGCTTTGGGCCGGTTGAGCGTCACTACGCAGCTGTCAGTGCCGCGACTTGGAGGCATGATGGGGCACTAACCTTGACCAACGCCCGGCTTCGGTGTCGATACCTGGATGTATTCGTAGTTCTTTGAGCTGTATGGGCGCGTAAAGGCAGGCAAGGTTGCCTTTGGGAAAGGCACTGCCTTGACGCGGGATGCCGCAGGGCGCAAGCAGCGAAGAGCATTCATCTTTACTGGTCGTGGGCCGAAGCTTGGAAGCTGGTGAGAAAAGTGATGTCACCAACGTACTGGGTCGTAGCGAGCAGTCGTAGTCAAATTCTTATCCAAGGCTCTCACGATGGATCGATTGGTGAGAGTGCGCGTTAAATGGAAAGAAAATTGGAAAACACAAGTTGATGGTCTGTCTACCTTTTGGTTTATGGCAGCTCGCATTCACGGCGAAGTGGAAAGCGTCGGCTTTGGAGCCGAGGATAAAGGCGTCTAACAGCCGGCCGGCGGGGATGCTTTGTACTGTAGTAGGTCGCTTTATGCACGGGACTTGTGCATGCATGACTCTTGTGCAAATGGACGAGTGCGGATAATCCCCGGGGCTGCAGTTGGCAGGGCAGACACGTTCTCAAGCTCTACGTGGCCCGAGAGCACCGATCCACGTTGGATGGCGGCGACTGCTCGACGACGACCCTGAATTCCTGAACACGGATTGCTCAGCCACCACCCGCTGTTCGCATCCCTATCTTTTCTCCCCACGGTTTTCCGATTCGCTTCGCGTCACTCCCTCAACCTTCTTATCTTCGCGTTTTTGGAGCCGGTCGACACACATTTTCGCCATCATGGATGCCCCCGAGCCTGATCAGACCCCTTTCGCCGCCGTCTCGGCGCAGACGTCGAAGCTGCAGATGGTGCGACTCCTATCACCCCACGATCGCAACGCCGAATGCCTAACTGATGCGTGCCAATAGAGATACCAAGCGCTTCTCGACCAGTCGACACCCTACGTTACCTATCGATGGGTCGGCACAGTCGCTCTCTTCGTCGTCTTTGCCTTGCGCATTTTGCTTGCGCAAGGGTGGTATGTCGGTACGTGCAGCACAGCGAGCCCAGCATATCATTCAGCGCGCTAATTGATCCTACAGTCGCATATGCGCTCGCCATCTACCTTCTCAACCTCTTCCTCGCCTTTCTTACACCCAAGTTCGACCCCTCCAATGAGGCCATGGACAATGAAATGGAGGACGGGTCCGTTGGTGCGCTTCCTACGCGCGCAGACGAGGAGTTCAGGCCCTTCATCCGCCGTCTCCCCGAGTTCAAGTTCTGGTACTGGGCCACCAGGGCCATCACAATTGGCTTCGTGTGCAGTTGGTTCGAGATCTTCAACGTGCCGGTCTTCTGGCCTGTACTGCTGATGTACTGGTTCATGCTGGCTTTCCTCACAAGTGAGTTCTCCGATAGTTCCATGATACCTGATTCTAATCCCAGCAGTGCGCAAGCAAATTCAGCACATGATCAAGTACCGCTACGTTCCCTTCACTTTTGGAAAGAAGAAGTACGCCAAGAACGGGAATTAAGGAGGTGGACGCAACGAATGGCAAACGCGAAAATCGGCCGCGGTGGCGATGTGTACTATGACTTCCTGGGTTTTGGCGTTGCTAGAAGGTCATTAACTCTACATTATCATGCATGTGACGCTAATAAGGGCGTGGAGTTATTCATTGTGTTTTCAGGAATACAGTGGTTGGATGGCCAAACCCAAAATATGACCAGATGAACGTGGCCTTAATTATAGCCACAAGACTCGTGTAAAACAAGTACTTATCTATACGAATTGCCTCAAAATGACAATTAGAGCATGAAAAACACTGGTCTAGTATTACGACGATTTTATTCAATGTGCTGCGCCGCCATAAGATTGTCCGTACAGTCTTTCTGTCGCCTGTGCAAAGCCGGTGGAGACTTGGAGGTGAAGCTCCCGCCAGCCTCAAGCGCGACGAGACCCGACTTTTTCGAACTACCACCACAGCCATTGTTCACCAACCACACCCTGCCCCGAACTGCGCACTCGACACGCAAGACCACCAGCGCCATCAGATCAAAGACCTCCCAAGGCGCTTCATTTATCGGTTCGATTCGCCTCCAGATCACTCAGCTGCCAGCCTCTTGGGCGGCGCCAGCGCGTCCATCATGGCCACCTCGCGCAACGGAGAGCGCGTTGTTCATCAAGAATACATCGCACGCATCAGATACAGCAATGCGCTCCCTCCACCGCCGAATCCGCCCAAGCTGCTCGACATCCCTAACACGGGCCTGTCGAGCGGGCAGTACACCAATCCCAAGTTCGCCTCGCGCTTGGCGAGAGAGCAACCGCTCAACATCGAGGCCGACGCAGAATTGGGCATGCCGCTAGACCTTGTGGGAATGCCGGGTGTTTTTGATGGCGACGAGCGATGTAAGGAACACAATGTTGATACCGATACTATGAACCTCAGCTAACGGAACGAAGCCATTCAAGCACCTGCGCAACAACCAGATGTCCATCCTCACGATCGAGCACTCCTACGGCCCCTTGCTAGCCTTGGGAAACGCAAGGCTGTCGATACTGGTGTTTCCTTCCTTCGCCGCACAGAGTACATCTCCAACCTCGCCACGAGGAAGCCGGAAGCTGGCAAGGGAGCTTTTCTCGGTGCGTCCCAGAAGAAACGCATACAGCGATCACCCGAGGCTGCAGCCGACTCTCCTGTCGCCATCAAGCGAAAGATTGAGCGCAGCTTTGCACTGGCCGACGAAGAGCTCAAGAACCACAAGCGTGTCAAGCACCCTACAAGGAAGCAACTTCAACTGGTAGATGCGACACCTCTCATCCCGGATCTCGATGCATTCCCCGACTCCGGTGCCTTTGTTACGATCAAGTTCGACAGGAACCCTGTCGCTGGTTCTTCAGAATACGACAAGCGTCTTCTCAGCTCCATGTTCCGTCCCATAGACCGATCGCAGGAAGAGGAGGCTGCATTCGATGCCGCCATGGACCTGCACAGGGCCAATCCGGACACGGTCCCAAAGCCACAGAACCTCATGAACTACGATTTCTTCCTACCGCAGAACAAAAATGCTGCAACCAACTTCCGCCGCATGTTCGACCCGACTGACGCGGACCACGAGGACGAGAGCTTATATACCCACCAAGCAGAGTCAGGTCCATGCTTCCAGTTCAATCGTTTGCGTGCATACGAGACCTCTCATGAGACCGAGCTCGAACACTCGGATAAATACTCTGATGAAGTTATCCTCTCTGTTGTGGATGACGAGAGCGGATCCAGGCAAAAGGCCGTGTACTACTATCCCGTGCTGCAGAAATCGACCATCCGCTCGCAGCGTACCAAGAACATTGCCCGCACCATGCTCAACAACGGGGACGAGGACGAGAAGGTTGTGGAGCGCATGGACCTCACGGTGCAGGACCCCAACGAGGACATGCTCACAGCCATGAGGAATTATAGGGAACATCCTTTTGGCTGGGAGGACCCTGACCAGGAAGAGCAGGTGGAGGTGGAGGAAGCACCAATTCAACGACAGGCCAGTGAGGACGTTGATGGCGATGTCGACAGACAGGCTCACGCCTCCGAGTCGCCTAGACGCGAATCGGCACATGATGACGGTTCTGAGGAGGAGTAGCGCCGCCTGCCTGCCGTTGGAAAAATTGCATATTGATCTTTCTACTTGGGCGCTAGAGGCGTCGTTTCGGCGCAAATGAGATGGGCAGTGTATATTTCAAAATCCTTGGGGTTTAGCATGGAAGACAAGATTATGGTATTCCTTCCACTTAAACCAACACAAAAGCGCCTTACGCCGTGCCCACATGCTTCTAACTGTATAATCCAGACAATGCTCAGGCCATTTCCAGCCCTCCTTTACCCTTACCCTGCGCCTGTGGTGGAGGCAATTTCTGCTTCGCACTCGCTGGATCAAAGCCAATAACCTCGCGCTGGTCATCGATCACACGGGCATACCTGCGGGACATTAGCCATCTTCCTCGTGATGGGGACCAAAGAGGGGAACTCACTCTAGAAGAAGCCTGAAGAACCAAGCTTCCATATCCTCCTTTCTGACCACTTTGTTCGCCCAGCTACGACTCTCTTCCGCAATGGTCTGGGCTTGCTTCTTACCAGCCGAGCCTGCAAAGAACCTCACGCTCTCTAGCCAATCGTCCCCCTGCAGGCTCAGAGGGATATAGTGCAACCAAGGCTTCAACCACTCGTTGTGCCACTCTCTAAATAGGGCCATCTTGAATACAAGACTCTTGCTTTGGAGGAAAGCGTAGAACCGCCCCGAGAACGCATTGCCATCCATGTCCAGCAGGTACTTGTACCCCCAAGCAGCGGACAGCTCCTCGTTCACGACCGGATTGAAGAAGTTGATCTCGGACTCACAATCGCCGGGATCACACTGGCCGATGTGTGAGAACCTAACATCAATAAGGGCGCGGTGGTCACCTCTAGGAGACAACTGGACATGCCATTCGGGCGAGGGGTCGGTGCCCTTGTTCACCATGATATGTGCTTCGTCGGGTCCGTTAATCTTCTGGACGAAACGTTGACGGTGTTGATGACGCCAGCCGCCGTTTCGGCTGAAGCCTCCTGTCGTGGAGCCGCGCCAGTACAGCTGGTCCTTCTTGTCCGCCCATGCCATGTCCGTAGCTCCATCGTAAGTGACCTTGCCGTACCAGTACCACGGGGAAGGGTAGATCAAGTCATTGAAGGTGGAGATCTTCGACTGGGAGAAGATAGGAAAGAGATCGTGGACAATGTTGAAGGAGTTGGGAACGTTGAAGAAACCATGCGATGTGCTTAGCGATGGTGAGAGACAGACATCGGTTGACGCTGTAGCGTTGTAGATGAACCCGAGCTCGCTGTAGCCGTATTCACTGCGATGGTCCATCCTCTCGCTCTCTTCGAGCACGCGGGACGGGCTCGTTGGTGGACAGGACATGCGGGCATGGGTCCACGTCGGCTGATGCGCAAAGACATTGAACCTCGTGACTTTGGTCTCGTCAAAGCCCAGACCATCACTCAGCTCTGGTGAAGTCTGACTGAAATCGTTGACCGGAGACTTAATGGCATTCGCCGCTGGGATGTTGACGTCCTTGGCCCTGGCCACGAGACGTGACATGTCGTCGTGGGGAACCACCACTCTTGGCTCGTCGTGAATGTTGAAAGCCAGGTCCATGTCGGGCAGGTACTGCACAAATTTCTCCATCATACCCTTCGTCGCCTCCTGTTGCCACTCTTGCGCGCCTTGAATGTATGTAACCTCATGACCTCGAATCGCCAGGCCCATTAGGAAGTTGTCGGCGCCCAGCGCCTCCTTTGCCCTTTCTCTGATCGTCTTTGGCTGGAGCCCCCAGAACGGCATGATCAGGTTGTACACCGTGTCGAACTCGTCCACCAGTTGTACATTGTTCTCTTTGGCAAACGCGAACCATTTGTCAAAGTGAGGTGGCGGCGGCATGTTGTATCTCCTCCTGTACTCCTTGACGGCCTCGTCCAGCGAGGCGGATTGGCGCTTCCGCATCTCCTCGAATTCGCGCCGCGCATCCTGCGCCAGAACCTGAATTGGATGCGATGAGGTAGACTTGTGTTGCCTGGGTTGATCTGAGCCCACGGCATTGTATGTAGGGGGGTTGACCCATTCCGTCGCTTGGGACTTGGGAGGGTCGCTCGAATGATCGTTCTCGACAGCTATTGGATCCGTTTGGGGTTCTTTTAACGAGCGTCGAATCTGCAAAGTGAAGAACAAAAACAGGACGACGAGCGCCGTTGGGAGGGCAAGTCGCCGTCGCATGATCATTGCTGATTCTGTCGCCCCGGTGGGGGGAGTAGAGTTGGGTTGAACGAGAGAAGAGAAAGTCGCGGCGCGCGGCGCGATTATTTACTCCCAATGCTCCATCGACCATGAACCGTTGTAGACCGCCCAGAACGAGCTACTAATCAAGGTTGCGCAAGTAACAAACCGAAGCTTACCTTAAAATCCCACCTGACTGTACTGGAGTATCTATTTGCTTTTTCCTGAACATTGATTACACATGCAAGCCTTGAATTGAAGAAGCGGTACAGCGACGACTTGATAGTTCAGTGAACATTCAAGGACAAGCACACTTCGCGTACATCACAAGTCATAGCAGTTGGCTTGGACAGCACGTGAGAGCATCTGAGGAGAGTTCATTGCTCATTCGATATACGCGTCCGTCACACTCAAATGCCGTGGTATCATTCGACAGATCAACCGGCCGGTGATCTCCTTCAACGCCAAAGACTGCCCGCTGAAATAACTTTTTGTCATTATTTTTGATCCTTCCCTAACCCAAGCCGTCTAAACAGCGTCTAGTAGAAGAAACCAATAATCTTTCCAGCGACGTGCTTGCGACGGGCCTCCTCGTGGTCCATGATGCCGGCAGAGGTGGTCAGGATAACATAGCCGAACTGACGGGCAGGGAGCAGCTTGACAACCCACTTCTCGAGATCGGCGAGACGGACGTTGTAGCGGGGGGAGATGACACCGGTCTTGTTGAGACGGCCGTTGAGCTGAACGACGATCTTGCCGGAGCGGTGGTCGTCGACCTCCTCGAACTCGCCAATGTAGCCTGGGAGAAAGAAATCAGCATGTTTGTCGCGATGGATTAAACATTAATCGTCATGGGAAAAAAAAATCTCAGAAAAACGTGTAAGTCCTCGCGTATCAATCTATCGGCAGCTTATAGGGGCTGCAACCGTGGTGCGGTATCGACCATAGCCCTAGTTATCATGCCGAAGGGGAAGTGTAGAAAAACAGGAACCCATGACGATGAATGCTTTCGCTCTCAAGAGAGTACGTACCGTGCTTCTGCATGACCTGGAGGAACTTGACAATGACCTTGGAGGAAGGACGGATCAGGACCTGGCGCTTGCCGGCCTTCTCGGCGTTGTTGATGCTGTTGAGGGCATCGTGGAGGACGGAGGTGCGGACCATTTTGGCGGTGGTGTCGTGAGGACGGAGATTCTCAAATCGAGGTGGTGGAAATGAGGTATCTGCCAGCGGGAAACAATGTTAGCCTCCTCACGGCTTTTGAGCAAGGAAGAGTGCCCTCGGCGAAATCAGTCGAGGAGGGTTCTGCCGCTCAATGCTGAAGGGGAGAAGCGTATCTCGAGACATGAGCCGTCGTCGATGTCGATCGAGGAATCGAAGCTTTTCGTTCATGTTTCGGTCGAACTCGGGCGATGCTCGAGATTGCTCTCCCCAGCCACGATCAAAGGCATCATCCTCTCTACAGACGTATTGCGCCGTCAGCTACTAGTTTGTTCACATACCTCGTTGTTGATCCGGGTCGGAAGCGTGGGTGGGGAGGGAGAAAAGTCGTGATAATTGTATGCAAGTCGAGATGGTAGAGCGAGTCGCCAGGCACTGCGATTGGAATTGTGGGTCTGCAAAAACTCAGTGTGCCCTTGTGGCTCGTGCGCGAAAAAAATTGCCCTAATGTGGGGGGTTGCGCGCGCACTTTTGGCGGGCACCGCATGCACGCACCTTGTACGGGCCTGGCAAGGTTTGGCGACCCGACCCTGACGTTTAACTTCCCAAAGCGAATCACACCTACTCTCCTTTCCCCCTTCCCAACCAAACATTTCTCCAACTTGAGCTTCGAGGACGTTCACATATTCACAATGGTACGTTCGACCACTCTCCGAGCCTCCATTGGTAGTCGCATGCGCGATCAGCAGGTCCCCAAGACCGACGGCTCGAGGTGACGATTGCGAATGCCAAACCTGGCTCGATGATGTACCCCCACTTCGAAAGCATCAGCATCACTAACAATCGCAGTCGGACGTAGAAGACAACAACCAGCCCGAGGTCTCCGAGGAGGTCGAGGTTTCCGGCGATGCCCCCAAGGGTCAGATGTCCGTTCTCGACGCTCTCAAGGGTGTCCTGAAGCTCGCTCTCATCCACGATGGTCTTGCCCGTGGTCTGCGTGAGGCTTCCAAGGCCCTCGACCGTCGCGAGGCGCACATGTGCGTTCTCAACGAGAACTGCGAGGAGGAGGCCTACAAGAAGCTTGTCACTGCCCTCTGCCAGGAGCACAAGATCCCCTTGATCAAGGTGCCTGATGGCAAGCAGCTCGGCGAGTGGGCCGGTCTCTGTATGTTTTCCCAGCCCGGCACCATCCATGGAAACGATCATAAACTAACAAGGAATAGGCGTTCTTGACCGTGAGGGCAACGCCCGCAAGGTTGTCAACTGCTCTTGCGTCGTCGTTAAGGACTGGGGCGAGGAGTCGCAGGAGCGCTCTGTCCTCCTCAACTACTTCCAGACCGAGCAGTAAACTCCCTTGTTCCTCCGGGGTCGGCGTTACAAATGGGATGGATCACAAAATAGAGGCGGGAGTTTTGGTTTACATAATGAACCAAGGCATGCATCTCTTCATGCTGCTACGCCCTTTTGGCCGTCGTGGCCCCTGTCCAAAATTCACATGCGGACGGGAATGGAAAGAAAAAAAAACTTCTCAAAATTGCTTCGTGCCATGCATATGTCTACTTGCGCCCTTCCACCTGAATTATCGTCAGCGAGGGACTGATCAGCTACACCGCGCAACCTTACCATGATGATGTGATATCCGAACTCAGTTTTGACCTCTGCGATCTTGGGGCTGCTGGTCGAACTGGGTTCGAGGGCGAATGCGACCTCCTCAAACTTGGGATCGAGATCGCCCTTGGCTTTCCATCCCAAGGAACCGCCTTTATCATTGTCAAATATGTTCTTCGTGCACACAAAGGTTGACTCACCAGCCCTGGCCTTGTCCTCAGAGTAATTGCGAGCAACCTCGTCGAACTTTACTCCATCGTTGATCTTGCCCAGTGCTTCTTCCTTCTTTGCGTGCTTTTCACACTATCACATACTAGTGAGATCGGGTATCATTTTGATTCGGGAGCGATGGCTCTTACCAAAATGTGGCGAACGTTAATGAGCTGCGCTCCAGCCTTTGCCTTGCCGCCTTCAGCTTTGTCGCCTGAGCCCTTCGAACCCTTGTTGTTCTTTCCCATGATGAACTCGCGCGCCTGAATTAGACGAGACTATTATTTGTACGCAATTGGCCGGCAGAAGTGCGAGAGGTTGGATTGTCAGGAACCTTCAGTCTCGTGGTTGTTGGAGGGGCTTGCAAGGGCTGGACAGCTGTCCAGACTAAATCAAATAGTCACTGATCATGGTAACATCTGCAGTGTCTCCACAAAGCATTTTGTCTACCAGGTCGATCACCTTGTATTGTCATGGCAGTTTCACTTGTTTTCATCAATCTCGAAGCCGCCCATGATGGGCTGTATGCCTGATTATTAACTGACTGCATCAAGGTTACGGTGTGTCAAGTTCTTTTCATCAACGACAAGAGCATACTAAGGTGAGGATTTCTAATTCCTGCAAACAGAGGTCCTTCTTTGACAAGAACATGATTCAGACCTTCTCTTCATCTCCCACAAGTCTGGGTTCTAGGCTGCTCAACAAGTGCTAGTCATCGAGCTGAGAAGGTCGAGGTATACACATGAGATTAGCAACGTCGACTTGTCCCTCGCAGCGCTTGAGTGTGAGCTCCAAGCAATAAATCTCTTCCTCCCGGCGCTGGCCGTATTGGAGGATCTTGTATCTGTGCATCTATTAGTCAAAGACATGAACAAATTTGTAGAAATACGCACTGGCCGTCGTATCGAATTCCAGCCGCTGGGGCAAAAGAGCTTTCCAGTCCATGGCCGCGAAGTATACGTATCTTTCCTCCGACCTGCGAGATCAGAGGCACACACATATCCTTTGGTGTTCTATACCTACCGAATTTGACTCGTTCTATACTGGGACTCGAAGCCTCAAGAGTAGTCTTACTGCCCCATAGCAAAGGCAATGTAGGGATACCGTACTGGCCTGCCGATAGCACGTCTCTTGGGCTGCATAGCAGGCCGTCACGATGCGCACAGGCTAGATGGGGCCACCAGCTACGCATTGCCTAAGCATTTTCAGATGGTCAGCATGGGGAGTACTCACTAGCCGACTTGGAATTGCTCGTTGCCTTCGTTCTCAGAAAGACCTTGCCACTTGCTCACAACATGTGAATCATGAGCCTTCTCAGGGATCGAGTGGGTGAAGCAAACTGCCATGCAGCTTTGCGATGGTCTCCGGAGTTGCTTACAGCGATGAGCATCGAGGCTGCGGTAAGGCGCACCGAATCGTATCCTCCATTGGCGCTGCAAGCTTTCCGCTATCGTCACGTCTGCACGAAACTGTGCTGGCTTTGTGGCTGGGTGGTTGGCAGGGTTCACCATGTCTTCGAGTAGCTTGTCCAGCCTGGTAATCTGGATCGTCCTCAACCTGATCCTTGGCCTCATGTTGCACTCGCCCTGGACCGCTTCGCCCAATACGCCCATAATCGCCTCTCTTCTGGGTCCAAGAGTGTGGCTTTTCCACAAACTCTGACGAACCTCGTCACAAAGCAGCAGAAGCTCGTCGATCCAAATCGAGTTGCCATCTCGGTGGTGCTCGATGGCTTCACCAGAAGGGGGCGGAGGTACTGATGGGCCTAGGGCGCTTGAGGTCAAGGTATCTCTGTTGGGAAGGTTTCGTACGTCGCGATAGGGAAGCATGAGGTGCGGCGATTCGATCACTTCCCGTGTCTCAAGATGCTGGTTTGTTTGCAATCGATATTGTTGTAAATGAATTCAAGATAGTATACCTTAGGGATGCTGGTGCATGATGTGTCAGGCAAAGGACACATCAGTCTGTGCTTTGCCATAAGGCAGCCAGTCCGTCGTCATCCTGTTCAGTCGTGCCTGCCCATTCGTCACATTCAGTACTTCCATGGTCCAAGTCCATGTCACCTGAGGCTCTTGAAAACAGTGGGATAAACCTCAGCGAGCCACGAGTGTAGCTTTCACGTTCTCCGGCTCACCAAGTCTGACGGGTCCAGTCAATGAGCGACTACTATGCTGCAATGATAGGGGAATGAACGCATGTGTGAGAGGAACGATTGCTTCCATCCAGAGGTCAGTGTGAAAGCCAGGCTCGAATTGTAACGTGCAAAAGTCCCATCTGTGAATAGAATTCAATTACGGCAATGTCGACTGTACCTTGATAGGTATGGAACAAGAACAGGTTCGAGGTCCCGAGTCCGGTCGAGTTGGACCTCGGCGCACGTCTTGCTCCACGCCGGCGCAACCAATGCCTGGCAATCGTTTTCCGCATCTCCGCTGTACTAGCAGTGGTGATAGACAGGAATACGCAGTCAGTGACGTCCGAAACTAATGAGTCTTGGTTCTCATATGTTCCTAGCCAAATACATAGTCACTCAGACACATCTTCTCCTCTTACCTCTTGATCACGAACAGCGTTGCACATCCCACCACCATGCCGCACATCGATCTCACTGCCATCATCACACCCAAGTCACCCGAGAAGGGTCAGAGGGTATGTTTGCGCATCGGCTGAGGGCGAGGCCAGAGCTGACGGTTCAGTTCCTTGGGCTCTTTCAGGAATGCGTCGACTACGTCGAGGCGAATGAGAAGGACTATGTCCATCGCTACGAGATGCACAAGGGCATTAAGGACAAGAATGGCAAGGAGCAATACGTTGTGCTCGAAGGGTGAGTGCAATTAATCCCGAGACAGAGGACAATCGAGCTGAAGACCCCAGGTACAAGGACAAGGAGGGTCTGGACAAGCACATGAAGTCCAAGCCAGTTGTAGAGTTGCTTGAGGCGATCTCCAAGGAGGACCTGACGGAGACGCAGATTATCATGACGACCAAGGGGCCAGGAATCGCACCAAAACTATGATGCTCAGAAATCAAGGAAACAGAGCGACGCGCCTTTGGTCGATCAGTGAAAGAATATTAGAGCATACATGAGCGACGTCTGTTGAGAGAGTTGAGGAGTTGGTTTGTAAGGTACTGAATGTATGCAGGGCGACCGCCTACCAGATGCAGCCGAGCTAGGCGCCTCGAGTATGCCACCGCCTGCCTAATTAGGTAATCGTTGTGCCAAACTCACCATTCAATTATCTGAATCTCATCTCGCGCCCTCATGGACGTTTAAGCTTTTGATGGAGGGACACTAACTGAGTATTTCTATTTCCCTGCTGGTCCTTAATGCAACCTCGTCACCTTCATGGTGACACTCGCTTCTTTGCGAGCTCTCAAGCGTATTGCCACCGCCGGCTCCGCTACCAACCTTCGAAGCGCGCTCGGCGCCTGTAAATTTTCTACTGCAACAACTTCCCTACCCGCCACGCGCGAAAAGCTACCCTCTGACCCATTGAACTTTCTGTTCAAGAAGAACGCAATTGTCGAGATGGGTGACCGCGGGAGCGCTTCCCACATGAGGAAGCTGGGCATTACCCAGCGCGCGACGCCCCTTGCCGTGCCCTGGACAGGTGATCTGCGCGTGCGATTCACTGACTTTCTGGTCAACGAAATCACATTGGACGGCAAGGTCGCACATCTGCGCACCATTGGGCAAGGCGAAGAACTCGAGCAGGCACAAAAGGCAGAGACAGAGGCAACCCCTCCGCAACCTGTGAAGGAAGAACCTGCTGCAGAGCAACCACCACTCGAGAACCCAGATATTGCGCCAGAGGACTCGGCAATACTCGCCGAACTTGGGGGTGAGCAGTTTGCAAAGGACATTGTTCTCATCTGGAAGAGTGCCCACGAGCCGGATGCCGCCAGCAAGAAGGCCACCGCCGAAAGCACAGACGACCGCGAGAAGCGTGGGAAACTTCATCAACATGTGCGACGTATCTTCAAGTCAACCATTGACACCTCTACCGGACTTGACGGTGCCATCGTGGCCTCATTGGCAAGCAAGAAGGGAACCAAGCGCTCGAGGAATGGCAGGAAGAAGGAGGACAGGCCCCCGAAGGAGTACCTCCACTTCAACCTCCACAAGGACAACAGAGATACCATGGACGCTATCAACCAGCTCGGGAGGCTATTAAACGTAAAGCCGCAGTTCATTGGGTATGCTGGCACCAAGGACCGGAGGGCGTCCACCGTACAGCGTTGCTCACTTCGTCACATCCGGCCGAAAACATTGAGCGCAGTCAACGGCAGACTCAGGGGTGTCGTGACAGGCGACTATGAGTACAGGGATGAGAGGATTCACCTTGGTGGCCTCATGGGCAACCAGTTCGTCATCACAATCAAAAACTGCCAATTGCTGGGAGACGCCCAATCGAAGCCTCTCGCCGAACGTCTGGAGGTCCTCAACGCAAACTGCCAGTCGGCCGTGCAGAACCTCTCCAAGCACGGGTGGATCAACTACTTTGGCCACCAGCGATTCGGCACCCACGCCATTGGCACGCACGAGATTGGCAAGTTCATCCTGGGCGAGAAGTACGAGGAGGCCGTCAACATGCTGCTCTCGTACAACGAGGAGATTGCCAACAAGGCGGAGACTGGCGATATCCCCGAGGAAAACTCGTATCGGGAGGAGTACCGGCGTCACCAGGCTTGCATGCTCTTCTTGACAGGCAAGGATCCCTCGCGCGCCGAGAAGACCATGCCCCGGCGATTCGGCGCCGAGTGCTCTCTTCTGCGTCACCTCAACCGTGCCGGCGACAAGTCGAGGCGAGACTTTGTGGGAGCTTTGATCCACATCACCCGAGGCTTGAGGACCATGTATCTGCATGCGTACCAGTCCCACGTCTGGAACCATGTTGCCAGCAAGCGATGGGAACTGCATGGCAACAAGGTCGTCGAAGGTGATCTCATCCTGGTCGAGACACCAGTGGCCACGGCCCCCGAGCAAGACCAGGACGGCGGGGACGTGGTCAATCCAGTGGAGGAGGACTCGGAACCTCGTGTGCATGCCCGCCCGTTGACCGCCGAGGAGGCGACATCTGGTAACTACACCATCCACGACGTGGTGCTCCCCTCGCCTGGATACGACATGATCTACCCGAGCAACGCGATCGGCGAATACTACACCGAATTCATGAGCGCGCCGGAGAACGGGGCACTCGATCCGCACAAGATGAGACGCATCCGCCGCGAGTTCAGTCTGCCCGGTCGGTACAGGAAGTTTATGAACAAGTTCCTCAACGACACGGCGAGCGTGGAGATTAAGACGTACACGGACGACACGGAGCAGATGCATCCCACGGATCTGGACCTGCTCAAGGCCGCGAAAGACGAAGATGGCGAGCCAGCCAGGAAAAAGGTCAAACAGAGCGAGGATGGGGATGCGGCAAAGCCTGAAGACCCTGCAAACGGGGAGGCCGAGACCGTCGGGAAGGCTGATGAGGTAGAAAAGAAGATTGCGGCCGTGGTCAAGTTCCAACTTGGCAGCAGCGCATATGCGACCGTCACGCTGAGGGAGCTCATGGGCGATCCGCCCGAGGTAACGGCAGAGGCCTAGGCTGGCTGTCTGTCTGACATCGTGTACAGTTTGAATAGAGCTCGTAGACTGACGAGGGTATGTGTGTACCATGATCATCCCACATTCCTCGAAAATTTCGAAACATAGAAGTCTCTCCCATATTGCGTCCCGACCAAGTGATCGCGAACCCCTGATAGTTTCGCCTAACGCCATTGCCATGATATCCATTGCATCGCGCCAAATATGTATAAATCTCACATCCTCGCTGTCACAGCATGCCGATCAGTTGCCGGGTGCGTTGTTGTCCCATCCCCAGACGTAGGAGAGGTATTTGACCATGTTGACCCTCTTGGACTTCATCTCCACCATCCAGGGGTGCTCGAGCATCTTCCATGGGCTCGCTCTGCGCGCAGGTTGTTTCTCCAAACTGTGAGATTCATGTTAGCTTGTGGTCCCCGGTGTAACGCGTGAGATGAACGTACCAGCACTCGATGAAATACTTGAAGTTGTCGCTCCAATACACGTCCATGTCTGGCTCATCCTTGAGCTTGGGCACCTGCTGCTGCACAATGTAGGTCAAGAGATCAATCAGGCCCGCCCGGGGCTGCGCTTCAGTCCCGTCCGCAGGGAACGGGAAACGATGCTGGGCAACTTCGAGCAGCGTCACGCCTGTCGACCAGACATCCGAAGTGATGGTGTAGGCTTGACCCGTGATGCGTTCGGGGGCCATGTAGTAGCTGGTTCCGATAAAGGTATTCGCCTCGCCTTTGGTTCCAAAGTCGCCCGACACGCCAAAGTCGCACAGCTTGACAGCGCCGTCGCGGCAGAGCAAAATGTTGGATGGCTTGATGTCTCGGTGAATGATTCGCCTTGTGTGGAGGTAGGTCAATCCTCCCAAGACGCCCTCGGCAATCTTGCCGAGGACTTTCTCGCCGGTACGCCCACCGAGGCGTTTCACTTCCTTGTAGATGCTATCCAGCGAGCCTCCCTCACAGAATTCCATGGTGATGGAAATGGTTGCTGTCGCGGGGTCCACAAAGGCACCATAGTACCGGCAGATGTGCTCAGAAGCGCAGTCCTTGTTGAAGTTGAGCTCTCGGATGATCTGCCTCTTGATATCGGGGTCTGGGTTCGTGGTGATAACCTGTGATGCGTCAGCGACTATCCCGGACTGTGTACCAAAGGCGCTTCAGCCACCTACCTTTAGAGCAAACACAGTCTTCCCACCCTTGAGCTTCGCTCGTGTCACGGCACCGCCTGCACCCTCGCCCAAGCTGCCCAACTCCTCGATGCGTTTCTCGATACTCGCGATTCTCCACCCCTCGTCGTCGAGATCCTCAACATCACCAGTCCTGGCCTTCTCCAAGCTCAGCTTGTCAAAGTTCTCCAGCCCTTGGAGGCTACCGTCTCGCTCCATGGCAGCCCCGCCCTCGCTCCTCTCCGAGTACATTGAGCCGACTGCAGATACAGGATCTGGAGTGCCATGGGTCCTCGATACACCAATGCCATACTGTGAGGCAAACGACAAGGCAGAGTACTGTGACCCTGCCGATGTCGGGTTACTGGCACGGCCGTCCAGCGGACCGAAGCTCCCTGTGCGCGAGTGATCGGCACTGCTCTCGCTGCCGCCGCCCGCCGACTGGCCCGTTTGGAGACTGAGGCCTCTTGTTTGAGGTTGTTCTTGTGGGGTGACTTGGCTTCCCATGGGCGTCGCAAGGTGCAGAGTCGGCAGTGGTGGTCTTGTGGGCGCCGGCCCGCCGGCGGCTTGGTTGCCTACGGGCTTCGCATTCGGGGATGGGGGGATCGCCAGGCCGAGTCGGGGAGTGCGAGCGCCGCCTGGTCGGCCACCAACGGCTGGTCGAAGCATAGGCGGAGCAGCTGGGAGTTGAGGGATGGGAGATGCGCCCTGCTGGGGCTGGAGAGGTCATTAGTGCTCTGGTCTTTGCATAGAGCGGTGGACAACATACCTGGTTGAGCTGGGGCACATGGGACTGGTTCGACTCGGACATGGCGGCGACTGAACTGCCTTGGGCAGTTGCAGACTATGGATAGAGGAGAAGAGTCTACAATGAGCACAGTCTTGAGACCTCAATCTCGCTCAGAACAACCGCCTCTACAACGATTCTCCTTGCTATGACTGAGGACGATTTCGCCAGGAAATGACTGCCTATTGCTGTGCCAGACAGATCGCAGAGGCTTGTAGATCTCGCGGCCGAGTAGTACGTCCGATAGAGTTCGTCTGATGGCTGGTTCCCCAAGTTATAGCTCAAAGACTAAGTTGAGCAGCGCGAGTGTCGTGATACGTGGAGTAGAGCAGAGAATGCTGTTGTAGGGCAGCAAATCGATCAGATGGCAGCGAGCGGCAAAGGTCGGGGCGGACGTAGGACGAGGAGCGAAAGTGTCGTAGGGCGCGGAGCTCTGCGGAGAAGGGCAACAGTTAGTCTCAGGGACGAGCAGTGGAATTTCTTAAAACATAGAATCTTGAGGGTACAAAGAGCACATACTGTCAGGCTTGTGGGTTGAAGCTAGACCGATGAAACGAGGCACGCCAACGACCATGCGACGGAAATAGCGAGGGCGAGAAGGTGATGAAGTGTGTACAGACGTTGTGGGTGAAGTTGAAGGCCTCCGTCAGTCTTCTGGTGTGGGGAGGGAAGTGCCACTGGCACCTGGCTCAGGCAGTCAGTCTGGAACCCGAGCGTGAAAATGAGGGGACCGGGCCTCCCAGCCCAGTGGGCGCGCAACTGAAGCCTGGCAGTGGGCAGCCAAGCCCAACAATGGACCGGGACGATGCCGGCGCGGCGGCGCCTAAGTTGAATGAGATGCAGGCTGTTAAAGCCGTTGACAGTGTCCCTGCTTGGTGTGAGTTACAACTCTTTACTCCTTTGAATTGCAAACAGGTCTACATATCTAGTGATTGTTTGAATGAAGTAAGGGTATCACACATTTCTAGCACCTGTCAGAGACCGAGCATGATGCAGCCTTGTCGAGCCCATTAACAGGCCCTAACCGACCGGATGGGGAACCCATCGACTCGTGCATGGCCCGCTGGGCCACTGTCACTGTAACCCCTCCACCATCATCCCATTCATCGTTCATCCGTCACATCACCCAGGTTGGACTTTTGCGCCGTCAACCAATTGGCATTGCCTTTGTCAGTACGCAAGGGTGTGCGAGCTGTCTGCAGGCCACTCAAGGGCCCGGTATGCACGCAGGCATCACTCTGACTCCCCCGTGGTGCTCCGTGCTCGAGTCGACTCGTCTCAACGCCCTCGCTCATTCTTGAGGTTTCCGTCCGAGCTCCAAGCCTCAAAGCCTCGAGCACCCTGCACCATTGTCAGTGCCGAGTGGCACCGGGCGCTGTACAGTAGAGGTCTGGCAATATTCTACAGGCTTCCGCAGCATAACTTGGTCGACGTGGCGTAGAATGGGGTGTCACACAGACGTCGTGGGTGCTGTTGGTGTTACGTATCACGGAATCACCTCGCCGAGGCAATTACAGAGCGAGATTGGACCGTTGAACACCATCGGACACGGCACCAATGCTGATCAATTAGCATCCGTTGCACAGCAGATGGACGGCTGGTTTGCCGTTTGTGTGGTGACGACTGACGACCCCTGTTGCCGCAAGCGCGCGTCTAAGTCACAGCGTTGTATTGGGCTTGCGTTAGGGTAGTCGCGCCTCGATATATCCAGGCGACAGAACCATCCTCCATCACGGCACAGATGGTATGAGCATGGTGATTATTATTGAATCGGAGGCTGCTCACGATTGGCACAGCTTGCAATGCGCAACTACAGTGCACGGTTGCCCTCTGCGTTGTCAGAATGCTCTCAGACTCAAACACTACAACCCTTGGATCTTGGATTCAACATCAGGCTATCAAAAAGCATACGCATGGGAAACTTTTCGTTCATATCAATGTATTACTAAATAGAACTGGCCTCACTGCCCATAACAAGAGTGACTGTAATTATGCTATCAAAGCTGGCGATCTTCATGTTCTGAGTGTCCATCCAGCTACCGGGTAGCCCACCTGTCTCAGGCGGTCGGGCAATTATGGGGTAGTGGACGGGAAGCCCCACATGCCACTTGCTGCGACAGTCGATACTTGAACTTTTTTTTTCTGCTTGTGATGGGCAGTGCTCGTCTGCCAACCACACAACCAGCAATCGTCAAAATGCCTTCAGCTAAAACCAAGGAGGAGCCGGTGGTCATGTCGGACGACGCACCCAGTGACAATGACGTATCCTCATCAAATGAGTCCGACTATCTCGACGACAATGGCTCACGAAAACGACGTCGAACCTCACCAGTCCCGGAGCCACCACCAGGGTTCTTTGACGACGACGACGACGACGACGACGACGACGATGAAGACAACGAAGCGGAACTCGAGAAAGCGGTTGCCTCTATCCAAGTACCCTCGCGTGTCCAGGCGCCCTCTCGTATAAAGAAGCCAGCAACGCAAGCGGCCGCCGCGACGTCACAAACCGCCCCGCCTCAAAATCCCATCCTCGCCCCCGTTGATAGCGACACCAGCTTTGCCGCTCTGCAAGTCCGGCCATGGCTCGTCCAGTCCCTCGCCAACATGGCGATCAAACGGCCCACGGGCATTCAGAAAGGGTGCATTCCCGAGATCCTCCAGGGGCGCGACTGCATCGGCGGGTCACGCACGGGTTCTGGTAAAACGGTCGCCTTTGCGGTGCCCATCCTGCAGAAATGGGCGGAAGACCCGAGCGCCATCTTCGGCGTCGTTCTGACGCCGACGAGAGAGCTCGCGCTGCAAATTTACGAGCAATTCAAGGCCATCAGCTCGCCGCAGAGCCTGAAAGCCGTTCTGGTCACGGGTGGTGCCGACATGAGGGCGCAGGCCATTGCCCTAGCGCAAAGGCCGCACGCTGTCATCGCGACGCCGGGCCGGCTGGCAGATCACATTCGCACGTCAGGGGAGGACACAATCTGTGGGCTGAGGCGGGTGCGCTATGTCGTGCTGGACGAGGCAGACAGGCTGCTGCATGCTACGGGCCCAGGCAGTATGCTGCCGGACGTGGAGGAGTGTCTCTCCGTTCTCCCCCCCGCGAGCGAAAGGCAGACGCTGCTGTTCACGGCGACGATCACCCCGGAGGTGAGGGCGCTCAAGGACATGCCACAGAAACCCGGCAAGAAGCCCGTGTTTGTGTGCGAGGTGGACACGCAGATGCTGGCCATCCCCGCGACACTGAGCCAGATGCACGTGCAGATCCCCGTGACCCACAAGGAGCACTACCTGCACGTCTTTCTCGAGACGGAGGCCAACGCCCAGAAGACGGTCATCCTGTTCTGCAACCGCACCTCGACGGCGGACTACCTGCACCACCTGCTCCGTCTGCTGGACCACCGCGTCACGTCACTGCACTCCAAGCTCCCGCAGCGGCAGCGCATCGACAACCTCGGGCGATTCCGGGCCTCGGCCGCGCGGATCCTCGTGGCCACGGATGTGGCGGCGCGTGGTCTCGACATCCCCGAGGTGTCCCTCGTGATCAACTACGACATTCCGCGCGACCCCGACGACTACATTCACCGCGTGGGACGTACCGCGCGCGCGGGACGCAAGGGCGAGGCGGTGACCTTTGTCGGGCAGCGCGACGTCGACCTCGTGCACGCCATTGAGGCGCGCGTGGGCCGGGCGATGGAGGCCTGGGCGGAGGAGGGCGTCAACCTGGAGACCCGCGTGCTCCGGGAGGCGCTCAAGACGGTGAGCGAGAAGAAGCGCGAGGCGCTGCTGGAGATTGAGGAAGGGCGCGAGGTGGGCGGCAAGCGGAAGCGCACCAAGCAAAAGTTCAGGGCTGAGTAGAGAAAGTACATGTAGCAAAGGCAAAGCAGCGAGAGGATCAATGGCCGAGATACCCCGTCCCAAAGAGACTGGCATTGGTGCACGTCGGTGACATGCATGACTTGTACGGAGGTGACGGGAGCCTTCTCTGTGTTCATGGGCCATGCGATTGAGTCTTTACCGTGATCAATGTTGGCAGACCGACACACTGGCGAGAGCTGGCCCCTGGGCCACACTCGCAGTATTTGGAATGGAATATGGCAGCACGCTATCTCTCAAGGGCTGACAAAACACGCGCGCATGCATCTGGCTTACACCAGGATCGAACAGGCAGCACCAAGCACGGAAGAAAGCAGTCCAGCCGGTAGATGATGCATATTTCTAGACATCTGACAGACTGCGATAGGGAATCCGCCCGCCCGACGCATATCCGCGGCTGTCACAAGTAGGGCGCCTCGGGCACCCGCCTTCTTCGTTGGTAGAACGAGAGCTCTACAACTCCGAGGAGGAGGAGCCGACCTCGCACGTCTCGCTTCAGCTCGAAAGGATTGCCTTTCAAAATCCGGGGTATGAGTCAGCGCTTGCTGGAGACTATCCGGGTATTGCGGTCATCTTTTAGGAGGAGGTCCAGTCACGAAGCCGAACTGCCATGCACCATGAATGCTCTCACGCCCGCCGTCGGCACTCGGCAGCCTGGCAAGACGCCGATACTACGAGCCGGGGGCCGAGCTCTTACGTTCACTGCCTGTCATGTTGGATCCTCGACGGCCGCGCGCGTCGCACCACCATGGATGGACCTTATAGTGAGTGAAGGCCTGGGGGAGGGTGTGATCAATGTCAGTGTCAGGCGCCATGTCAGATCAGCGTGTGCCGATTGATCACTGAACGTCATGACGACATGGAGACTAATTTAGTGGGAACATCGAGCAGTGAGGTTGATTGATAAAGACGGATCACAGACAGAACCAACCCTTCGGACTTTCGAAGTCTGTGGTGTTCGGGGTTAGCAGTCGTCCGGTAGGGGGGTGTGCCAGTGCACACTGCAGATACGTTTTGACGTCCACGCCTGGATGGATGATCCGGTCCAGCCCGGCGTTATGGAGATGAATCACGGGCTCCGGCGAGCAAGAAATTTTTGATCAGCGGGCCCATTACCTGAGAAGACCGCAAAGTAGCCGGCGTTGCGGACTCGAGTGGATCGTTGCGGAAGCCGAGGTCATCAGTCAAGTCCCCGCCAAGAAGGACGAGAGGAGAGAAAAAGAGAAAAATCAAGATGAGGGTCCCATTATCGTGAAGAGCCTCATGTTCGCTGGAGTGGATATTGCGGCATCTGCGTACCGCAGGGAGTACAATCGGCTCTGGTCGGACAGAGAAAGCCCAGGGATGAGCCAGTCATCAGTCCAGTCTGCATGCGAGAGAATGAACCGGCGATGCGAGAAGACGGCAGACATGTCCAGCTGCCTGCATCAATGCTACGTATACACAAACGCCCGGTCGTACGTGCTCGCGGTCGCGCAACGGAGATCCGAGTCATCTGACTCCTCCAAGCACAGAGAATTAATAATGACCAATAACCTAATTCTTCTCTAAGGTAGACTAGCGCTACGGGATTCAGAATGGCGGCGGCTGTCCATCGCGGCATTCGCTTTCCTCGCAAAGACCCGACGGTGCGAGCACAAGCGTGGAAAGTTTGTTTTTACTTGTGGATGGCCCAGCGGGCGCTCCATTCGCTGTGCTAACTGATCACTGATGAGACTCTCGGCATCAGACAATTGACTTTGTGTAGCCAGCAGCCATGGTAAATGGTGATCACGATCTCGCCAAACTATCGTGAATTGCTTCATTTTGTCCATGCGTCCTCCCTTGCAGGCTTACATGCAAGCCGGGCTTGGAGGTGCGAGGCGGGGACCTCCGAGCTGAGGCTGGCAGCCTGGCAATGATGAAGCACGGGCACCGTACCCTCTGCAGAGCCTTTGGGTTTCAATGAATTGGCAAGGTTTGTTGCTGTGGAAATTGGGATAGAACAGAGTCAATAGACAGGGCCCAAGGCAGCAGGGGATTAGATGCAAGGCCAGGAGTTGAGAGAGATCAACAGCCAATTCAGGCACCTCATTCGACGATACTCTCATCAAATACTGATGCCTGAAGCGAGGCGTGAATGCGCGCTCAGCCCTACATTGCCAGGCAGTGCCCGTCCGGTGTCCGCGCGGTGATCCTTGGGTCTTGCGTGCCACGTATGCGTCCCCGCGCCTCAATTCCCCGTCCAACGCGGCTTCGTATCTCGTATGCAATGTACGCGACGCCAGCAGCAGCTCCAGGCAGTGCACAGCCGTTGGAATTGATGTAGATGACTGGCGCCATCAGATTGTCAATTAAGCTGCCATTAGCGACCGAGGAGATGGGGGATGAATGGAATCATGGGCGGTGATGTCAATTGAGAAGATTGTGATGGCTTCAAACTCAGTTCAGTCTTTACAGATATCGTCGTGACAAATCCAACAAATGTTATTAACTGAGGGTGCCTGGGATCGATGATTATCGTGCGGCAGGGGTTTAGTTACTGCTTATGGTAATCGATTCTAGGCACATGCAATAACGACAAAAGATGTTAGGCTGCTCCCAGAAGGAAGCATAACGGATGTATTCGGCGATAACCATCACAGAGCATGCCGCCCGCTGGTCGTTTCTAATCAGCGGGCAGCTGCTGACGGGCTGAAAGCTTGTGGTGGAAGGCGAGCGAAGAGTCCGCATCCATTCCATCGTGGGGGACGGACAGGCGAGCAAGAGAGCGAGAGCGAGCAAGCAAGCGAAAAAGAGTCATCATTGTCCGCCCGTGGTGGATGAGCAATAACGCAGGCAGGCTAGCTCGAAACCCGAGCAGCCCGTAAGTCCGGGATACCTCTGTCGTGGGGGCGCGTCGCAGCACGGACGAGGTACCCTCCTTCGGTTTTTGTCAGCGGGACGGAGTTGAGTTGGTAGTAACCAGAGCCAAAATCTGACAAACCCAACGCAGAGCGAGCCGGGCCCGTGTCCAAAGTCCGCCCTTGTGTGTTGGGTCGCTGACTGGACTGGACTCCACCACGTCGGGGCTTTGGGAATTGCGCGTGCGTTCGCGAGCCCGGCACCGCCTAGCCATCACGTCTCGCATCCTGTACAAAAGAATCCGCGGCCCCCCCCCGACCTCTTGGCCCCGAGTCTCTCAGATCAATCATCACCCATCATCACCAGAAGCTTCATTCTTGACACATCTACAGTGATCAATCAAACCAAGTATCAATCAATCACCCTGTCACAGACAAGCATCGCCAACATCGATCCGGCTACTACATCCACCACCCTGACTCCACCACCCTGACTCCACCAGCTACACGCCCCGGAACCGGCCTTGACTCATATCAACGCCAGCAGCATCCACCCAGGAAGAAAAAAAAAAAGAAACATCCATTGCTATTATTACATACATATAACACGGTCACCCACCCAGGCCACGCATAGTCACACACCGCAATGGCCACTACCACCGCTCACCGACCGCAACACATCAGCTTCGCACCCAGCCCTGCCGAGTCTCTTCGCCAATCCACACTCAAGAAGAACATGACCATCACCCAGACATACTACCTCGCCCACAAGGCCCGCTCCAAGCTGGGCCGCGAGGCTGCCCGCGCCGACCACAACCTCCGCCTCCTCGTCGGCCACGCCAACCTGCTCGACAACCTCATGGTCGAGCTCGCCGACGCCGAGCGGGAGCAGGAGCGCTGGTTCAACCAGTCCGTCCGCGGCGCCTCGCCCAAGGCACAGGAGCGTCGCGTCCAGTACCCCACCTCCCAGATTGTCGAGGAGGAGGAGGACGAGTCCAGCGACAACGAGATCTACGACGAGTCGTCTTCGGACGAGGACGAGGACGACTTTGAGGAGGAGCTCCAGGACATGGTCATGATCCCCACTGCGACCACCAAGGCCCCCACCGTCACCACAAAGGAGGTGCTGCCCAGCAGTGACGACATGGAGGAGGACGACCTCGAGGAGGACTACGCACAGCTCGAGCTCGTGCGCACATCGTCACACTCCAACACCAGCCCGCCCCCCGAGCTGGTGGACGAGTCGGACTCGTCCGACGACGAGGCGGGCATGCCCCCCTCACCACCCAACGCCATGCTCCCCATGCCCGCTGGCAAGGCGGAAGAGTCACTCTTTGAGGATGACGACCAGAAACAACAAGAGGCCAAGAGCTACTACCTGTCAGGGAGGACACCCCTTGGCAGCGTGTCGGCCGTCTCGGTCTACTGAACGTCGCACTGCGACGACTGGACGAAAACCCTCAAAACGATTTGATGACGACTTCTTCTTTCTACGAGCGACTCTGGGCATTCAGCATGGCGTTTTTGTTTTCTTCACAGCATCTGGGATACCACAATCGGGCGGGCATTTACAACACGGCATGGGCATATACTTTTCCATTTTATACACGCATCAACGGACACATCACAACTCATGGCATACATACACAACGGAGGGATCAATGAACGAGTAGATAGGAAACAAACGATACCCCCGTCTTTGGACACCAAAAAAATGAAGAAAATTCTTATTCACATACTCAATACTGCTCCATCCATTCCGTGCGATGCCTTGCTCTCTGACTTGACTTTGAAGCCAGCGCTCTCATCACATTCCCGCTCGGCGCTCGCTACGATCGGAGCGCGTTGGAGTGGGACAGGCACGCACCCGGATTCGGCACTCTAAATGGGAGGTGTCTATCTAGTACCTCAGACGCCCCCCCTCGGATTTGAAAGCAAGGCCCGAGCCCGTAGGAGATTGCTCATCAGCCATTAATCAGCCTGCACGCCCTGCGACCAGCGTCAGCGTGAGACAACCGCTGCTGCTCGAATGAATCACTAGCCCAAGAAACCTGCTTCCGCTTATCAAGGGACTGCATGTGGACGTCGCTCATCTGGTCATCAGCGACATGCATGGCGTGCGACGACGAGGCAACGATGAGCCATGATCTTTCATCATACATTGCGCCTTTCCTTCTCGCATGTGAAAATGTCACGACTTCTATTAGAAGGTATTGGAAAATAGAGGAAGCGCGGTAATATTCGGAGCCCAACGGACTGGCGTTGGAGCGCGAGACGGCATTGACGTGAGCGGAGCCGGCCAGAAAGCAGTCAATTGATGGGACCTGGACGGGGCACAGCTGGACCCCGTTCAGGAGACTCCTGTCCAGTCCACTCCAGTCGTCGCTCGGTGCGCTGCGGGTCGATCAGGCCAGCACTATTCCTCCCAGGGCAGCCAAGAGGCCAGGCCACGTGTAGCCAACAAAGGAGTCAAGTTGTCGGCGGTCCGCGGATAACAGTTGAGATCCTCTCGCCGCAGTCGCTGTTGGCTGGCTGGCCGCGTCGCGTCACTGCGTCAGCAACTTCAGCATGCTCATTCATTCATGCAAAAGGTCATTGGTTATTGTTTCACAATTCCAGTGCACAGCATCGCCAGCTGACGACGGCTCGATCCATCCATTGATCTGGGCTCTACAACAGGAAAATACCTTGATCATAGTCAGGGGCGAATTGCATCGATCACCTTGCTGATTATTCAAGTATTCTGGTCGTGACGCACAGAACACTCAGAATCATGGCCGTGCCTTGCTTGCTGCGGCACGGGTGCTGCGCTGGCGGTGGTCAATGGCCTGTCGATCGATAGGCCAGCAATTGGCCCCTTCCGCGCGTCGTGGTCATGGCCTTCCAGTTTTTTCATCCGTTGCTGCTCAACAGGGTTCCATCTTATGCACCCACCATCGACACTGATAACCGTCCAGGCTCCAGCATCTGGGCGGTCAATCCACGAATCCAGGCACGTACGGCCGGACGCAGCCAATGTGCGTACGCGGAGTCATCTCAATGGCCGGATCTCCGCCCCGGTCGGTATCGGGATCGGGCTGATGGAGCCTGGCGAGGGCAGCCCTGCGACGGCGATCGGCACGCCTCTTGCGCCTTTGGGCGACTATCAGATAAACTCAAGACAGGTGAATCAAGGTGAATCTTGATCATCGTAGATCATGGATAAATACGTAGATAGACTGTCATCCCTTCTGGATCAATATCTTCGGGCTGTGTACACGTGCACTGCGGACTGACATCTGACAGTGGCGGAATTGCTCGTTTGATCCTGTCCTGGACATTGATATTTCACCGTTCTGGACCCTTGCGTTTGCAGCTGTTGCATACGTGGAGGCGGTGTACGTAGTACGGGTGCTAGTGTCGGGGCGAGTGAGACCCTGTGCCGCATTGCTGAGCCAGCAAGACATTCTGCTCATCTTGACGCCTTGAGCGACGGGCGCATGCGGTGTGCGAGGTGCCGGCATTCGATAGAAGGACTGTTTGCGCAGGGATGTCGACAGCGACAGGCTTTGTGAGGCCTGCGATATTAACTGAGAGAAGTTTCTAAGCGATATGCTTGTTAAACATCACCACAGCAACTACAGTACATAAGACCTGAGATAGCGAATGTCGAGCATCGTGGGCCAATGAGAGCCCTCGGGTTGCCCCGCAAATCGGCAGGTCGGGGGGACCAACTCCCAAGCCCGAAATGCTTCACTTTCATCCAATGTCTTTCTTCCAACTCCGGTCTGCACGTAGGCGCCTGCTTGTGACATGGCAGATAACGCAGGGCTGTCTCCTTCACGTGACATCTCGACAGACCAAAACCTCGATCAGGCTGGTTCAGAGCGGCCATCCAAGAAGCCAAGGGTCTTTCTAGCTCGGCAGGTCTGCATGCCCATAACAAAACACACTGTTCATAGTCTCTGACCATGCTCGCAGGCCTGCGAGAGCTGTCGCGCCAAGAAAACCCGGTGCGATGAAGACGTCCCCTGTGCCCCGTGCCGCTCTCAGGGCATAGAGTGCACGTATCGTGACAGAAAGGCCACCAGGTAGTTTCCTTCCCAAAGGTCAAGTACAAGGAACCTCTACTCACCACCAGCCAGAAAGGAAGAGTCGTTCGGGACCGTTCTGGGATTCTTGAAGCGCATCGAGACAAAAGTCGAGAACCTCGCGGCGGCGCAGGACTCCAGACAGCCACCCGCACCAACACCACATGCACCACCTGCAGAGTCTCGAAACTCCCTGGACAGCAGCAGCAGAGACCCCTTTGGCAACACGCCAGGGTCACAGCGTCAGGACGCCCAAGCCGGGACGCCCAACATTGACCTGCGCACGCCGACCGTCTCGGGAGGCAGCGTCTACCTGGACGACGGGCCGGACAAGACGTCCTTTCCCTTCAGTGCCCATGCCATGCTCGAGTGGGAACCGGTGCGGGCGTTTCTACCGCAGGAGATTATGAACCTCTGCCATCAGCACGGGTGGCCAGACTATGCCACAGCCCTCGAAAAGGAGCGGGATCCCACACCGGGTCTTCGCAACCCTACGAGCCACATTGATCCGCTCAGCACCTTGAGCATCTCGACGGTCCGGAATCTGTGCGAGGCCTACTTTTGCTCCTTCAACCTCGCCTACCCCGTTCTGGACCGGGACTTTTTCGAGGCCCGCTCGCTCGCCAAAGCCGTCACGGGCGGCTTTGGGTACGACATGGAGAGCTGCGTCGTCCTGGTCGTGATGGCTCTGGGCTGCTGGGGCATCAGGGCCTTGGAGGAGGCTGGCTTTCACGATGGAAACGTGCGCATGGACACGTTGAGTACGGCGCAGTACATGCAGGACGGTATCGAGGGACTCGTCTTCTTCAACGAGGCCAGACGAAGGATTGGACTCTTGTCGAACGACCATGGGCTGCAGAACTGCCAGTTTCATCTGCTGTCTGGGTGGGATTCCCCCTTCACGCTCCGACACACTATATACTTTGCTATATCAAGAGCTGATGCTGACATCTGATGTTTCGCAGAATCTACTACTCCTCGCTCCTGAGACCCGTCGATTGGTGGGAGAGCATGTCGCGCGCCGCCAATTGCTGCATGCTCTACTACGGAAACAGCCAGACGAGCGACGCGAGCGAAACCTCCAGGGACGCTTCCTGGACGTCGGACATGCAAGGCCGTCTATTCTGGATCACAATCATGCTCGAGTCTGTCGTGACGGAGGAGCTGGCCTTGCCACACAGCCGTCTCGACACGTTTCGCGACCGCGTTCCCCTGCCTAGGTTCACGGAGCTGCCGCGCGCTGACCTGATGACGGCGGGCAGCAGTAACCAGTACCAGCATGCAGGCTCGGACGCGAAGCAACAGGCGCCTGATGTGTACTACCACTTTCTCTCCCAGGTCGCCGTCCGGAACCTGACCACGCGCATCAAGGAAGCACTCTACTGCTCACGTGTGTTGGTCCTCGTTTTAATGAGCTTGACCTGTCGCTGATCCGTCCACAGATCCCTCCGGAAACTACCCCAGTCCCGGCCTTGACGCCGAGCTGTCGCAGCAGCTCGAACGCTGGAGAGAGCATTTGCCCAGCACATTGAACGCGGACGTGGAGTTTGCCTCCAGCCCCCCGAGCTGCCCGCGTGACGTGCTCGTGTCGCCCCTGATTCGGGCCCGCTACCTTGTTCTGCGGTGGCACCTCTGTCGACCCGTCATGTGAGAGTTCTTCACTGTTAGAGGTAGTCATGCCTGAATGCTAACGATCTCCAGCCATCGCATGCTCTCCTTCCCCGAGAAGAGGACGGTGAGGGACATTGAACGATGCAAAGACGCGCTCCTGACCGCCATGAAATGGCTTCACGTCGTGCGCGAACTGTGGCTCATGAAGAGCTGCATGCCAATCAGATACCCCTTCTGCTCGCAGTATGCATGCACCCTTGGTCGAAGAAGCGGACGGGAAGCTAACGGGAGCAGGCTCTTTGGCCAGATTGTCATTGTGTACTGTCTTCGGTTCATCGATGACGGCGCTCTCGCCGTCGTCCTCCCCGATGGCTATCAGCAATGGACCCTCGCCATCCTGGAGCTCGTCAAGGACTGTGCGCCCTTTAGCCCGTCCTTGTACCGGGACAGCCTGATTGCGGAGATGATGTGCAGTCGATTGCAGGAGCCTTGACATGGCAGAGGATCAGTCACGGACGCTTCTCCAATCGATTCCTGCGCCGGTATAGCTGTCGGCTCTCATTTCGGTACAGGATGCTATAAGTGTCCTACCCACCAGCAGAAGACCTGTCTATACATCTCCTTCGACCTGCTCGACAGTAGGCACACGGTTCAAACTCAGTCCCAGATACTCCGCAACCAACTGCACCGAGTCCCACACGAGCTTCACGTCGTGCGCCGAGACACCCAGGCGCCGCGTCCCCCGGATATGCCAGTGTGTCTCCGTCCGTAAGTTCTGGATCATGATGCCCGGCAGCACGACCATCTCCGTCTCCACATCATCCAGCACCTGGCGATCACTCAGGTACAGGCCATACGTGATTCTCTCGGTGATCCACTGAAAGTCCTTGTGGTCGTCAAACAGGCCCAGCGTCTGGCTCGCGTCGCGCGTGTAGAGCGTGCCCAGCCAGTCCTGGCCACGCTGGCGGTTCGCCTCGTCGCACTGCCAGCCCTCGCGGGTGGCGCTTCTGTCCTTGTCCTCGTCCCTCTCGCACCTATTGATGGCCATGATGGCCTCCAGGGGCTTACACACGCCGATGATGCTGACGGACTTGACGAGGGCCTCGCGCAGGCGACGAACGAGGGCCTGGCGCTGCGGCGGGGTGGAGAACTCAGGCTTGGTGAGGAGGTAGGTGTAGAGGTTGGCGCACAGGTCAGGGTCGTTGCCGCCTACGAGGGCGGCAATGGTGGCAATGTACCACCGCGAGGGGCCCAGCGCTGTCTTGCTGAAGTTGTCCTCGACACGTGCAAAGACGTCGTAGATGGGGTGATGCTGAGTGGCCATGTTCGTGCTGCCCCCGGCGTCGTTCTGTGGGTCAGTCACCGTATCGAAGAGCGTGTAGACGCTTCCCAGCGTCGCGAGCGAGGATCTTCCAGGTCCTGAAAATCCTTGAGCTTCTCGAAGCTGCCTACGTACTTAGATCTGTTGTGGTAATGTGCATGCTTGTACTTTGTGTACAAGACTAAGAGACAGCTGTTGTAATGACGTGCGTGTGGGTGTGCCTGACTGTCGACGTCACCTGACCGATTCCGGCGATGAGCAAGCACGTCTTGTCTGGGCGCGACACAAGCGCACTCGAAGCATGTCACAAGTGCAGGCAATCAAACATGAAATCTTCAATCGGTGTCAACGTCAATGGAATCAACGCTGCCCGCTCAAATGTCAAATCAAGTGAAGTCGGAGTCCGGACCCCTACCGAGCCCGCCCCACATCGAAATGCACAGACCACATCGAAGGATGACATCGCCTATCGTACAGAGAGAGAAGACTTGACCCAGCTTTGACATCGGTCATCTGCTCGCAACCACCATGCGACCCTTGACGAAACGCGCACTCGCCCAGACGGCGCCGAAACAGCCGTCCTGTCTCTTCTGCCAGTCGCACCGCCGTACATTTGCCAGCGCATCAGCACCCCCAGCGCCCCCATCTTCTGGTCTCGCAAAGCTACCCTCCCGCCAGCTCCTCTCAGTCTCTGGCCCCGACACCGCCAAGTTCCTGCAAGGCATCGTCACGGCCAATGTGTCGACCAAGGATGACCGCACGGTGGACGACGGGAGCTATGCTGGGTTTCTCAACGCGACCGGCCGAGTGATGCACGATGTCTTCATCTACCCTGGCCGAAACGGGTTCGCAGGCACAGAAGAGGGCAGCTCATACATCATCGAGGCAGACGCGGGGGAGATCGACAAGCTGGCCAAACTGATCAAGCGGTACAAGCTACGCGCCAAGGTCAATGTACGCAAAATTGATCCAGCAGAGGTTTCCGTCTGGCACGCCTGGACGGACTCGTCGCTCGACACCAACCCGACAGCCACCTCGATACGTCTGACAGATCCACGAACGGCCGACATGGGATGTCGAATCTTACAGCTAGGCGACAACCCCCCCGAGGCCGATCTCGAGCAGACGACGGAGGATGCGTACACGATCCGGCGGTACTTGCGAGGCGTTCCCGAAGGCCAGTCTGAGATTCTGCGCGAGCACGCCCTGCCGCAGGAGAGCAATATGGACTTTATGAACGGCATCGAGTGGCACAAGGGCTGCTACGTCGGACAGGAGCTCACCATCCGCACCAAGCACCGCGGCATCGTGCGGAAGCGTATCCTGCCCTGTATCGTGTACGACAAGGACGCGCCCGCCCCCGAGGCGCTCACCTACGACCCTTCGAGCACCGCCGCCCAGGACGTCCCCGCTGAGACCAGCATAGGTCGTTTCGAGAGGCGCGGGCGCAGCGCGGGTAAATGGCTGCGGGGCGTCGGCAACGTTGGGCTGGGCCTGTGCCGGCTTGAGATCATGACGGGGACGACGCTGCCGGGCGAGACGGCGGCGGCGACATTCAACCCCCAGGATGAGTTTGTGCTGGAATGGGGGGAGGAAGGCGAGAAGACGGGCGTCAAGGTCAAGGCCTTTGTCCCCGAGTGGATACAGCAGGGCTTGGATGCGCATGCGGCGTCGAGGTAAACGAATTGTACGAATAGTAGTGTATAGACAGCATTGTACGCTAGACTCGCAATGATGGGCGATTGCTACTTGGAGGCAGGGCTGTGTGTGAGGCGTGTCGAGTTGCTTATCCGACTCCAGCTGTCGCGTACACGTGCTGGTGTCGTCAGAAACAACTCGATCGGATGTTTCCGAGTTTTCAAACTGCATAGTCTTGTCAGCTTATTATTGCTCACCGACATGATGTCTAGCGTATGATGTGCGCCACGTCGTATTAGCCATTCCGAGGCGGAGGTGCCCAAATTGCCCAATGCATACACGCTTATTATTGTGAGGCTGGGAATCGTCCTCATGATCAACCCGGACTTGAGCTACCCTCTCCATCTCACTGATCTGAGAGAATGCTCATCATCCCATGGCGTGCCCAGCTTCATTGGGCAAGCGAATGATCCTGTGCCTCGATGGCACCTGGATGGATTCTGACAATGGCTACCAAAAGTCCGGCCTCTTCTCATCGCACGGGACGCTGCAGGTGCCGTCCAACGTGACGCGCATCTCCCGCTGCTTCAAGCGGCGCTGCTCGGATGGCCGACTCCAGATCATCTCCTACGAGTCGGGCGTCGGGACCGGCAGTAGCACCGTGGACACGATTACCGGTGGTGCCTTTGGGCTAGGGCTGTCCGAGGTGAGACGCGACGCTGCTCGCTGTACGACCTCGAGCTGGCCGAATGGTTCTGACAGATTCGCAGCGCGTGCGTGAGGCATACTCGTACCTGTGCGCCAATTACATGGACGGCGACGAGATCTTCCTCGTCGGCTTCTCGAGAGGCGCCTTCACGGCGAGGTCCGTCGCCGGCATGGTGAGCAATCTGGGCCTTCTCACCCGCGAAGGCGTCGAGCACTTTTACATCATCTTCACCGACATGCAACACTGGCAGGACGACGACTACGACGACCCGTATCCCACGGTGCCGTTCCCGAACAAACCCAAGGGCCCAGATGCCGCGCGGGAATATCGGGCGCGGCTCGAGGAGATGGGCTACACCAGGGTGTGGCAGGGTGATGGCAAGCTTATCAAGATCAAGGGCGTCTGTGTGTGGGACACTGTGGGCAGTCTTGGGATCCCCAACATCACCTGGCTGGACAAACTTGGCATAAGGCCGTCCAACAACGAATAAGTTCCTCCACATCCCGGGGGACTTCTCTTTCACTGACAGGTGTAGCACGTTTCGATGGCACGACACGTCGCTCAACAACCGCATCGAGCACGCGTTCCAAGCACTGGCGCTGGACGAGACGCGCAGCCCGTTCAGCCCCGCCGTGTGGGAGCGCGCCAACGACGAGAGGGATCCCACCGACCTTCGCCAGGTCTGGTTCCCCGGCAATCACGGGAACTGTGGCGGCGGCTGGCCCGACCAGGGCATGGCCAACTGCACACTGGCCTGTGAGTTCTGGATTCGGACTGCGCTCGGACAGTAGCGCTGACAGTAATTGCAACAGGGATGATGGACCAGATGGCGTCTGTAGGTGTTGAGTTTGACCACGACTCCCTGGATCGCGTGATCAGACAGACGAGCGAGTACTACGAGACGCTGGCAAAGACACTGCGCGTTCCGGGACCGATCTGGGCCATAGAACCCATCTACGAGAACAACGAGCCTCTGCGCCCTTGGGCGCTGGGGAAGATTGCGGCTGATGCCAGCCTCTTGTACAAGCTGGCGGGCGAGACACCCAGGACGCCGGGCATGTACAAGCAGATCAACCCCAAGACGCAGAGGCCGACACGCCATTTCCTCCGCGACACCAACGAGCGCATCCACAGCTCGGTGCGGGTGCGTCTCGCCTGCCAGGGCCTGGGCATCAACGACAACGGCGTCTGGACGTGCGCCGCCCTGCGCAGGTGGCGGCTGAAGCTCACCAAGCAGACGTTCTTTGACCCGATCCCAGGGCATCCGGACTGGGAGCCGCAGGATCGCGGCCGGTGGGTGTGGGAGTACGTGGGCAGCGATAGGGAGGGGCCGCCGAGTCGGCGGGAGAGGATCATGGTGGAGGAGCCGTTGGGTCCGTATGAGATATATGTCTTGAAGCTGTCGGGAGGGCATCCGAACGTGTATGACTTTGCTGGACGCCGAGGGCCGCGGAGGTTGAATAAGAGTATTGGTCGATAGCGGTGATGTAGCTGGGAAAGATACCCGCCTCGAATATAATGTCTGTATCTGCTGCCCAGGCTGGTCTTCGTCTGCATAGGGAACAGGCTTTTATGGGTCAACGAGGTAGCTAACGATACGAAAGATGCAGCGTTCGAGCCATGGAGTCTCTCAGCAGAATTAAATTAACGACCAGAGCCTGGATACTTGGGCAGCCTCATGGAAGTTGAATACGAGTGGTTGTCCTTGCGATAGAGTAAAGTGCCTGAGGTACGTACTGTACAGACCCGCTTTTTAAGCTCGCGTCACGTGCATCAAGAAGACTCACCTCGAGCTCACCAAGACTCATCAACCCAAACTTCAAGTGTTGACTTTGCCGCTACAGAGGGAAGCTGGCATCGCCAATACCCTGCCCAGACCTCTCTACTACCGCCCGAGACGATGAGCGACGACAACAAGGCGGATCTGCTCCGTCTGGCGAGCGAGTACGCCGACAAGAACATTGATCTCTTCGACTTGCTCTCCATAGACGCCCTCACAGCCAAGGAGGACATTCAGCGCGCATGGCGCAAGGCCTCCGTCAAGTACCACCCCGACAAGGCCCGCGACAACTTTGACGCAGAGAAATGGGAGCTCCTCGAGCGCGCGCGCGACATTCTCGCCGACGATGGGGCGCGCGCCACCTACGAGCGCGCCATGAAGGCGAAGCTGCTACGGAAGCAGGAGCGCGAAGCCTTTGACCGCGAGCGACGGAAGTACGCCGACGATCTGGAGGCGGCGGAGCTGGCGGCCCGGGTCGCGCAGCAGGAGAAGACGCAGCGCGACCGCGAGGCGCTCGAGAAGGAGCGCGCGAGGCTCGCCGAGGCGCAGCGCATGCGGGAGGAGGAGACCAGGCGGCAGGCCGATGCGGACCAGGAGATGAAGGATCTCCTCGAGGCCAAGAGACGGCTCAAGGAGAAGAAGGAGGAGAAGAACCGACGCAGGCAGGCCAAGGAGTCCATGAAGGCGGCTGGCCGGCCGTCGGGACCGGTCAATGGGGTCGTCCTGGTGCCGGGGAGCTATATGGTCGATGTTGGCGCGGGGCAGAAGCCGTACTGGCAGCTGGTATGCGACAAGCTTAGGGCGGTGCAGAATGCGCGGAACGTGGCCAAGATGGAGGATGCGCCTGTGGATGAGGTTCAAGACGCGGAGCGCGAGGTGCAGGAAGCGCGTCGCTTGATTGCCGAGGCTGAGAACAAGTATCGACAGGAGACGGCGGTGTGAAATCATCAGTGGGAAGCATGGCCAAACCTGCACCGTGGTATGCCATCGCCCAGCTCTCCAGATGGTCACTCTGCCTCGGCTGGTGCAAGGGCATCCGTTCAGTGACATCAAGCCTCGTCTTCACGGCGCGCGTCTATTGGGCTTCACCAGGCTATGGCTGTTCAGGCGAGAAGCATTCTTGTCCTTGGCTTGTTCCGCTTTCAAGAGGGAGTCCCTCGCGATGCCTCTACCCGCCCGTCTCTTGCGCACGCACCACCTTGGTCGCGAGAAGAGTACAAAGAGTGCACACGGGAGAGTGAACACAGTCCCTTCATTGAGCAAGGAGCCATCTACCAATGCAGCTTGCCGCAACGTCAGGGTTCAATGCCAGGAGCTACAGGCAGCCCATATATGCGCCCCTCAGCGCCAGCAGTGATTCAGCCCTCGACAAGCGAGAGCTGGGAGTGAGACTGGCGCTCTGCTCTCCGGGAATTGCAAAGGGGGCGACGGGTGATGTGGCCTCAACTCAGATAGGCACACGCTGGACAGACTGTTACATCTACGAACCTCATGCAGCGCCTGGGAGGCTGTTCATGGGCAACATCAGCGTATACAAGTGCCCTTGCACCCAATTGCTCTCCGCAGAACATAAATGCTCTTTAAAATGCAGACGTGCCTGCGCAGTCTCATCTGATATTTAAACAATACAGAGTCTTCTTGAACAGTATTCGCTGCAAAGTGCCGAGTGTAGTAGCTACCTTACCTAAGTACCGACATGTTGGGTGCACGTGGGTGGGTCACCGTCACCCGCGCGCCAAATTTGTTGAACGCCTGTCTGTCGCGTCGAGAAGCTCTCACCATCCAATCCACCCACCTCGGCATCCACCAGCTCCTTTCCTTTCCTTTCCTCTCCTCTCCTCCAAGCAACCAAGACAAGCCAATCCGTCCACCACGCTCCTCGACAGTACCGTCTCACGACACAATGGCACGACCCTCCAACCCCCAGCGCAAGCCCGCGTCGGCCCTCAAGACGAACTACCTCGTCCTCTACAACGTCGTCTCCGCCTTTGCCTGGTCCGTCGTCCTCTCGAGCACCGTCAAGGCCGTCACCACGCGCGGACCGACCCATGTCCTCGCCGAGGTGGGCGAGTGGACAAAGTGGACGCAGACGGCCGCCGCCCTCGAGATCCTGCACTCTCTGCTCGGCATCGTGCGCGCCCCCGTCTTCACGACCATCATGCAGGTCTCCTCCCGCCTCCTCCTCGTCTGGGGCATCGTCCACCCCTTCCCCCACGTCGCCCTCGACCCCTTCTACGCCTCCATGCTCCTCGCCTGGTCCCTCACCGAGGTCATCCGCTACTCCTTCTTCGCCGTCACCCTCTCGGTCGGCAACGACGCCTTCTACCCCATCACCTGGCTGCGCTACAACACCTTCTTCGTCCTCTACCCCGTCGGCATCACCAGCGAGTGCATGCTCATCTACAAGGCCATGGAGCCCGCGACCAAGGCCTACGGCCCGGCCGCGTACTACGCGCTCGCCGGCGTCCTGGCTGTCTACGTGCCTGGCTCGTACATCCTCTTCACGTACATGATGAAGCAGAGGAGCAAGGTCATGCGCGGCTTGAAGCAGAAGGACGGCAAGGCGACGCAGTAAATGAATAAAAAAGGGGGGGTATCGGCGTTTTTGGTAGAGGAGACAGCTAGCTAGACTCGATGATCAAAGATCAATCCTATCACTTGACTCTTCCAGCATTGGCCGCTGCTCTGCGCTTGTCTGGTACCAATCGTTTTGAAGCCATTCGACAATCAGATCCTTTGCGTCTTGCGATAGACGCTCGTACCCAGGGTTCTCGTTTGGCTCAAACATGCCTATGTCCTGTTAGTCCGTGTCCATGGCACGTATCGTAAACGAACTCACCCATATGCGCCTCCGTCTCGTCCTTGGCCTTATCATTGACAGCCTCCTTCCACGTGCCAGCGGCCATCTTACTCGGCAGGTTGCAAAACGTCCTCTCCCGCCCCAGCACGGTCCCGACCATGCTCACCTGCTTGCTCGGCGCCGCCTTGCCCAGGCGCGTGTACAGATTCGCAAACCCGACGTCGACCTCCTCCCCGAGCCGCACCATGAAGCGCACCCGCTTCTTCAGCTCCTCCGCCCGCGCCAGACACCCCACAAACTCCAGGTGGGAGGACACCCAGGTCCAGCCCGACGTGATCTGGTCGCGGTTCATCCACGCGGCAGCGCTTCCTGCCGCGACTGCTGCGCCCGCGCCCGCGAACATGGCCACCTTGCCCCACGCGCCCCAGCCGCCGCCGTCGTTCTTGTTTGCGCCTGACTCGGGGGCTGGGAGGGCGCCTGCGGTCTTGGGAGGCGCTGCTCTGCTGGTGGCGCCCTGCTTCCCCGACTGCGTCGCGCCCCAGAGCGAACCGAGACCGCCCAGCTGCTGCACGGCTGCCGCCGCATTCTGATAGTGACCCTCTGCGCCGTGCGCGACCACGCCGGGGGAGATGCCCAGGTAGGGGGTGTCAAACGCCAGGACACCCTGTATGTAGGGGAACATGAGCGCGTTGAACGTCGTCGTCGTCTTGTCGTCCTTCTGGATGCCGTCCTCTGAGTAGATGGGCTTCTCCGACGCGAGCGCAATCACCGTCTCGGCCGCCACGATGCCGCCCATGGAGTGTCCGATCAGGATGGTCCGGACGGACGGGTCGACGGTCGGCGACGGCGTTTGCGCGTCCACCTCGATGTCGATGACCTTTTCCTCCAGCCTGGTTCGTTCGGTCAGCTTGTTGGGGGGATACCTCGTCACAATTGGGAATGGGATTACCATCCGCGGAAACGGCTGACGGCATCGCCCAGATCGCCGCGCGTCTCATAGGGAGGGTACACCAGAACTTTGACATTGATCTTGGGCAGGTCCTTGGCGACGAGCGCGCGAAGATGCTCTGCGAACTGGTACTTGTTCCCAAACGTTTGCTCCCCACCCTGGCAAGCGAGGTTAGCTTATTGGCTTATGCATAATGTAATGCAGGTCGCGCCATACCTTGAATCCGTGGATGAAACAGAGCAGCAGCGTCTTCTTCATGGTGCTGCCACGCTACTGACATACATGTATGGAGTGGGAGGATTCAAGTCGATGTGACGTTGATGAGATCACATGGAGAGGACATGACATGGAGGGGCAGCACAGCAGGCAGTAGCAAACAGCAACCACCGTCGAAACTTAGATAACCGCATTCCACGTCGATGGTGAGTATTCGTATTACGCACGCACTATATCACAGTCTGGATACACATTCCCATCCCCAAGCCAGCTAGCTGCTGCAAGAGCATCTATTAGAATACATTTTACATACAGCGGGCATCTCAGCGGCTTTGCTTATAATGTGACGACTGATGTCTGGATATCCCTTGCATCCATCATACCATCAATTCACCCATTCACCCTCCTCCTGATCCCTGAAGAGTACAACACTTTATGTCAATAAAACGCCCACCCCGTGCCCTTCGCCAAAAACGCCAGGCGCAGCAGACGCCCATCCAAGAACGTTCCTAAAGTGCATCATATCCGTCTCGTGTAATGTTCCCTGTGCGCGCGCGCGCGACTTGGCCGACATTCTGCGCCGCAATACTGCGTGGGCGTGTAGGTCTCTCTCGCGGGGGCACGAGGCACCATCACACACCCTTCCAAGTCATTGATAGAGCTCCTTGAGCATCCGGAACTGGGCACTCTAGTCCTCGTCACTCTGTGGCGCCGTGCTGGTGCCCGTCCCGACTCGTGAGCTGTTCGAGATCAGCTTGATGCGCGTGCCGCTGTGCTGTGGTGTGCTGTCCCCGTTGCCTGAGGGCGCCGCAGACCCGGCCTTGCCGCCGTCTTCCAGTTCCCGGAGCTCGGCATGTGCGTCCAGTTCTTCCTCGAACTTGCTTTTGAAGAATGCCTGTGTCCTAGTTAGCCGCTGTTGTAATCACAGATTCAATCAACATAATATCACTCACCTCAATGGTCTTGGCATCTTCATGCAAAACGCTGCCATCCTCGTTGAAAGTCTTGCAGTTGTTGATGAGGAGCTCAACATCCCGGCGCATGTCGCCCAGAGAACCATACTGCTCCTTCTTGATGCGTGCCTTGATGTGATCCATGCAGATGGGTTGCTGTATCACCACAAAGTAGTGCGGGAAGTCGCGCTTCGACGGTAGTTTCACAAACGGTGCAATGATGAGGCGTTTGCCAGGCTCGGACTCGTCGTCTTCGCCCTCGAGAGGCTCAAAGTCGTCCACCTCCATCTCCATGAGCTGGTCGTAGAGTCTCTTGAGGCTGCCTTGCAGAGTGGCGCGCACCTCGGGTGCCAGCTTAGGTGCGTTGGCGGACGCCTGGAGGTTGGCCTTGCTCGGCCGCCCCTGCGGTCCGCGCCGCTTCTTCGCTGGCGGCTCGTCATCGCCTTCTTCCGCCTTGCGTTTCTCGTTTTTGCTGCCCGGCTTGCGCCCGCGCTTTTTGGGCGTCTCGACCTCTTCGGTGCTAGCCCTACTAGGGACAGGCGACTCGTCCATCGAGTTGAAAATAGCACTCTTCTTGAGCCTATTCTGTTCTCGTCGGTCCTTCTTGTCGGCCTTGCGTGCAGCCGCGGCTTCGGGCGAGTCCTCGTCATCGTCAACCGCCATGACCCATTGCTCCTCGGTGAGACCGTCGTCGTATTTGACCTTGGTACGCTCACGAGCACCACGGCCCAGGATGACTTCTTCCGTCTGCTCCTCCTCGCCATTGTCTTCATTCAGGTAGATGTCCGGAAGCTCTTCTTCTTGGATGAGGCGAGGTTTGCCCTTGCCTCCTTTGCGGCCGTAGATGGGGTCAAGGGCGCGTTCTTCATCCATCTTTTGGAAAAGAGCGAGCTCCCCGTCGTTACGCGCGAGCATCATGTTGAGCTCCTCATCCTCCATGTCCTCCTCGCCACCACCTTCTGCCATGTCCGCCGTCTCAAGCAACGTCCGGAGCATGGCGTCACGGTCCGTCTCTGATGATTTGTTATCGAAACGACCAGCTTGGATGACCTTGCCATCCATGTCAAGCTTGAACCGAGCGCGTTCCAAGATCTTCTCTTCTACCGACCCCGAAGTGATCAGACGCAGGATGCGCACCTCGTTCTTCTGACCGATACGATGAGCACGATCTTGCGCCTGTAAATCTTGGTGAGGATTCCAGTCAGAGTCGTAGATGATGACCGTGTCGGCGGTCTGCAGGTTGAGACCGAGACCACCAGCACGTGTGGACAGCAAGAACATAAAGTACTTGGAGTCGGGTGCGTTGAACTCCCGAAGGAGGTCCGAGCGCTCGTCTGATTTGGTCGTACCATCCAGACGCAGGTACTCGAAACTCCTGTATCGCAAGTAGTCCTCCATGATATCCATAATGGCAGTCATCTGGAAGAACATGAGAACACGATGCCCACTCGCTTGGTACTTGGGAAGAATCCTGTCCAAAAGCTCAAACTTGCCAGACGTTCGCCACAGCATGTCGTTGCTGATATTGAGAGGGTTCATGACGTTTTCCACCTCATCAAAGACAAACGGATGGTTGCAGAGCTTACGCAACTGCATAATCATGTTGCTGAGACCACGAGCATTTGTCTTGCCACCCTTGCCGTCACTAACAATAAGGCGGTTGTGTGTTGACATTTGCTTGTGGAGCTTGGCCTGGAGAGCAGAGAACTTGCATTTGACCACCTTCTCCGTCTTGTCAGGCAAGTCCTTCTCGACATCCTTCTTGAGACGACGCAACAAGAAGGGTCGAAGGACCTTGTGGAGACGGCGAATGACGAGAATCTGCTCTTCTTCTGTGAGCTCCATCTTGTCCTGCCCACCGGTGTTGGCAAACGGAGTGTTGAACCATTCATCAAATGTCTTGACCGACTTGAAGATATTGGGCAGCACGAAGTTGAGCATGGCCCACAGTTCGGAGAGGTTGTTCTGGAGGGGGGTACCCGTGAGGATGAGGCGGAAACGGGTGTGGTAGTACTGGGAGATGGTGGCGCTCAGCTTCGAGTTGCTGTTCTTCATGCGGTGACCTTCGTCAATGATCATGTGGAACCATTTGATCTTGCTCAGGATAGGACGGTCTTTGATAATGTACTCGTACGTCGTGAGCAGGACCTGGAAGCGCCCCTGGCGGATCTTCTCTTGTTGGGTCTTTCGAGCATTAGGCGGACCCTTGTAGACGATGCGGCTGACGGATGGCGCCCATTTCTCAAACTCGAGATTCCAGTTGGTCAAGGTACTCAGCGGCACGATGACCAGGTATGGCCCGGCCTGCTGTTTCCTCTCAATCAGGTAGGTGATGAGACTGATGGTCTGAATCGTCTTTCCAAGACCCATCTCGTCGGCAAGAATACCGTTGAGGTTGTTGTTGTAAAGCGAAATCATCCACTGAAGACCCTTGATCTGGTACTCCTTCAGAGTGCCGCCGACCAGGATGTTAGCCTGCTCAGTGACCTCCTCACGGACGCGATGGGCCACAGCGTAGTAGTCAATCTTCTTGCTGTTGCCCTCCTCATCTTCCAGCTCGTCGTCCTCCTTGAAGTCTTCCATGTCGTTTCCGTACCGCTCGGCAGCTGCGCGCTGCTGCGACTTGACGGAGGACGCAAGTTGATGCAAGAAACCGTCGGTCTGCTTGAGTAAGTGTGTGATACGGGTGTCCTTGGCCTGGTCGAGCAGCTTGAGGTACGCCTCTTCATCGTTGGCCTTGAGCGCTTGCAGACGCTGCTTCGCGGTCCTCTCGATGCGCTTCTGCTCTTCCTTCTCAATGTTGAAGTGCTGAGAGAACATGAGGCGGCTGAGCTTGTGGAATTTCGTCTTCTGGCTCTGATTCGAGTCGATGATCTCTTGTCTGTGGTGAGTGATGGCGTGGAGGAAGTCAATGTGCTTCTTCTTCTCGCGGTTCTCCCGGGCATCCCGCTGCTGCTTCTCAAGTTTCTCGGTGATGCGAGCCTCCCTAACGTTCTGCTTCTTCATGCGGCGGTAGTGCGAACGATTTGTGGTCATGGCCAAGTTGTCGTAGTGCATCATCTGCCGCCCAATCTTCTCGCGCAGAGCTCGTTGCTTTGCGTATAGAGCGAGGGCCTTCATCTCGATGATCGCCTTTCGTTTCAGAGCATCGTCAGCTTCCACCTCGTCCTTCGTTGTGTCCCAGTGAGCCATGTTCCCAGGGAGGTTCTTCAGATCGTTGTATCTCTGGCTCATCCTGTTGAACACGACGACCTCCCTCTCGTACCGCAAGTGATCAAAGTCGATGCCGGTGGGAAAAGCCCCCGGGATGAACCAGCGATTCTTGCGTTGTGAGTGTTCAAAGTGCTTGATTGTCGGCTGAAGCATGCTCGTGGGTGATTTGACAGTCTTGTACTTGTGAGGTTTGGGAGGCGCCGACTCATCGGCGTCTGGTGCAGCCTCGCCATGACCTGCTACACCCTTGTCCTTGTCGTCTTGTTCGCTGGGCTCGGATTTCGGTGCGGCGCTCGACGCAACGGTCGGAGCGGCCTGGCGTTTTTGACGTTGGTGGAAGATGGATCGTTGCAGACCGACAGGAAGTCCGGCATTCTTTCCCAGCATCTTGAACGCTGAGATCTGGGTTCGGAGCAAGCCAAGCTGTTCCTGCGAAAAGTGACTGTTGGACGAGTTCGACGGCCCATTCGCAGGGGCGGACGCGTTCGTGCCACTTGATGGCGTCGCACCGGCAGCGTTCGAAGTCGAGTTTTGATTGTGTTGGTGAGCTGCCGCATTTGGCGCACCGTTCAGGTTGCCGTTGGCAGTGGCGGCAGCGGCGGCGGCCGCCTGCTGCTGCTGCTGCTGCTGCTGTTGCTGTTGCTGTTGCATGAGCTGCTGCTTGTTCTTGCGCATTTGGTGCTGCTGCTGGAACTGCGTCAACCATTGCGTGGCCTTCATGAAATCTGGATCAGTGTTGGACACGCCATTGTCCCTCATCTGCTTGAGTTTCTGAGCAACCAGTTAGCGCGTGTGAACCGGCAACTGCGACACCTTCGACGGCATACCTTGAAGACTTCCTCAGCTTGCTGCTTGGTTGCGTTCATGACCATCGGCGCACCGGGGTGCTGAACCCCGGGAGCTCCCTGAACCGAAGCCATGGTGGTGATCCTAGATGGTCCTCGACCGACTAACACCCAATCAGTATATTAAATCGTACTATGTATCGACAGGCGCATATCGAGCGGCGGAAGCGACGGGGTATGCGGTGCTGGAAGAGCGACGTTTGACTATTAATAATGCGCAGGTGAAGTGTCGAGTGGACCAGATGAAAGCTCCGGCGTTGGCAAATGCGCCCTAGTCGCGTTCGAGGAGCGCGATTCCGGGGGGGGGGGGGGGGGGGGGGGGGGGGGCAAAAAAAGAAAGAGATGAGGTTGAAGAACATGACACAGGGGGGGGGGGGGGGGGGGGGGGTGTTTGGTATTTTTTGTGGGGGTGTGT